TCATCACGTTGGACTACGGTACACAGAAAATCTGCCCTTGTGCGAAAACAATTTATCCCCCAAAACCCTGGTGCGAAATCAGAAAAGGGGAAAAAAACAATTTTCGTAAGAGCTTGGTGCGAATGGGTCGTGCCACTGCGGTAGTACGCGTTTCGAGTTGATGACTAGCACTGCGCACTTCTGATTGGAAGGGTTACGTGTGCTGCACATGCAAGATGTATTGGGTCTTGTAGAAACGTCTCCAACGCTTCCGATCCCATGCACGCCCCCTCCAACTTTGCCTGGTCACAATTAGTTGACCGCCGCGAGACACGAATTTTCATGCCTCAAGGGACAAGCATGCATCGATCCAACAAATGACCTTGCATCATCTTTCAATCAAAGTTGGATGCATGCTCGCTAATGATCGACGCTTTCGATCCATTGCAGTCCCTCCCTAGTGGATTAACACACATATTGTATTGTCATGGTTTCCTGTCTATATTCCAGAACCACAAAGTCGCAGTTCTTTTATGATTCATATACAAAGACATTATCCATCACAGAGGCTCAGTTGAGCGGCCTTCGTGCCATTCTTAAACAACAGGCACGATTTCGGTAAGATTGAAGTGGCTGCAGCGGAGTCCGAATGCATAATGTATCTTGAGCGCTGCACCTAATAATATTGTTCCTCTCCACATTCTGGGGAGTTGACAAGCTTTTCCAACTTTACAGTAAAACGTTTTTATCTCGATGGTCGTAGTTGTTCATCAATTGATCAAAACCAACACGTGTATCGATCATAAACTTCCGTTATTGCACGGTATTGAGTACGGAGGGGGTGTTATTCGTCATGACCACCGAGAAACCCCGTCCGTGTGACGGAAGTTTCGACGCTACGACTTCTTTCCCTTCCGTTTCGAGCTCGAGATCGCCCCGGTCTAGGAGCTTGAGCATGTCGTCATCCGAGATTTCACCACTCTGCACCAGCTCGTCGCGCTCGTCCATCTCGGGCTCGAGCATGGCGCGCAACTCGTTCTCCTGCATAAGCAAAACCCGAAAAAAATTAAAATTTAGATGAAGCACGCGCAACTCGTTTATCCTCTGTAAGGAAAACCTCAGAACTTAGACAGAGATCCGGATGGGAAAGCGCGCAACTCAATCTCCTGCGTAAGCGTGCAACTCGATCTCCTGCGTAAGCAACACTCAAACGTACTAAGACAGACTTCTCAATGGAACGCGTGAAGTTCATTCTCCTCCGTAAGCGACATTTGGAGACCCAGACGAACTTTGTCATTTGCCTTACGACATTCCGAAGTCGAACCCTGAAGTAGACATAGGTGACACAGAATGATACTGCGTTACTTCTGACAACGGGAGTCGGGGCCGGTCGATTCAGCACCGTTTGCATCAAGCAACTCGAGTAACTGAATCAGGACTTGAACTATGAATTGACGATTTTCTAGGAACCCAAAAGGGGGAACCCAAAGGCAACATGTTCCGCTCGTTTTCCCCTCGTCCAGGCTACAAAAGCCTTCGGGAGCCGTTCAATGTTCTGAGGGATGCCCTTTCCAATCAATCGGGTCCTTTACGCCATCGCAAAACGGTGGATTGTGAAAAGATGCATTGAGAAATGGAAACATGAAAACACGAAGAAATCACAATCCATTGAGAAATGGAAACATGAAAACACGAAGAAAGAGCAGAGGGAAACCATAGAGCAAACGTCTGAGCCCTGTGTATGATCTTTTGACGCTTGAATTGCGCAGTAGACGCATCACAGTTTCTGATTGATAGGCGTCAGACAGCGTACCTGGACCGATGCGGGTTGGTCCTTCAAGTTTTCGATGCGGAAGTTGCCCTTGGTGATGACCATATGCTCCAGCTTCAGCTTGCCTCCGGCCTTCTCGAGCATCTTGCACTGCAGAGACACGAGTACCCAAGAAAGGGGTTTAGAAGCAGGTCACCGGAGCATAAGCGCCAAATGATGAGTCAGGAAGCAGGTTCCAGACAATGTCCTAAAGCTTCAGCTTGTCTCCGGCCCTCTCGAGCATCTATTACTGCAGAGACACGAGCGCCAAAGCAAGGGTTAAGAAGCAGGTTACGCGGATGATAACCGCCAAGACCGGGAGTCGGAAGTTATTCTTTCCAGAGGCTTATTTCAGAGCGCGGAGCACTGCTGTTTCGACAGCAGGTTTCGACGATTGAGCAGCAGGTTTCTGGGATCTGAACTGCCCTGGAAAGAGAACTAGACCGGGCGGATCCAAAAACTCGATGCAATCAGGATTTACATGGATAGACTCCAAGCTTCAAAGCAGACTGTCCTACGCTGAGGTTGAGCACTAGTCAGGGAGATCCAGAACGAGTCAACAATTTCTTGCGAATTGACGGTTACTCTGCCAAGTTCCAACATTTCCAACGGGGAACCAATTTTTTCGTCAGTCAGACACGGCAATCTACTAAAGCTTGCTGGGTGTTGCGAGGAACTGCCTCTCCGACCTTTTCCACCAAAGAGTCCTTTCTCACGAAATACAAACAGCAGGAAGGACCGGAACAGACGCCGAAACTCATCTAAGCTAGAAGAGATATCAGGCTTCATTGAGAGCGAAGACGAAAGTTACACGACCAGGTTGACATTCCCTGACCGCACCTTTATCCCCTCTCGACCCTCAATAGACCAGACTCTGGTCTGGGCTGGGTCAGGTTCTCAGCAGAAGGCAAGCGAGTGAGATTGGCATCTTAGCTATCGACCCTCAACAAAACCAGACTCTGGTCTGGGCTGGGTCAGTTTCTAAGCAGAGTACAAGCGAGTGACATTGGCTTGTGTGCAAACCTCTACGGAGTGCGCCGTCGCTAGGGGGTACACGCCAGCCTGGCTTACAGCAATCGTTCAGCAAATGCAAGTGCGCAATAAGGGCATGTGTGCTCACCTCTACGGAGTGCGCCGTCGCTAGCCGGTACACGTGGACCGGCCGCGTTTGCCCGATCCGATGGCAGCGGTCCATCGCTTGCATGTCCTGATGAGGGTTCTGCACATATAAGAATGATACGCTATTAGCCGGAGCAAGATCAAATTGGCTTGTAAAGAAAATGCCCCCATCTTGCGAAAAGACCCTATAGAGAAGGAACATAAGATGCTCTCGGTCCAAGAGAAGGCTTGACAAACCAGCTCGTGGGCCTTGAGGTCCGCTAATGGAGTCCGAACGTGTGAATGACGTAGTTCCTCGCTACTCTAACATCGCTCCGGTTCTTCGCTACTCTAATATCGCTCCAGTTCTTCGCTACTCTAACATCGCTTTCAGCCCACCGCAACCCGCTATGCTGCACCGTCGGCAAAGAGATCGTTCGATCCAGCATCTCGAAAAATCCTTCCAACCGCTGTCATGCAACGCATGTTCAGGAAAAAACATTAACAATCGTCAAACGCCCTCAACAGCAAGTCCAATGATCCAAGTTTGAATTACACACCCAGTCACTATCGTAGATGATGACGGTGTCCGCTGCCGTCAGGTTGATCCCCAGCCCCCCCGCGTGCGTGCTCAGCAGAAAATCCAATCAAAGAAAGTATCTAGCAACGAAAATTTAATCTCTCGAGTATTGAATAACGAGTAACGTACCCAGTCGCTGTCGTAGATGATCACAGTATCTGCCGCCGTCAGGTTGATCCCGAGCCCCCCCGCGCGCGTGCTCAGCAGAAATGCGAACAGGTCGGGGTCCCGGTTGAAGTCCGCGATGTTGGCCTGGCGGTCCGTACTGGCCATGGAACCGTCGATGCGGCAGTTGCGGTACCCGCGTTCCTCCAGATAGTATGCGAGCAAGTCGAGCATGCGGGTCATTTGGGAAAAGATGAGCACCTGCGGATTGGGGGGATAATTTTAGGCTTAATATATGGGGGGTGGGGGAGTACGGAAGGAAAGATTGCCGCTTTCTCCAGATACTATGCCAGCAAATCGAGCATGCGCGTCATCTGAGAGAAGATGAGCACCTGCAGGAATCAAGGGGCCCGAGGAAGAGAGTAAGTAGGTCGAGGCAGAAATGGAGATCAAAAAAGAAGGGAGGAAAAAAGCCTTTTTCAAGGTGGAACTCAAGGATGTCAAGCACCTGCCGATAAAGAAGCGGGATGAGGGAAAACGACGAAAGTTTCGCGGCAGATTTTCCGCCGTATTCAGCAACTTTCAGTCTTAGAAACAGAAAGCTATTGGGAAGCGGAGACATCATCAATACGCCCTACCCAAAAGAGTGAAGCGACAAACGTTCACTAACTCAGTTCGGCCACATGTGAGAAAGGAGGGGCTAAGTGCAGACTTTGTAAGGGAGTGCCATGTCGTAGCATGGAGGACATGAAGCGGGACAACACTGCACGAAAGAGCGGTTGTAACCTAGTAGACAGAAGGAAGCCGATACACGAACGCACAGATCACGAAGCAAGACAAACACACCTAAATAGTCTGTCTAACGTCATCCTAGACAAGATGGATCAACCAAGAGATGGAGAGGACCGAAACACGCAGTGCATGGAACCTGCCTTGTGCCCTCCCTCCCGCAGACGCTTGAGCGGCCGGTCAAGCAGTACTAAGGAATAATCAACGAACATTCAACGGTGACTAATTGTTTGAACCTATGATACTTGTTTGAACAAGGAACCTGGTGTTAGCCAGTACTCAGGGCAACAAAGGAGCCTCGCCAAACAATGGGTAGAAGTTCACTTTGTGCCCTCCCTCCCGCAGGCGCCTGAGCAGCCGGTCAAGCAGATTACAGAAAACCAGTGAACATGACAAATTAAATACCATTCTTTTATTTTCCCAACAGAGTAAACTGTGAACCTGGTGTTATCCGATACTTACAGCAAAAGAGGGGCTTGATAAAACATCTGGGAAAAGCTCACTTTGTGCCCTCCCTCCCGCAGGTGCTTGAGCAGTCGGTCGAGCAGCTGCATCTTGCCGCACTGCGCGAGGAGCTCCTCGACGGGGGGGTACAGCAGCGAGTCGTCGTAGTGGCTGACCAGTAGGTCCGGGTGGTTGCAGTTCTTGCGCAGCTGCATCAGCAAGTTCTGGAGCCGCGTGCGGGGGATGCCTGCAGAACGTTCGGAAGGCCGAGTCTATCAACGGTGCTGCTTTATGTCTCTGAAATGTCAATCTGACCGCCGTCCGATGGCTAGGCTTGCCTCAACAAACGGCCCAATTTTGTATTTCTTGCGCGACTCATCAACAAGCTCTGGAGCCGCGTGCGGGGGATGCCTGCAAAATGTTCGGAAGCCTATAAATTTACAAATTTGTCGGCTGATGCCGTTTTCATGAGAAATCAGAAGCCGTCCCGACGGCTTAGAAGCAACTCATGCATATATTCCATGCCGTTTGCTTCTTCATTTTTGATTTCCCAGAACAGGGGAGAATGGCTGAGCGGCTACAGGCAATAGACTGTAAATCTTTTGAAGCGGTTCTACAGGGGGGTCCGGATCCCTTCTCACCCAAAGCAAAGCTCATCAAACGGCCCAAGTTCCGTGATTCTTCCTACTTTCAAAGGTGCAACCCGTTCTGCCGTTTCATCAAGCATCTTTGCAACTGCTTCTTCTATGTCGCTAGCTTTTTCCTGGGGGGTCATCACATCCGGCAACCTAATCCCACCCCAACCCCTCAGAGCTTTATCCCTTCATGACCCTATCTTGGAATTTTAGAAGATTTTAAGACGTTAAAAGCCTATAGCCCGAGTGCGTAGCGAACCACCCACCGGAGCCGCTCTCTTTTTGCAGGTACTCGTCGAGCGTCCTGTTGAGCAGCTGTTCCTGGTACCGCTGCTGCTGTGACGTCATCTGCGCGTACAGCAGGATCTCCTTCTTGCGCGGCAGGCTCTGCTCCACGTCCTCCTTCATGCGCCGCAGCAGGAACGGCTTCAATATCTGGTGCAGCTTCGAGATCACCTGTCAAAACGCGGAAAAGCGTCAGACTCTCACAAGCTTACACAATGCAACTTATTTCATCATCAAACTTTATGCTTTGCAGTGTTTCCTTTCTTGATTCGCCAGACCAGGAAAGAATTTCAATCTGGGACCTTTCGCAATCACCTGCAGGATCGCTGCGGAACGTCGGAAATTAAGCGTTGTTTGGAAGGGACTTTTGACTGGGGAGCATCGAAAAGAGTTTACGAGCGGTTCTTTCCCTTCTGGCCGCAGCAGGAATGGCTTCAGGAGCTAGTGCAACTTCGAAATCACCGATACGAAACCGCGGAAACATTCAGAGTGAAAGCGGCCTTCTGCGGATGCGCTTTTCCGTGAATCGCCGCCTCCGTTGAAGAAGGACCCGACCGCGTCTGGTGTACACTCGCAAACAGAATAAACAGATTATGTGAACTTAACCTCGCCACGTTTTTCTTCGTCCAGCTGACCCCGCAACGCCGGCCTCTTTGATGTCGAACCAGGACTTGAATCACTCGACGCTTGTGAAGACTTTCAGAAAGACGTTCTTCAGAGAAAACCTCGATCTTTTCAGAACGTGAGAAAGCCCAGAACCTTGAGGAACCGGAAAGCCAACTCCACCAACTCCACCGAATGCCTCTGCTTCCAGTCCCATTGCCACGCCCGCAGCAGCTGCTGACGTTTGATAAGAACCCGAGCTCGTCTGATGTACGATATCCGGCTGAAAAGAAAGATAAGACAGAAGTGTGACAAGGATACAAATTTGTCAAAGCTTACCTCGCCGCGTTTCTCTTCGTCCAGCTGTTCCTTCCCCCGCCCGCCGGCCCCCGTAATGTCAAACCACGACTCGAATTTCTCGACGCTGGTGAAGACTTTGGGGAGGATGAAGTTGAGCAACGACCAGAGCTCGGCCAGGTTGTTCTGGAGGGGGGTCCCCGTCAGCAGCAGCCGGTTGTCTGACGTCAGCTCCTTGAGCTTGGAGAACAGCTTGCAATCCTTGTTCTTCAACCGGTGGCCCTGCAAACACTCGGGTATCTTCAGGATTTGAACCTCCTTGAAAACTTGGCATCAGAGAAGACATACGACGTTTAGGTTCCTTTTCAATTTCCGGCCCTGTAGATCCAGAACATCAGCAAAGGTCGATTGTTGCAGCATGATATGAGCGTCAGCACGAGAAGCGACTGTCCCATAGGTATGTGGTGATACAAGGCAAGTAAGGAAACCCCGACCATTTTTAAGCCATGGCCATACGACTTGAGTAGCGGAAGGAGGACATTACGCTGTTCAGAACGCTCCAGAGCTCATTGCGCTAGCATCAAAAGAATCATTCTTAAAGAGGTCGAACGATCATGTCAGCAAAGAGGGGACGGTCTCTTCGACCAGAATGATTTTGAGAAGGGAGGCCCATTGGCGACGGTTAAAACATAGCGACCGACTGACATGACCCGACAACAAGGAATAAGAGAAGGCAACAAAGAGGAGAGGAAGCCTTGGGTCAACGAACATGTTGCAAGGCCACCATCTTCCCAGAGATCTGTTCGTACTGATGATTCAGCGTCCAGCGACCCCAGCAGCGATCCAAACTTCCACAAGGACTGGCAAAAATAGAAAAAGCGGCGCATCTCCTTGGCCGACAAAAGCACCTTCACGGCAGTGGAACCAAACACCCGGAACTAGACACATGGAGAAGGCCGAAAAACATTACTCCTGATCGCCCAATAAGGTACACGAACCAGAGTACTCCACTGTAGTGTCACAGAAGAAGGGAGAAGGAAAAAGGGCTGAAACGCGGCTGAAACGGGGCAGAACGAGGACCGAGAAGAGAAACGGATCAGTGCCCACCTCATCGACCACGATATACTTGCAGTGCCAGCGCTTGAGCGCGGGCAGATCTTGTAAGATAAAAGAGAACGAGGGGAATGAGAAAAAGAAAAAGGTAAAGGAAAGGACACAAGGAAGGATAAGCAAAATGGGATTTCTACCCACCTCATCGACGACAATGTACTTCCAGTGCCAGCGCTTGAGCGCCGGCAAGTCCCGCATGACGATCTCGTAGGTGGTGACCACGACGGGGAAGTTCGAGCCAACCTTGTGCGGCATGCGCTCCGCACGCAGCGCGGCGCGCTCGGGGGGGCTGCCGTGATACAGGATGACCGGCATGTGGGGAGCCCACCTGAGAAGAAGGCATTAAAATACCTTGAGGCTTTATTTTGAAACTTCAGAAGGGCAGAGCTTTTATCGAACTACTACGCTCTTCACTGAAATTGACCGCTTGAGCGGACGTCTGACTTCAACACTTCAAACAAAAGGGGTAAAGGACGAAGCGTCGCTAGGAACATAAGCCGTGGTATAGGATATGCACACAACGTGGGGAGCCCACCTGAGGAGAAGGGTATGACAGGTTCGACTTCGACCTTTCGATAACAAGCCCAGAAACTTTGATTATCACACTTCATCGGAGAAAGGAACTTCGAGGTTGTATCCATCGTTGTGCAGAAAGACCACCACAGGCAAGGTCCATGACGACATCTTGGTTTGGTCGAAAGAATGAATGTGCATGCGGTGAGTAAAAGTGAGCATGAGAAGACCCGCATGGCCAACTTGCGAACCTCCTCAGGAACCACTTTTACACGTTAAGATCAGGACGAAAGATAAGTTTGTTGTGGCTCGCAAACCTTGCCATACAAGCATAAAATACAACACTTTCGGGACAGATGAAAACTGGTCGACGGCAAGGAACAGAGAAATCGAGTGTGCTCAGACACGAGCTCATGCACACCTGGCGAACTCGGACATCCAGTTGGTGACCGTAGAGAGGGGCCCCATCACTAGGAATGGCCCGTTCATCCCGTTGCTCTTGAGATGGCTCAGGAACCCAATCGTCTGCACCGTCTTTCCGAGGCCCATCTGATCGGCCAAGATGCCGTTGAGGCCGTTCTGCAAAGGTCAGAGTTGGGTAATCTTTTGCCCGGCGGGAAACAGTCAGAGCATCTTCAAAGGATCACCTCTGCAAAGTATGAATACAGTTCGGAAGTCCCAATATTGCTCTCCTCTGCTTTCCCGGGTAACTTTGAAATGAAGGTTCAGCAGAAAGTTGCGTCCCCGAACAAACTGGGACTGAAGCCTTCAATCATGCAAAATTCGCTGAATAAACGGCAATTGATAGATTCTCAGGTTGATCCAGCCAGTCTTCCCAATGAGGCTCATGGCAAGCCAAGCCTCTCAACCACACCATCTGCAGGCAGTCTAGCCAGATCTCGTAGGTGAAACAAGGGTTATCGCAGACTGAGCATCAACTACTTACATTCCACAGGCTGATCAGCCACTTGACGCCCTTGACCTGATAGTCCCGCATTTCTCCTTGAAAGTCAGGCATCAGTTTCTTCTGCTGTGCTAGCACATAGTCATCCTTGTCTCGCCCTTCCTTCTCTGGAGACTTCCGCCCTTCCTCCTCTGTTTTGGCGAGATGGGTCTCAAGAGCGGCCGCTGCTTCTTCCTCCTGTTTCTGCTTCTTGGCTTTGGCACCCTGCATTCGCAAAGCCGGCATTTCTTAAGGCATATTGCAAGAGGAACGTCCCAATTTATCAGCAACTTTGCAGCAAGATCCAATCAAACGGTGCTTACATTGTCAAAGTAAAAGGCACCTACCGACCCGTCAACAGGAAGGCAGTGCCCAGGACACGGCTTTGGCGCGACTCTCAAGAGCTGAAGTCCCAGGGAGAAGACAAGTCTCCCCATTCATACGTCCCTCAGTTGCCTTGCCTGCTTATCCAACATCCGTGCTGCAAGTCTTTCTATTTGCTTCTATTTCTTAAGGTTCCATTAGATTTATAAGAATGCGCCATAGGAGCTTCTGCAAACAGAGCTAGCAGATCAGCTCAATTCTTTTTCTGCCGAGCCCAAGAAGTGCACCGTTACTTTGCTCACCTTTCTAGAGCCCCCCTTCCTCTTGGTGCCCTTTTTGCTTCCCGGAGTCTTTGGTTCCTGCAGAAAACGCTCACATTTCAGACCCAGAAACTGTGCTTCCCAAGGTGGACAGCCATCTGGTCTCATGCATTAAAATTGACACGCTGGTCTCTGCAATGTCAGAGAACAAGCAGAACAAAACTGCGCTCATCAAGCAAGAGTCTAAACAACTGCTGATACCAAAAGCAGATCTCTTTAGTTGCAGACATGGAAATTCTGAAAATTGGGCAATAAGCTTTGGCTGAGCATACAAGGAGAAGCATTCAACAGAAGGAAAGTTGATCAACTGCGTAAATCAAGCCTTGTGATCAGGGTAGTGGTAAATGCAAGCAAATCAGATGCATCCCCAGCATTTACAGCAGGCACCAGTACTATTGGACAAACTGTACATGCCCATCCATCATCAAATGCAGGGCGCATCAGCGCAAACCCACCTCATCTCCGTCACCAGTCTCTTCATTTTCCTTCTCCTTTTCCTTCTCAGTCAGCTGCTTGTACAGAAAGTCGGTGTACGCATTCGTTTTCAACAGGAGCTGAGTCAGCTGGTCCATCCCATCTGCCGGCCGCGGCACTGCCGGCCGGCTGGCGGCCTCCTTTTCTGCCGCCTCTTGATCCTCCTTTTCTCTCTCTGCCTCCAGCTGGCGCTCCTCTTCCAGGAGCTTCTGGTCTACATATTCCTCGGAATCAGTTTCTTCGGACGTCTGGACAATGGTTGACATAAACAAGTCAGCAAATTGTTGTACATTTTCTTTACTGCCCCCTCTAGTTCCTCTTTCTTTCTCTCTGCCTCCAGCTGTCGCTCTTCTTCCAGGAACTTCTGGTCCACAGGTTCCTCGGCATTGGTATTTTTGGACGTCTGAGCAAAGGCTATCCAGGCAACATGAACAAGGCGCAGATTATTGGTACTTTCACAACTTTTAATTTCGAGTTTTGTGTGATGACCAAGCGCAAACAAGGTGCAAATGGGAAAGCAGCTGGACTTGATGAACTCAATGCCCGCTTTTTGCACAGCCAGATCACCGGAAGGCGCGACAGCACCAAACTCTCGTTGGTTAAGAGCAGCACAAACTGCGGCACAACTCGTGCATGGAAGATTTCTGAAACATGGATCTGCGTCTTGGTTACCTCCAATAGAGCGGCAGTAGAAGTGCTTGCAAGTGAGGTCCAGTCTAAGTGACACTGCGTTGTTTGAACATCAAGCAACGCTCATGCTTGTCACCTACCGCATCAGCAAGAACCGTGTCAGGAGACGCAACCGCTATGTCCGCCTCCTTTCCTTGTACACCCTCTCCCCCAGGGTTGGCCTTTTCTGAGGGTTGCATGTTGAAAACCCTCTTACTGTGCCAAAAAGAAGGAAGAAACAGCTGGCAAATCAGCCACATGCAAGCTCAAATGCTGCCACTAACTTGGAACGTTGGGAAGAGAAGATCGCCTTGGTGCTCAACAAGACGTCTTGCGTGATGCTGGAGACACTGAATGCAACTGGATCATGTATCCAAGATCGATAGCTTCTTCTTCAAAGCATGACTCGGAAGAGCCTTATTCGCTGTTGTTCGCGGCAGTTTGTGAGATTTGGCGCGAAGAAAGGCTGGTGCACTCGTGGTAGAATCTGCGCCCTCAATCTAACTGGGTTCCTTCACCATCGACGTCTTGAATTGAACGGACAGCATCAATCTCTTTCAAGTTTCTAGACCTCAAGGCTCAGTCAGACCTGCACTGCTGCAACGGAAGTCCGCAGGATGTCCGCATTGACTATTCTGTCGGGGCGACGACTTCACAACTGATGGACCTCTGTGGTGACTGGTCAGTGACAGTGGTCGCCCTCGATACAGAGGAAGTGCGGGTGACGCCCGCGTTTTGCGGGATGCATTCCTGTTGCTATAGACATGATGCACGGAACCTGTGCTGTTGTGGCGCTGCAATCTGTGCATTCCCCTTCTCAAAGGCCTCAATTGGACGCACTTCTGAGCCTTGCGATCGTCGCTGTCAGTTGTCTGTGTGCTGCAGAATTCAGATGCATTCCTTCGCTGGAGCTCTCAACACGGCATGTGGCTCCTTGCTTGAAGAGACCACCATTTTTGCCGCCTCCCGAGCGCGCACCCGAGTACGCACCAAGGATAGTAGTCAATTGGTTAGTACTGCATTCTACAAGCACATACAAGCCCCCTCTGGACATGTTGGACTTCCACTAGACTCGCTCTTGCGGCGCACAAGTCACACTAGCAAAAACCAGTTCACCTCACAGCAATCACATTCGGCACCACAAGCAACAAAAGCCAGAAAGCTTCACCAGAGTTTCGCGATGCAGACGCAAGTTGCGCCCAACCTGGATAATTGCCTGCCAGAGAGTGAGCTCTCTGACGAGGAGCTTCTAGGTTCTGACGCCGTTCCTGCCCTGGTCCAAGACGCGCTAATCTGGTGCAGTCTCCACGGCCTGCTTGTCGGAGATAAGGATGGGAAGAACTCGGGGGTGACTCCGGGAGTCGGACTTGTGCACGCACCGGTGTCTTTGTTGCCAACTCCTTTTCCAAGGTATTAAGTCTACTTTGTCTGCCTGTTTGTTGGTAGATGCATTCTCCCAAAATAAGTCCACTTTGTATGCCTGTTTGTTGATATATGCACTTTCCAAGGTAAGTTTATTTTTTTGCCTGTTTGTTTGAATGTGTACTCTCCCAAGGTAAGTAGGCTTCTTTCTGACAGCCTCAGTCAACGTGTCAGCTAGTTGGCGGGTCAGCGTGTTGAAATTGTGCAAGTCATTAAGGACCGAAATGCGGTGGGAAGTGGGGGTAAAAGGACTCTTCAGCTTTGAAGGGGAAGCAGCCTCTTTCAACAAGCTGACAAAGCGGACAGATGCTTGACAATGCCTGATTAAGATGTTCAAATGCAACAAATTGTAAAGTTGGTAGCTCTAAGCCCAAATTCTAAGTGTAAGGAATGGTAGGTAAAGTCACAGTTCGCAGATTTCTGTCTTTCCTGAAGTAGAGAATCTCAACCAGAGATCTGGGTTCCCAAATAGTCAGACCTGGATCATGGGCACTTTGTTGCAGAAACCCAGCTCTTGTTTCTTCAACAGGCCCCTGTTCGAACAAGCGGTTGAGGTTGCGCCCATCTTCAATGAGCTGGTTGACAAAGTCAGCCAAGACAGCGAGTTCCTCTTCAGTACGCTGGAAAGGTAAGACAGTAGGGCCTATCCATGACGTTCTTTCTCTGTAGAAGCTGCATTTCGCTTGGAGTGTTCGTAGACAAATAGTGCTGCCGGTCTTAACTGTCTGCCTTGACCAACATTACAGCCCCTTGTTATCTTGAACTCCTCTCTCCTCAGCAAGAATAGGAGACTGTTGTTGTCCAAACACCTGCTTAGAATGCAACTTCCTGTTACTTGGTAGAAGGGAGAACTGTCAACTTTCCAGGCGGCTCTAGATTGTCAAACCTGACCTTAAGGGAAGAGAGGTGCTGACCCATGCCTTCTTTAGGCGCAAACATGAAATTGGGCCATGCGCGCACTGCCTTGCCACCCTTTCTCTTGCTCAGCTTGGCAGTTGCGACTCACTGCTGGAAAAAGTCCTCTCAATGTGCGAGAGGCTCCGAACGAAGTAAGAGCTGACTCAGAGACATCTCCAATTCCAAAGAACCTGAATACAAACGGGGCTCCCAAAGCAATGGTTAATCCACATTTGGTTGGACCTGGCCGCCTGACCAGAGCCTTATTTGAGCCGAACGCAGAACTTGCCCGGTGGGCAGAACTTGGACCCTGCAATGATTTGGATACCTCCCATCGAACGGTCCAGGTTCTGCAACTCGAGAAACGATCTGCAACTGGCTCGTTTCTGACTTGGGTCAGGCGGCCAGGTTTGACCGAACCTGCAGAATGACGAACAGAGTAGCATCTGAGTTTGTCTTTCCTGTACCTTGACGCCTCTCACTAACAATACCTTTCTCCGCCGCAGGGCAAGGAAGACAGACAGCTTCACAGCGGGTTTGTTGGACATATACCGTGCCACTCTGGACAAGGGGATCAAGGAGGACATTCGATTGGGGCTGCATCGGAGCGACTACATGCTCGACAAGGCCACCGGGGGCCTGTTGCAGATTGAGCTGAACACGATATCGTCCTCATTCGCGGCGCTCGGGACGCAAGTCAGCAGGCTCCACAGGCAAGAAGCTGACTCGCTCTTCTGGTTTGGGTGTGAGTTGTTCTTAGGTAGTGATGTGAGGCCATTTGGAAGAATACTGAAGTACGTGAGGTAATAGGTTAGAAGGGGAATTCATGTGCTTTGAAGAAAGGGCGGACTGGCACTTTGGCCGTCGCCCTTCTTCGCAGGTTTGAAAACGACACGCCAACATGCTCCCACATGTTGGCAGGGAAAGGATTAAGCTTGCCGTGCTTCTCTCCGACTTTCTCTACATCACGAGGAAAGCTTTGGACGAGGAAAGCTGTGGACGATCGCTCTTTTGCTTTCCATCGGTTTCGAAGGGCCCGACAACCCACAGGCTCAAATCAGACACTCCCAGCTCCCACAGCCTTGACCCACAAAGCCAGAGTCAGCTTTCTGATTTTCATCGCCCAGAGTCCACCCTGCAGGGGCCTCGTTCCCAAATTGACTACTGTACAGACGAGTTAACAAGCGCCTCGAAGTCTTATCCCTGTCGCGGATCTTGGTTTTCGTCGCTTTGTTCTTTGTTTCTTCGGGGCCTCCTGTCGCCCACCTGACCCCCTGTTCTGCACCTCGTTCGATGTTTCTGCGCCATGCTTAGACTTCAACTCCACCCCGTCAGCCGTCCTAAAACACGCGCACGTAGTTTGGGACTTGACCCGTTGCTGCGCCTCATTCACTGCCGATCTTGTTGTTCCCTGCGCAATCCAGTTGCCCACTGATCGAGAAACTCCGAAGGCTTTGCTTCCCCTGTTCCCGCTCTGTTTGGCTAATCCTGCAAAGAATGCTGTCCAGGCACATTGTCAACCGCGCCGGGGCCAGATCGAAGCTGGAGCCTCAAAACGTACCCGAGAACGCGTCCTTCGAGGCTATGACAGATGGAATCGCCGAGGCGTGGAGACAGTACGGAGACGACGAGTGAGTTCCAGTCCAGCTATCGAAGTTTTACTTTCGTCAACTTCCTTCAGCGACTTCGACGGGTAACAGTTCTCCTTTGTTTGAATCAGCTGGACTCCTCTTCTTGTTGCGAACAAGCAAAGGTTCTGGTCGGTAATATGGGTTGACCCCTGTTTCCGGCTGCCTGCTCATTCCTTTCCCTCTGGTCTTTTGACGGGAACAGTGTCTTCTGCCAGAGAATACAGTCTCCTCTCAACAGGGTCCTAAATCCAGGACGGGAATCAGTCGTCTACGTTGTATCCCGATCCAAAATATCTTGGTTGAGCAGATTAGAAGTGAAAAGTCGTCTTTCAGATACTAAGGCTCTCCTTCGACCCGGTTACTTTTTGGAGCAAGATGGCATACGTTGCCAGCAATGTCAGGGCTGAATGTTCCTTGTCGATTAGCCAATCTCCATGAAGCTTATCTCACCGACTCCTGTAGATCCTCGCATAGATTCTACACTCGAAAGTACTTTGAACAAGGTTTCCTACGGCGATGCTTCTACTCGTGGTGCAAACGTCCACCGGACACCGGCCTCAGGTTGACAACTTTTGTCGGCCTCAAACGGACACATAACCTCTTCTGAAAGGCTCTAAGCCCGGTTGGGTTATGCAGGGCGGTGGTTCTGTTCGTAGTGCAACCGGCGGAGCGCAACATGTACGACCAGCTGTGGATGGCGGACCGCTTATGGGACGCGCACGGGATTCGCAGCGTGCGCCGAACGCTGACCGAGATCGAGAAGGACGGGGCGTTGGACGGAGATCGCACTCTGAGCATGTGAGCCCACGTTGCTACAACTAAGGCGTCCCTTGAACTGGTTTGACTGTATATTGTTTGCAGTTCAGGGGGCAACAACAACTTGGGGCGCTTGAAGTGGGTTAGGTCAGAAATTTCGGAGCTAGTGTTGGGAGGTGTGGGCCCAGGTTCGAAGAAGGGTTTGAGCAATTAATCTTATTCCGGCTGCCCAGGATGCTGGCGGACCATCGCGCAAGGTTGCAAACGGCTTTTCTGCTTGATATTTATCATGAAGCTTCATCGGGCTTCAGAATCTGCGTGATCTAGGGGTTTTGGTCATTGGTCAAAAATGCGGGATGGCATGCTGCTCAATACCAGTTCGGCGTCTGATGAGCACTCTTCCCATAAATCGAACCCATCAACCTTCTCGATCGTGGTAACAATGGACGTTCGCAACCTGAACCTTCCTGAACCTTTTTTGAGGCTCTCTAAAAGATGCTCCGATTCTCAAGAGAACCGCGGTGCTCTGCAGAAGCGGCCAACGGGTGAGCGTGGTTTATTTCCGGGCCGGCTACACGCCCACCGACTACCCGTCCGACACCGTAAGCCCCTCACTTTCGCGTTGCACTGACAACAACCATCGGTCACCTGCGTGTTGCCATGCTATGGCTTACGATTGGACTCAGGATTAGGCTACGGTTGTTGAGCGCATGTATGTGGAAGCTGAGCACCGACCTTTTGCGGAGTGCACCCAAAGCTCGCTTCTGGAAAAGTCGGCTAACGGGGCTCGCTCAAACGGATGAAGAAGTACCATTTCCAGCCGTGAAACTTTTATGCACCAGACACCGGGAATCCGCCTCTTGAATACATCTCGAAGTCTTGAGGGTCTCAGCCTTAGGGGCTTCTGACAGTCTGCTCTGCGGTCTGAGGTCGCCGGGTCGCGGGGTCGCGAGTCGCGGTTCTCGGTTTGCGGTTTGCGGTTTGCGGTTTGCGGTTTGCGGTTTGCGGTTTGCGGTCTGCGGTTGTCAATGTGCGGTTTGCCGCTTGTGGTCTGATTCATTGCTTGCGGTTCATGGGCTACAGATCATCCAGTATACGTCACATTTTCTATTTCGACGAACCTTTTGTCGCAAAGCCCACATGGATTTCCTGCACCTGCAGGAATGGCGGGCCCGCCTGCTGATGGAGGAGTCGTCTGCGGTCAAGTGCCCGAGCATCTCGTACCACCTGACCGGCGCCAAGAAGATCCAGCAGGAGCTTGCGCGCCCGGGCGTCCTCGAACGGTATGCCACGGAAAAATCTCCTGACCGCTTTTCACCCCTGAAAATTTTTGCGGTCTACTAATTTTCGCACCGAAAACAAAATCCAGGCCATTGTTCTTTGCGCCAGCGACTACTTTCCGTGCAAGGGCAATTCGCCGAATAGCAACCGCTGTGATTCGAGCCGGGGACAGGTTCCGGCCGTTCCGTTCCTTCCGGCTGACTGCCTCCGACGACTTAGGGCTGCCCGGAGACTGGTTCCGACTGCTTGAAGAGCTTGATCATTGAAGCGGTTTAAAGCAGGCTTTTGAGCGAAAGCAACATTGCATGGGACTCTCTTGAACCCAGTGGAGTCGTCCAAGGCAAACACATCTGGCACTTGTTTGAACAATATCTCCCCACTATTGGACGTGGAGCTGGGACGGTAATACTGACGTTGTTTAAGGAAGTTTCTTGAACTCTAGAGAGTGCCAAACGAGAGAGATTTTAAGCGTATGGTTTATCCCGTAGCTGTCAAGATGACCATCGGTTTTCGTATCTCTAGCAGCGAAAGGAGATGAAGCTCACAGCTTTCAAAGTGCGGTGCTCTGGGTTGCAGATTAAGTCAATGGCCATCGTCCAGAAGAAGATGTTGCGAGTTTCTAGTAGCTTGCTCAAAAGTAGGTTACGTAAAGTTCTCGTGAGGACTCGTTCGCTGGACTAAGAAGAACGACGCTGGAGACTCAGAGCCGTGAGAGTCGCTTTCTTATTTTTATCTTCGTAGAATGCAGCTTCATCACGAACGAAAAGGACGCGGCTCTTCTACGGCGCCACTTCGCGGGACTCTGGGCTTTGGAGGGGGAGGGAAGCGAGGAGATCATCGAGAAGGCGATCGCGGATCCGGAGGGTTTCGTGCTAAAGCCGCAGCGAGAAGGAGGAGGTAAGCCTCACGATACAGTCTGCTTTTAGGTCTCATTGCCGAAAAAGGGAGTCGCGAGTCACAGTTACAGCTCTTTGCGTCAAACCTGCCATCGGGTTTCATATGTTCCGAGCATGGTTCCTGATCTTAGACCGTCCGATCGACGACGAGGAAGTCATCGAACGGTTCAAGATCAGGGACCGTGCTCGGAGAGATCGGAACCCGCTGGCAGGTTTGACGCAAAGAGCTGTATGTAGGACAGCTAAAAGGTGGTTCTGTGCAAGGAAGGGACTTTTCCAGGTGCTTTTGAAGAAAGCTTCGAGAAAATAAGACAAACGTTTTCTGCGGCCAGGTAAATGAAGTGAGCGTGGTGCTTGTTGCAGCCGCTTGGCGCAAAGGTTACTAGCGCGGCAAGAAGTTGCTCCGTAGCGACTGCTCGTGAGGAGCGGTTGAACACCGCTCGAAACGTTCCGGCTCGCTTCCTTTTCCGCAAACAACTAGTTCGGGACTCAACACGTTTGGCGGTTTCCTGAATCCTCGTAGCCTGGTTGCGGGTCATGTCTTTTACGGTTTCAGGCATCAGCGTGTTGTGGCAGACCCTGAAAGTTACGATTGACGTTACGGCTCAGAACGTCCGCTAGACGAAATTCGGCCGTCCGATTCGCTGCAAGTAACGAATCTCTAAACTCATAACCCCTTCCGAAGTTGTAGAAATACAAGGTAATTACCACATTACCGTCTCAGACTGTACCCGTGTCTAATCCTAGCCACTCCGTTTTGCAGGTAACAACATCCGGAACTCAGTTTTTCAGGCGAAGCTGGAGAAGTTCGAAGTGATAACAACGTTCTTGTATCAGGTGGCTCAGATTCTACCCGCGTGTATTCTTAGCTATTCGACTTTGCAGGTAACAACATCTCCGCCTCAGACTGTACCCCCGTTTAATCTCAGCCGCTCGATCTTTGCAGGTAACAACATCTACTGCTCAGACGTCCCGGCAAAGCTGCGAAGAATCAAAAGGATATGTCAACCTTCCCGTCTCAAACTGTACCCGCGTCTAATCTTAGCCGTTCGATATCTGCAGGTAACAACATCTACGGCTCAGATGTCCCGGCAAAGCTGCAGGAGCTCCAGGGCACGGACGGGCTCGCAGCGTACATCCTCATGCAACGAATCTTCCCGCCAGTGAAGAAGTCGTACCTGCTGAGAGGGGGCGAGTGGAGCCAGCAGGATACGCTTTCTGAACTGGGCATCTTTGGGACTTATTTAAGGTAGGGCCCTGACTTCCGGGAACAAAACCCTCGGTTTCATCTCTTACTATCGCTTGCTCTTTCTTTGTTTCTTTTCTTGTTCATACAGATTTCCTCGTACTCGAGTACGGTTTTGACACTTGGCTATGTGCTTTGCAACTGGTGGAGAGCTTCCCAGACCAGGACATTGTTTTTTGGTCCATTGGTGCTAGTCGAATGCGCGACTTATCATACTGACTGCTGAATCCATCCGGTGTTTCCCTTCCAACCGTAGATGGTGGAATCCACGGCGCTGACGATGGCTTTTTGCAGACGTGGATCTCGTTTGGGCTTTACCCCACTGAAACTCATAAAATAGAAAGACTACCTTGACGAATAGCCTTACGAGTGGTATGAACTCGAAAAGCACTTTCTTTTTTCAACGGGTATTTTAAAAAACCGGACCTGGAAAATAGCGACTGCTTCTCCTTTCTCTTACAGAAATGGGGAAAAGGTGGTCATCAACCAGCCCGCGGGCCATTTGTTGCGGACGAAAACGGCGTCGTCGAACGAGGGAGGTGTGGCCGCGGGTTACGGGGTGATCGACAGCCCGTACCTCACAAGCAAGTGAGGCAGCGTCCTTATGCCAGGTCAGAAGATACCGAGTTAAGAACACGTATATTGCGGACTTGACAATCAGAGAAACAAAGCGTTGTCCGGCATTGCAATGAACAGAAAAACTTGTCTTACTTTGTGGAGGAAAGATTTAATACTTACTTGGAGCTACTGGGTGCTTTTCAATTTAATCACAGCAGCGTTGGCAGTTTTTCAGTGCATGCAGACGTGACCTAGTTTTGCTGTGATTCTGCATGATCAATGCTATACAGAGATAAAGCGCCTTGGAATCAGCAATGGCACACTGAAGTTCTACGTGCGATCGGACGCTTTCGGTGCACAGGGCGTCTGCCTGCCAATTCAAGTTACATATCAATACTTAAGCATATATACATATGCGAACTAGTGTATACGTGTAGGTAGCTGGTGCAGACATGTCACGCACTGAGGTGTATATACGTACTCGCATTCACCAAACTTGAAACCGGCCGCACTACATGGCCATATATGCAATGATGGCATGCAGCGGTGCTGTACGTATACGCGCAGCTTCGCTTCGTCGCATCTACCATGCAACTCTTATATTGTAGCTGCGCCCAGACCGACGGTCGTGCGCGGCGGCCACGGCCGCAGCGATCAGAATGCATGGCATCTATTCAGTAATTTTGAAGCGCATGGCCCCTCGCGATCTAACCTGCCAACTGCCTACGCGTTGGATTGTTCGCAATACCCCTATGGTGTCAGTTGCACGCGTCACCTGTCGAGCTCCATTTTGAACTTAGCCATGTTTTGTGTTGGATGCACGTACGTCCTAGGCTTGAATTCATATAGGTATGGCCGTCGGAAGCGGGATCAACGACTCTTTAAAGCTTTGCTTATCCAAACTTATCGTCAGCTACGTGCAACCGAAACCCAGGTAGCTTTACAGCACTGCTTTAAGGGGGTCACAAATAAGAGAGCACACCGCCAACCTACTCTTACGCGCGATAATCCACGCAGCTCCAGGGGGACTGATTCCGTGGATTTTATAGCCTATGCGCTTCGGACAATTTGATCTCTATGAAAGTTCTATGTTGAGCTGTATACAGTTGCTACTTAATAGTAACCACGCTCCTATATTATAACGCAGCCTCTCGACCCTTCTGAAACTTTTCTTGATCTCCGTTGAGATGTTCCATTAAATCTCCTTTCTACGACTCCACTCCTGCTGTTCCCTCAGGCTCAGACTTCTTTTTTCGGCTACCTCCGCCAATCCACTCGTCGGCACGGCCTCGGACTTCTTGTTCCTCCGATCTTGCGAATCCCACACTTCAGTCTGCGCATCTTTGTACTCATCCTCGCTCCGCGCCCGCTTCATAGTCTTCCCCTCCACTTCCTCCTCTTGACTCTCCTCTCCCTCAAAGTCCTCTTGCCCCGTCCTAAAACTGCCGCTCGAACTGAACACTTTCTTCATTGGAGCCCCATCCGACTCCTGTTTCTCATCCCAAGCTCCTTCTGCTCCTTCTTCTGCCGACTTCCCTTGTGCTTCGCTTCCCTCTTCTACTTCGCTTTTCTCTTCTTCTTCGCTTTCTTTCTCTCCTCCCGCGAGCCACGACGGCGCTCTCTCGTCCTTCTTATCTCCAACCTCCGTCTGCGGTGCTCCGGAATCAGTTCCGCCGGACCCCCACCCAGTTGCCATATCCCACGCCGCCCCTCTCGCAGAGTCACTGTCCTGCATTTCGGCGTCCTCTTCCGGCCCTCCTTTCTCTTTTTCCGCAGCGGAATCGCCGAACCCAGCACCAGCCTTTCCCGTTTTCCACCCGTTGTACGCCCCGTCATCCTTCTTGGTTCCGGCGTTCCCCACGAGATCCATCAATCCCCCTACACCTCTTCCCGCGTTCCCCCCCAAAAAGCTTCCGTACCCTCTTTCCCCACCGCTCCGTCCCTCTTTCCTGGATCGCCCCCCCCCCTCGTCACCACCACTGCGACCCCCCATTCCCCAGACTCCCCGACGGGGGGTTGGGTCCTCAGGCGATCTTCCCCCCCTCGCTGCGCGCTCCCGCTCTCGCTCCTCCCTGAGTTTCGCCCGCCTCTCTTCGCGAGCCTGCTCCTGAGACGCCTTGCGAGCCTCCTCGTCAATCTCAATGAGCGGGAGTCCGAGATCGCGTGCGGCCTTCCGCCACGCCAGCCAGGCCGGCTGCTCGAACAGTATGAAGTGAATCTGCAAATAAGTAAACAATTGAAAACATTAGGCAGTCCTAGCTCCTGCAGCAGCACAGTAATCGCCCGGGAAACATTACGTCCCAACTTTGGAACTCGTCTGGGGCCAAAACAGTCAAGATCACTCCGTGATGATTTCAAGTTGACCTTCGAAGTGCAGCAGACTTTCCTGCGAGTTTGACCAGCAAGTTTTTGTGAGCCCCCATTGCATTTCGAACAAGATTTTCAACACAATGTCTAAACAAGTTGGCAGCCTTCCGTCACTCCAGCCAGGCCGGCTGCTTGAACAATATAAAGTGAATCTGGGAAAAAGTAAACTTCTGGGAAAGTTCTGCAATCCTAACTCCTGCGACAGCACACAAATCGCACCGTTAAAGATTTGGCCGTATTCGGGCTGTTTTCGGATTGTAGCAACTGAATGATATCACCCACTTGGTCAGATGATTGACTTCAAAGGGCCGCTACTTCTTCCTGGGTTCGGTCAACAATGGCTCTTGATCCCTTTTGAACATCGAGCAACAAAATCGCAAGGGGATAGACAACGAAACGCTTACCCGTCGCCACGAGAGCTGTGGGACTACAAAAGACATCTCACGCTGGACTCAAGACCAATCTTTGCAGACTTCCTGTAAGCCGGCCACCGAAACGACTCCGCGTTTTCTAGTATGGCAATAAGCGCCGACTTCCCCGCTTGTCGAGAAAGAACACCGAGTTCCGCACTGATGACTTCAGAAGATCAGTGACCATCCGTGCATTCAAGTGTACAGTAACGACATTTTTTGCCAAAAATTCGAATCACTTGAGTCATTCTGGTTGAACTATCTGAGTCCCTGCCCGGACCTCACCTCCTTGAGCTTATCCGCATTATCTCTGCACGTTGTAAGAGCCACTCGCGCCCCTTCGTCGTATGGGTACCCGTAGACTCCGCACGAAATTGCCGGGAAGGAGAGGTACTGGATTCCCTTGTCGGCAGCCAGAAGGATTGAGTTCCTGGCAGATTGAAATTACGAGTTTCTTTTAGCAGCCTCTCACAAATCCAAAGAAGCTCCCAATTACAGGGAGCCCACGCCATCAAGGCATTAGGACTTATATTGAAAGCAATCTATTACACGTCAACCAACTTCAGACCTTGAGGAATCATCTCGTGCTCGGGAGTCTGTTCGAACCGTTTTTCTGAGTTGCATTCGCAAGGATTTTGGGGAGTCACCAAAATCCTTGCGAATTTTGGTGACTCCCCAAAATTCGCAAGGACTTGTAAAGGTCCCCGTCAAACCTCTATCGAACTTTAGGACTTGCCTCGCAGCTTGTATTACAGCTCATCTCACTGTATATTGACCTACATTTCCAAGGTGCGACTTATCATACAGACAACACAACCCCACTGATACACTGCTTCCCAACGAGGTGTGTGACCAAATCTCGCCGCAGAAACCTGACTTCATTGACGACCTGAATAGGTGATGAACACACACTTGCAATGCACTTGGCCACTGCAATCATGAGAAAGAAAACCAGAAAACGAATCGCACCTGTATGACGCAGCCAGCAGAGGCTCAGACTCCTCTTTGCCCTCGTAGATCGGACCCACAGTGTGGATGACGGCGCGGGCCGGCAGGCGGAACCCTTCTGTTATCCTGGCCTCTCCTGAAACAATTGGAAAAACGAAAGAATCAAAGAGTTTTACTGAGTGTTGACTAAAAGTGTTCCTGCAGCAAGGAAGGAAGTGTGAATGAAGTGTGAAGGCGTTGCACAGGCAGGCTCTGAGATGACGTCACTTGCGCGACGTGAACTGGTCGGACTCCATGCAGAGGTTCCTCTGTGTGCACAATGGTTTTGTTCAGCTTACAGAAGACTCGAGCGCTCTCTCGTCCTAGAACAGGGTCAGCAAAGAGAGAGTCGTGAGATCGTACCGGTAGGACAGCGCACCCCCGGCTCCACAGGCTGAATTGCTTTGCATGCGTAGTACAGGTCCTCTCCGGCAGCCCTGTGAATGGCACCATCCTGCGAGTCCATGCGAACAGATGTTGCAACCACGCCTTACTGTGCCTACTTGACTTTTCACAATGGCGTCTCTTTTAGTCTTGAATGACGGACTAAAACATCTCTATCAAGAGCAACTTGCATCAAAATACGGATAACAGGGACTGCGAGCCCCATTTGCAGATGAATCAAGGTGTGTATAATTGTGAGTGTACATCACTGATCTCTCCTGGGCAAATCTCTCCTGGGCAACAAGAGCAGGAAGACTTGTGAATTATGGGAAGGACCAACTTTCAGACGACCTTATGCAGACTGTCAATAGACAAGGAGAAGAAATGTAGACCTTGTAAGCTGGTCTCCACTCCTACAAGTTTCCGCGCGAGGATTGAAAGAAAAGCGAAGAGTACTACATAAACCATAACTCACCACCCCAGCCCCTCCGAGCATCGCCCTGTTTGCGGCGTTCACGATCGCATCCGTCTTCATGTCCACGAACCACGTGGTTATGTCGCCCTTGTGCAACGCAAGCAAGCAGTCTTGTGACAATTTATACCACTGGCTTGGGGGGGGCACTTCAGGCTCCCTGTATTGAGAGCGGCTCGAATAGGAGCGCCCTCCAAAGGAGTCCCCGCCGAAAAACATCGAGTCTAAACGAGTCTGCCCTTTATTGAACATTCTGTGCCAGCTTCTAGCAAGCCTGGCGCCAAGTCTGAGACTGTCAAAGTGCGGACGCTCAAAGCGAGGCGTAAGAGCAGGGGCTTTGGGGTCGAAAGCCCCAAAGAGCAACCACTCTTGCGGAAGGTTGGTGAGGCCTGCAGGACATAAACAGCATCACATTCAGGAGCTGCCCCCCTTATCCCATCTTTCATAAAGGCGACTAGCACAAAGAAGAAAAGCGATTGTTCAATGCAGTAAACTGCAATAAGCGAAAGGATGGGCAGGCTCTTCCTTTCAATCCTCTCCTCTGGCAGACACGTCGCAGAACTTGAACAAAACCAACGTCAATCGTCGCAATTATCACACGCATATGTAGATGAATATCAAAGCAACCAGCTCCTGTGGTACATATCATTCACTCCACAAACCACCTAAACAAAGTCCACCACATGCAATGAAGAAGGTTCAGTATAGTCCTTCAAAAAGCTAATCAAATAGAGAAGGGCATTCAGGACTCACATTTGTCCAGCTTATGTTCAGCTTTTGTTCACAGATGGTCAATTCCTTTTAAAGAACATCCTGTCCACAAAAGCAATGGCAATTGTGCCTGACAAGGACATGACAGCAGCAGAACTGACGCATATTCCAGAGATGAGCAATGAAAAAATTTCCACTCACCAGAGATTGTACCACCAGGACGGTACAATCCCGCTTGCAGGGCCAGGCTACTAAAACCTGATCTGAGCCCACATGTATGCACAACGCTCATGGTGCGGAAACTTCAAGCTGGGGCGCCACAACAAAATTGGCAACTTCAATGTCTGCCTGGAATGCCACGGCCCACCATATCTCTGCAAATCACTGCATATCACTGCATATCACTGCAAGTTCAACAGCATTTTGGTTTCTGCAGAGAAGTGGATGGAGAAGCCGGAGAATGCGACCGGCTAGTCCTCCCGGGTGCAACGAACGAAAGCCATCGAAGCGAAACATATAATATAAACAACTAGGAGTTCGACGGTTGGTATGAAGTATCATAGGGCGGGAGAATCCACCGGGGCAATTTCTGCGAGTTCCACACGAACGAGATAACTTTTAACTCAGGGATTTTGGGAGTTTTGACCAGTGTTTCCCCTGCCGGCCCACTCTCTGGTAAAATGGCCGGCAATGGTCAAATTGGGCCGGCAATGGGGGCCGGCCTCCGGCCCATCCGGCCGGCATTGCGGGGCACCGGCCGGCCTCTTGGGCCGGCAATGAAAGATTATTTCTGGCTCTGTCATCGTATTTAGAGAGCAGAAAGAATAGATTTTGATGACAATTTAAGGTTTTGGTCCCAATAAAAACTCTCCCCCGGGTACTTCATGCCAGAACTACCACAAAATAAGCACCTCGGTAGGTGGGGTAGGAAGTTGGTCGATATTTCACTAGTTGAAAAGCTAGAGACTTATCAAAGACTACGAAGCTGGAGCAGATACTGTAAAAGTTCCAATATATGGGGTGCGCGCGCGAAACTTCCATATATTTCGGTGGGACTTGGGCCGGCAATGGCGACCTCGGCCCGGCCCAACGGGCCGGCAAACTCAGGCCCCGGCCGGCCCGGCGGCCAGCAATTAAAATAATTAGGGGAAACACTGGTTTTGACTCTTGAGCCTTGAGGAGGACGACGGTGGACCAGTTGGAGACTCTCAGTCAGAGTCAGAGTCAGAGTCCTAGACCCATAGTAATACCTACTGGGAAGGCAGGCGCTCCCTTTCGTTGTGCACAGGGTTGAGCAACTGAAGCCTGGATAATCAGGACGTTGAGCTTCTCAATGCTCATTGATCATTTACACTCTCTGCTTCTGGTTGCGGAAGGGGCTGCTTCTTTGAGTATCAAAATGCTGGTGTTTGCAGGAACATTTTCTTGAGCACTTCAGAGACCTACCTGTATATCACAGCGCACCATCATGGCAAAGTCGCCCGCTCCGTCTCGGTCGGGAAGCTCCTCCTACACCACCTCTGCCTCTGGTTCCTCATACTCTTCCAGTGTCAGCAGGAGCCCGTCGCCAACATCTAAAGCAGAGAAGAAACGGATTGAGACTGATAAGAAGAGGTAAGCTTTTGAGCGTCAAGCGATTTTCTGTTTCTGCTTGAGTTGATCAAAAGCAGCTCAATTGGAGGGGATTTGGAGTTAAGCAAATTCTGCAATTTACACCGACGGGGGATCGTTGTCAGAGTGAAGGAGTATCAAGTGGGTGCTCGGATGGATGCTAAGGAGCGTTTGATTGACTTGCTTGTTATGCATAGAAGCAAAAATTGACAGCTGCCTGTATTTAAAGAAAGCCTGATCGTAAGCAGAATGAAATTTCAGGATCTACGTATGTTTGGGCATAGCCATTGGTAACTTTGTTTGGCCGCCAACGTTGTTGAGCGGCGACACAAATATGTGAATGACCACCCAGCATCCACCACTTCAGAGTCCGGCTCCATCATGGAAATTCGTTGGAAGCCTGTTTGGAAAACCGGCATGTCGATCTGGAGCAAGCAGAAAATGCAAAGTTCCAAGCCACAATCCAGGTGTGCGAGAGGACACTTGGAAGTGGTCGTCATGAGATTTCACACGACAAGGAGAAGCTTCAGCAGTTGCAACATCTCCAGAAATATTGCCGAGCATAGTTCTTTCTAAAACCACAGTCGTCACTTTCTATTTTTGCTAGCGTCGCAGCCTTCAAAGTGCGTTTTTTGAAGAAAGAGTCAAGGAGAAGCGTCTTGTTGTTCCTTAGCGTTGAGGGTTCTTCTGACACCCAACTGATGTCAGGGTCTGGTTGAATGCAGTGCTGCACTGTTCATACCTCGAGCTTTTTCGATTCTGCAGTGCCGCCCCCCCCGTTGCAAAAGGCTCTCCTCCACCTGTCGCGGCCAGGCAGGGAAGGTCCCCATCACCGGCACCCAGGAAAGCAAGCCCCTCCCCTCCGCCGTGAGTTGTGACTGCCATTCATCCATAATTATTCCGGTTGCTGGTTAGACCTCCCTTTGTAATTACAGAAATATGTGCGATTACTTGTCCCCCTGCCAAGCATCTTGCACAGGTCTGGTGGGGGGCTGATGATTCCCAAAAGTGGCATCACTCCAATGAGTGTTACATTGATATCAGAAGTGTTGTTAGTCGCGTACGGTGCCTGCCTTGGAAGAGGAGACATGTGCTTTGGGCACTTGGTCGCTTTGAGAATGCTCGACTCTGCAATCGAATTGTTGCGCTGGCTGTTATTTGCGGGCGCCCTCAATCTGTCCGTGCCCTGATGGGCGGGAGTGAATCCGGGTGTGTCCTCATGGTTCTTCGGCTCCTGCTCTACTTGCTGTACGGAGTCTGCTTTTTGTTGGGAGCAGATCGCTCTCACTCGACAGACCCTCCCATACTATCAAAAGCAGCGGCTGACCCAATCCATATAGCAAACGTCGCTGCACAGAAGGGGGTAAGGGTTATTTTCTCCATTAGTCGTGTGCACTCCCTCTCTGCCCTCGATTTTAAGGCCCAGGAAATTCTCCACCCAACTTTGAATCTTTGAGAGCCATTGTGCACTCACTTTTGGTGTTTGCAAGTAGGGCGGAGACGCCCATGATACCTCTCTGAGAGTCAAATCGCATCGTTTTGGGTTTTTGCAGGAAGGCAAAGACGCCCCCTCCCCCCCAGCCGTCCATCTTGCACGTAGGCTCGCTGACCCGCAACGTCAATGAAGCCCACATCAAGGAGATTTTCGGCAACTATGGGGAGGTTGTCAACGTGGAGCTCGCCATCGATAGAATCGTGAGTAGAACTAGCTTCTTTCCTTTCTGCTCCAATTCGTGTCGTTTGATCAAGATGGATGCTGCTCCGAGCACTTGTTCTGCTTTGCCTCAGGCATCTGTTCGCACGACCGCAAGGGGAGCGGCTGTTTGCGGCCTTTGACCTGCAGTAGCCGCGGTTCCGGGAGCTTTCTCAGATCCTGGACAGCTGCTGAGCATCTTTGTTTACATCCAAACTCTGACACAAAGCATTGACAGCCATGAACCAAGCAGAGCTTATAGGTGCCAGCGGATTGTCTTTGCTCCAGATAGCAAGAACAGCAGAGTGCGCGTATGAGGCAAAGACCGCTGTGCGTGTGTGACCGGTGTGTCAACTGTATCGGGACGACCCTACAACATCTGACGGTCTCTTTCGCTACATTGAATGCAGGTGAACCTGTCAAAAGGCTATGGGTATGTCGAGTTCGCTAAGCGGGAGGACGCGGAGCAAGCGGTCCTGCACATGCACGGGGTAAGCAGCGGGCGCGTCTTTTTTCTCTTGCTGAGTTTGAGCAAGCCGAGAGAGGATCGACTCTGCTTCACGTTTCAGACTCGAACGGAAGCTCTGTGTCACCCGCATAGAACGTGTGCAGTGGTGAGCGTACGTCATCTGCTAGAGAACGGCGAGAATCTCAGAAGAGGCGTCGGCAGTTGCACGGACATGCTTTAAAAGTCTGGCTTCGGTAAACGACATTCTTTCTGAACGAGCCTCTCTTGCGTGACATGTTCTGGAAGGAACTGCTTGGATTCCACAAGGTTGGAGACCACTCTTTGCCAGAGCGACGTTAAAGTGGATAAATTCCTTTTGTCCCGCCTGCAAACAGTCCCTTATCAAAACAGTCTCCTCAAAATGTCCATGCCACTGTCACCTCTTGCAGGGCCAAATTGACGGTAATGTCATCACCGCCCAGTTCGTCCTGCAACCCCGGAAGAAGGCGTCCCCGCCCCCTCGACCCGTGTCCCCGCCAAACAGAGAGGGCGCCGTGAGGGGTCCTGGCGGTCCTCCGCCCCCTCCCAGGCACCGTTCCCGTGAGTCCCTTTGTTGTGTCCCTTCTAGGGGGCGGAAAACCGCTTCATGGCAAGCGGCAGTGGATGCACTTTTGGGTGCTACGGGTTTATGTGTACGATTGTTTCAATGCGTCCAGGCTTTGGAACATTTCAGCTCCGAAGGTGGAGGCTTATCAAGCTTGAAAGTTGAAAGTTTTAGCAGGCAGCAGCCTCCATGGAAGCACTTGCTAGCGACGGCCTAGTTATCGAGTGTCAGTCTTAACAGCGCTTGGACTGGAGCAACACTTTACAGATGTGGAAGTGTGTGTAGACGACATTTGGAGTACCAGGTCACCGTGCGATTTAACTGTATTAACAACTTCCGCTGCAGCCCCCCCTCCTCGACGCCGATCCCCTGAACCCGCACGCCGCCGCCGTTCCCCCTCTCCGCGAAGGCGCCCCTCTTCACCTCGCAGAAGGGGCGCCTCGCCCCCCCCTTCCAGACGCCCTCTCTCACCCCCCCGCCCCGGAAGGTCCCGTTACCCGTCGCCCCCTCTGCCTTTCCGGGGGGGTCGGAGCCCACCGAGAGGGGCCAGACGTGCCCCCTCGCCGTTCAGGAAGAGGTAGGCTGTTCGCTAGGGCCAAAGTACATGTCACTATGATATTTCGAATTGAACGCACCGCCGTTATCCCTTCCTGTTATATCCTTTAAACTTGAATGTCTGGACAGCTCTGTCTTAGAATTGTCCGCGAAAAGTGATGGAAGAAGACATCACCTGGAAAGTATCCCCGGCCACATGGTCACATTCTTCTGTGCTTCTCAGAGAACTCTCCATCTCTTGCTCAGCCTTACTTTAAAGTCTCTCGTACTTCTACCACATAAAACCCTCTTTGCCCAAAAGAACTACATTTTGATATGCATTTCTTTTCAGGTCCCCCCCCCTTCCTGCACGAGCCGGCCGCCGCTCCCCCCCTCCCCGACGGCCGCGCAGCCGGTCCCCCCCGCAAGGAAGCCGGCCTCTCGTTCACCCCCCCGCCGTGGCGGCCGCAGGCGCGACAGCCGAAGCTCGTCGTATTCCTCGGATGACGACAGCCCAGTTCGACGGGTGAGTCCCTCAAGAGCAACGGATGGCGACATTAAGACACAGTGGTCTCGTTGGGGTAGTCTGGGTAGAGTAACATTCGTGTGACGAGTCAGAATCTGGGATCTTACATTCGATCTTGAAATGGTCATGGGATTGACGTTTCTTCAAGGTGTACGCAAGCTTAGAAATGGGGAATCTGACTTTGGGGCCTCTGGATGAGTGTTGGCGGGTGCACCGGAGACGTGATGTTGTGTGGCTTTTGCCCATTCAAGATGAGGCGTTTCCCACCTTTGTTGTATGATGAAAGACGACTCCGTTCGGTGTACCTGAGCTTTTGGCCACGTCGAACCCTGGGCTTGGTATCGAAAGTACGAGTACCCTGGTGCCTAGAGCATATGTCCTTACTAGTTACGAGCACCTTCACCGAGTATGCACGCGGTCATTCTGGCACACATCTCCTGCAAGCGGCAATGGTGGACGCATGCTGACGATACGCTGACGTTTTCCGCAGCCTGCTGCACCACCTGCGAAGCCGAGCGAGAAGGCGAAGGGCCCGACTCGGGGGCGGAGTCCCAGGTGAGAGAACAAACGGTCTCATATTCTGCCGCGTTTCGGAGTAGCACGTTCACATTGATTTTCAAGTGATGCTTATGGTCACGGCTTTGGTGGTCGCTTGCATGTCCAGTTAAGCCTAGGCGGGATCAGCTTTAAATCAATGTCGTTGGATACGAATGAAACCTTTTATCATGTTGACACAGACCAATGAGGAGGTTCGCAGCTGACATTTGCGCTTTGCCTGTTGTGGCTTCAGTTCTGGAAGCAGCGCAAGCGGCAGGAGTCGGTCCAGGTCGGGCAGCAAGTAACGAGGAGCCAATCTAGTTGTACCTACCGCTGTGCACTTATCGTTACTCTAGTTTCTTCTGAGACCGTGGCAGATCGTTGGGTAAAGACAGTTTCGTCCTTTGGTGCTGTGTTGCATCGGAGCATCCCGAAGATCTGAGTTCTTGTAACATCTTGCCAGGACTTCAAATGCTCAGTGCTGAAACGCAACTGCATCGGTGCGCAATCTTCGCATTCCAAGACTTGCCAGAAAAAATGGTTCTTCATGGGGCCCATGGATTCTTGCATAGCGTTGGTGCTCAGGTCATGGATGCAGTATGTACTGATGTTGGCTCTACGAAATGGACCAATGGATTCGGACATTCTTGGTTCCAAGTTTTTCACCCGTGGATATTGGATAACCGTTCATCCTTTTCGGTTGCTTTTATCCTTCTATCCCTCAGCTCTTGCATGTGTTGCTACATTGATATATGCCTGTTTCGCGTGGATTGCAACCATGCTGACTACGGGAGACTGGTGGATTGCAACCATGCTGGCTTATGGGAGACTGGTCAAGAAATGTCGCGGCGGCCAGCTTCATGAAAGCTAGCTGGAAGCTCAAGCTCTGCGCCTCAGGTGACCTAGCAGGCAAACTTGAGTCCTGCTGAAACTCCCATGCACCATTTTGAAGAATGCCAAATACCTACCCTAGCTGAATGAACCTCTTCCTACGACCTACAGCCCGTAGCCACCCCTGCATGAAATTCACGTCCGACAGCATTGTACGTGAGCGACGCGCGCGCTGTTTCGGGTCTGGTTACCGGTATGACCCACATGTGCCATACCAGATATCGGCTCCGATTGGATTTTGCATGACGTCAGCTTTATCTGCCTATGTGGTCGCACGAGGGCCGCTTTTGCGCAGACCACTTTTCAGGAACCGTTCGCAAGGGAAAGCAGAGGAATGGCTTCCTGAACGGTGAGGAGGAAGGAGGCGATTCGAGGGTCATGTTTTAGGTCCCTTCTCTTCTGTGTGAGGAAGAGAAGAACAGTCCGTGGAGTTGTTTCTGATAAGAAGGAGACGGATGGCTGCCACCGCAGTTTCCGTGGTTAGGGGTGGCCTTGCGTCCACATCTGGCTCAACATCAGCCTTTGGAGAAACAGTGGCTAATGCAGGTAAGCTTCTACTGCATTCCTTGACTTAGCAGAGTACCTTGCTGTATTGGGGGTCTGACTGCAAGCTGTTCGCTCGCTTGGAATTTGGAGGAGAATGGAATCCAGGTAATGAGTGTAGAGTGTCATCAGTTGGTCTTCATTGCTTCTGCTGCATCTCCGTCTCTCCAGCAAGATGCTTTCGTCAACATCAAGACGAAGTGCTCTTTGAAGCCTAGAGGTTACTTAGGATGAGTTTTCAGACTTTCGAGCTGTTGCGGATGATCATCATGGAATGGGACCCTTTGGAGAGGAGGAATTCATGCTGTTAGAGAAGCAAACCTGATCCAGGGGTATTATTGCGCCGTGAGTTCCTATTTTGTGTGTAACGGTGTTTTGTGCATGGTAACGGCATCTGCAGTGCTTGAAGCAACCGTGTCCGTGCAATGAACCTCTATTCATCCGAGTGCAAGGCATGTTCCCAGTCCTTCTACTGTGGTACTCTAAGCATCCAGAAGGGGTTCCTTCAGAAGGGCGTACGACATATCAGAGGACGCTGTGCACATCAGACAAAACTTTGACCTAGTAGAGGACTTCTCTGCTGAAAATTCTCAATGGAGTTCAAGAACATGCTAAACTTGTGCCAGAAGTCCTGGTTGCCAAGCAGATAGCATATAAGAATCTGGTCGGCACTTAACCTCTGGTCAATGCATCTCCTGTGCAGGCGGCAGGTTGGGCCGCAGCCAAGGTTACGACGTTGCGCATCTTGGATTGGATGGCTTGGACAGATTAGACTCAGGCAGCACTCCAGCATGTTGCAGCACAATCGGAAGTCAGATTGCAGAAAGGGGTCGAAGGCGTGGGGTGGAGAACAATGTGGCTAGGGGCCATGTTGTTGCATCTGCTGGGATCGCAAAGGGTGTCCTGGCAGAGGATTCGCGATGGCGGCGAAAGGAGATGCATGGCGCAAGGTGAGTTACAGAAACCTCACAAGTCCTTGCGCGCTTGCGGACGTTGGAATTCTATTGATTGTGTACAGAATGACATTGTTGAGATGGTGCTCAGATTGGAAGAGGTTGAGAGCAGTCTTTTGGAGGGCCGGTGACGCTAAAGGCCTAAGCATGTGTGTTGAAACTGCAGGCAGTAAGCAAGCATTATGATTGTTATTTGACATCCTGAGAGGCTTCTGTATTTGAGCACCAGTCAAGTCGTCCTTGCTGTTAATGCTGCAACATTGTTGCTCTCATTTGACCTTGTCGTTCTTGCTTGCTGGGGTTCTGCCTAAGAAATAGAGCAAGAAGACAGTGGACAGGAAAGTATTGAGTGAATGCTAAGGGACAAGGGCACCAGAGATTGCACAGGCATCATCATTGACTGATAAGAAAAGCATTCATTTTGATTGTGTGGGAGCTGGTACTTTCTGCAAGAAGCTGTTTCACATTGGGTGTGTAGGCTCTGCTTCTAGCCCCTCATCAAATTGCATGATAGGTTGCTGAGGAGTGTCCCAACCACTCGAGCTGATTTAAAACAAAGGGGACACTGTCTTTGTATACTACGCTGCCACCTGTTTGCTCCAACCTTTTCGTTACATTGTGCTCTGCCGTACAGGTTGGATTCGTCAGGTTTCTTGCGAGGCACGCGGTTCTCTTCTCCCATCCGCTCATCCTCCGCTCTGCAAATGGTCATCGAAGCGCCCCCCCTCTTGGAGGAAGACTTGGCCGTTCCTCTCCCCTGGCACGTTCCTGATCTACAGGAGCGGATGAGCACTCTCTCAAGCGATGCTCGGAAGGGGGGGGCAGCATTAGAGGCACTCTCGGGCCAGGGTTTCCATACGGACGGGGCGTTAAGAGAGGGCACTTTGGGGGTGGATAGGTGGTTGGACGGGGAGGGGGCCCTGCCGCAGCCCCATCCATGGCAAGAAGACCTGGATGCCCTTTCAGCTGTTGCCAAGGTGAGGGTTACGATCCTTTGAGCAGCCTTTGCTGGTGTTGCAGGTAGAAAGGTTCATTGGCTGCGTATTTGAACAAGCCCTTCAGTGTGAGCTTGGGCGTGCTTGGTGCTTCAGAATGCTGCTGCTGCATCCTTGGAATATTGCTTGACAAGCTGCACTACCGCTGGGTTGTTTGACAACTTGCGGAGTGTCTACGCCTCATTGCCAGGATGTGCAGGAAAGAAAGCTGGACTTGCTCAGATGGCTGGCGATTTATGCTGGGCCGGAGTGCCTGAGAAAAGAGCATTAGCAACGACATGGAAATGCAGAAATGGAGCTGTGCAGTATCCATGCCAGATAAGATCCAAGTGGAGAGCGGAGTGATCAACAATCACACCTAGCGACCGCTAACTTGTTTCTCTACCCAGGTTGCTGAGCTTGCCAAGTTGGCCGTCAAGAGCGCTGAGGACGCGAGCATCGTCGAGGCGGAGCGAGAAGCGCTAGAAGCAGAGTCGGAGTTCATTGCTGCGCACCAGTACGAGGATTTGCTCACACCGGAAGATTACGCGCTGCTCCAGAAAGCACGCTCGCAGGACGTCGAGGATTACAATGCGGAAATGAAGTCGGGGCCCGACCCGAGCCCGTTCAGGGTGGCCTTTGAGCAGGCTCTTCAAATGCCGTTGAAAAAGAAGACGGATGTGGAAAAGGGTGGCGTACGGGCGAAGCGGAAAGCGGCGGGGAAAAGAGCTGCGGGGGGCAGCGGAGCTCTCGAGACTGGGGTGTTTGAGGTCGAACTGGCGGGTAGTAGGGTTTTGAAAACGAAAGTGTCACAAGGGGTGTTGAAAACGAAAGCGTCACGACGGGTTTCGAGAACGAAAGCGTCGCAAGGGGGCAGAACCGCTGTGGTGGATGCGCCCCCCCGGAAGAGAACGGCAGAGGTGCCAATGCGGAAACAGACGGTAACGATGCCGGCTGAGAGGATCAAACCGGCAGAGGTTGATTCCTTAGGGAAGGAGTTTGCGGTGCCGTCTTCTCGGCGGGGAACTAGGTTGGCGAGGCGGGAGAGAGCGAAAAGGTGGGCGCACCAGCAGCAGCAGCAGGGGGGACGCCGGTGGCGGGATGAAAAAGGGGTTGGCGGGGCGCAACCGAACCTGCTGACGATGATCACGAGGGACGCTGTGCTATTGACACCCGAGGAGGAGGTGGAGTGCACGCAGCAGATTAGGGTGAGCGCCTGGTGTCAAACGCCCTGTTAAGGCTCCGTTTGGGCGGAGTGTGGTGTGCTGACTTCTCTGTTGGGCTGGTTTTCCGCGCATGCTTGTCCTATGCTCTCATTGATCTTAGCAATCACCATATCTGGTGTTGAGACTCCTCATCCCCTGTGCTCGTTACCCTTGTTCCACGTGTCAGTAGAGCAGCCCTTTGCATATCGCAATCTCTGGGCGTTCGGGGAAGAGCTAGAGACTCTGGTCTCAACTCTACCCCACCCCATTGCTTGCCAGCAGCGTCTGTGATCAGCACGCATTCAGAATCTTCGTATTCTTCCTACTCGAAAACTCGAGCTTGATTCCTGGATGCTAAACGAAAGATCCCAAGCCCTCCGTCTTTCTCCTCCCCCCTCCCTTTCGAGTCATTGCCCATCCCTGCCTGCGGATGCTTCGCGCACCTCTAAACTTAGCGCTCCAAACGTCTAAAACCAACCGGATCTTTGCTTTGCAGGAGAAGCTACGGCTGGAGCAGGGCGCGGGACATCTGGCAACCGACCTGGGGCGGGAGCCGTCGATGGATGAGCTGGCCGAGAGTTACGGGATGACGACGGCAGACTTCCGGGAGGTGTGGGTGCGCGGCGAGAACGCCAAGGCGCGCCTCGTCAAAAGCAACCTTCGGCTAGTGATCTCGATTGCCAAGGCGTACCAGGGAAGGGGGCTGGAGTTGATGGACCTCATACAGGTCAGATATTATTGGTTTGCTTGCAAATGCTTTTTGAATGAGTTTTTCAAGTATCGTTTCCTCGCTGTTGGACATTGTTCACTTCTGTAGTAGTGTTGGGCGGGAAGAACGTCCAGATATCAGGAATAGGACACACGAACATTGGTTTGTTTCCTGGTAGCATCCTGGTTTTCTATAATTGGAAGGGTGTTTAAATTCATCATCTGCCTTCTCTCACCGCACTTTGAGTTGCAGCATCCAAAGCTTTCCGAAACACTGGAGAAACAGCGATTATAGCAAGAGTGGTGGGAAGACATTGCTTGCAACTCAAGCATCTTTTGCTGTTTTTGTCTGCAGGAGGGGAACGTGGGCCTGATGCGGGGTGTGGAAAAGTTCGACACCTCCCTCGGGTACAAGTTCTCGACTTACGCACACTGGTGGATCAGGCAGGCCGTCGCTCGGGCAGTGCAAGAGCACGGGAGGACCATCCGGTTACCGGTGAGTGACGTCATCAAGCACAAGCATTGGTATCCCAGCAATTTATGCCAAGCAGGGTCGAATATTTCAGTGATATCATTGGGCATCAAGCAAACGTAGACGACTGAGATTCCCTACCAGATTGAGAAGCTTTGGCTTTGGCTTGGAAGATTTGCCCGCAGTTTTATGAGATATTTAAGCAGGTTCGAGGCAGAAGCAACGCTCTGGATATCAAGCTTTCGATTTGCATCCATGAGTTGTAAGTACTCACCGTTCGCCGATCTGAGTTCCAATTTCGTTGACAAAATTGAATCTTCGGCGCGTCGCAAGATCTGCTCCGTTTCAGAGATGTCCCTGTCCTCTTTGAGACTCTTCGTCCTCTTTCCTTCAGGCAGTGTCGCTCACCCTCGGTAATCGTTTGCAACCGGAACCATTCAATTCATCAATCATTGAATCCTCGACCTTGTCATGAACATGCTTTCATCCTCATTTCTACAGACCCACATGTACGAGGCGATCCCCAAGATCATTCACGCCAAGCGCCTGCTCAAAGCGAAGCTCCACCGGGACCCGACGGTCCAGGAGATTGCAGCGCTCACTGAGTACGCCCCCGAGAAAGTGACCCTCGCGATTGCGGCCAACCAGCGGCCCCGCTCCGCGGAGCAGGTCGGCCGGTATGGCGGGGGTGGGGACGCAGAACAGGAACCGCAGGAAACGCTGCTGGTAAGTTTGTGCTGGTGTTCGGCTGCTGAACTTGGGGTCGTGTTGTTTCAAAGAGATGGTTCTTCCGGCGCCAGCACTTCATTCGAGTGCTTCGGAGTTTGGAATTGAGGTTTGGGCATCTCGGAACCAAAAGATGCAAGGTTTGGCGCGGACTCATGCGTCTGGACGTCATCGATTGGTTGGTGATGGTAGCAATTCTGCCTGATATTAACATTCCATATGTTTCGTAAGCTTAGGCTCATTGAACAGGCCAAACAGTAAAGGGCAGCCCACAGTCGGTTGCTTCCTTCCAACGGCCTTCGGTATTTTATAATGAAGTTAGTGCTCTGCTCTTTCGGGCTCTACTCTTGGTCAGTTTAGTCGAAGGAGCTGGGAGTCGGTTTTTGGAGGGCTTTTACGGTTTCGAAGACTTCCTAATCCCACTACTGAAGCAGTTTCAACCGGATCTTGGTTGGGTCAGTCACCGAGTAAATTGCTGACCCTTCTTTGTGGTCCTTGCAGGATCAGCTCGTGTTGCCAGGCGATGACGAGACTGGGACCGCGATGCTTGCAGAGGATCATCTTCTTCGCAACCTTGCGGCGGCGCTTGAAACCCTGAACGGCAGGGAAAAGGAAGTTTTGTCCATGCGATTCGGCTTGGACGATGGGAGGCCGAAACCTTTCGAGGAGATTAGCATTAAGTTCAACGTCACCAAGGAGCGTATTAGGCAAATAGTTCTGAGGGCGCTTAGGAAGTTACAGGACCCGGCCATATTCTTGACACTGAAAGACTTTGTAGAGAAAGGTTAAGAGGTAATTGAAGCCGGGGGGCATCATATCGGAGGGGCGACCGCAGGTTTTAGTTAGTTAGCCACATTGGCTCACGCTTTTGTGCACAGTACCATACTAAGCAGGCTAATGCGCGTTGAGGGCAAATGTGGTGGTTTGAGAAGATGGACGAAACGCCGTCGTTCTCAAACTCCAATGTTAGAAGACTCTCTAGATCGCAGGGATGTGGAGTATTCGAGGGTTAGGCCTTCTTTCCAGATCAAGGTTTCTCCAAGTCAACTTCTTCGGTGGCAGATTAGTAGTCATGGCTTTACGACGATCTTTAGCTAATGGGCAGAGACCACTTGTGGACGCTCATGCATGCATGGCTTTCTAAGGAGTTTCACCAATTTTGGGACCCGTGCGAGGTCCAAACGAAGCCGGCGACTGAGCACAGTTCCACGCCCAATTTTTATGCATTGAGCGAGATTGCTCCATGACATTCTGCCCCTTGATTGAGATCAAATATGCTTTTCCGGGCAGCTTTGAATCGTTGCGTTGTGGGCATTGATCAGGTATATCTGACTCAAGCGTACCCGGAGCTTGGTCGTTCAACCATTAATTTGCCAGGCAGCTGCGGGGCATTCATGAATTACGCGTCCCTGATCGGATTGAACTTAAGTACGTGCGTGGCATGGTTTGTTTGCACTTGATTGGATTGCCTGCAGCACAGTCGTTTCATCTTATTTTTCTCACTACGCCGCCACACGTACTGATGCGCCCGGCTGGCCGGGGCGCTGCATATGTGGTCGTTAGAAGGATACTATACCATGTCTGGTAATCAATTCTTTATCGAATATAGGTATACCTTAGTATAATTATTTGACCGGACCAGTTGGTATCGCGAACTCGAGATCTTGCATGAGCGCCCTGCAGCCCGGCCCATGTTAGTTCCATATATATCGCCCGGGCAGCAGCTGTATATTTAAGCAAAAAGAAGCTCACTCTGCCTGAACTGCGACTCCCGGCAGAATCTGTTTATTGAATACCCTAATCCACCCTATAACCATGCACCATGTAAATCCCAAACCAACTGACTCGTTGCACGCGCGAGCGCGCGGCGCTTGCCTCAAGGCACACTGCGGCCTTGAAGTCAAGAATAGGGCACAGTGACTAGACTCGAATCAATTTATTGTCATCTTGTTCGACATGACGGTACCGTTGCATCTATAAAATCGCTGGCAAGTTGAAACGGGTTGGCCCTCGATCATTGGATTTGAGCAGTGACCGTCGATCCATGATTCGATCATGTCAAGCATGCATGTGTCTTGATTGAAGCTTACCAGTCTAGCTAGCTCGCGACGTGTAGCAAAGTCAATAGGCTGCATGTTTGATGTCGTGCAAGCGGCCTGCATATGAACGGTTGCACGCATGCTTCGCAGTTGGCTCCTTGAATGTCACGACACCAGCTCGAACAATCTACGAGAGTCAAAGTTTATATTAGAGCATTTATCTACAGTTGTCTACTTAATCCTCAAGGAGGGCAAGTATATTGACGGTTTTCAGCGACTTTCTAGCTGTACAAAGTACAAAGTCAAGCCCCGGCGAGAACGCGTCCGACAAGCGCTGCAAACTGCAAACTTGCCCCTCCCCCTGTGAACTGTACACTCAACATTCTATATACAAGTCGCCTATACTGGATTTACAAAACTACATGTCTGCGTCACTTTTGAGGATTTACCTTCTGCATCACCTTTTGAGGATTGTTGGCAGGATTTCTATGCATGTCTGGACTTTTGACAGCATGTGACGTCAACCAGACAGCTTTAACCCCGGCTGCCTGCCAGCAATCCTCGTCCTGAAATCAAACCCCCTTTTCAATTTCGCTACCGACTGTTCACGGCGTCTCCTATGTCACTACTGAAAACACAATCCTAAGTTTCCGGGTTGATCCGCCCGTTTCAACCCAGAAGTCACCAGATTCTCGCCCAGTCCTCGGCCCCGGCGCCTAACCCGCTTACCCCGCCTGAGAAGTCGCCATCTCCTCTCAACCCCTTGCAAGATTCCGTTGTCAGGGCTCCCCCTGAAACGCGGCCGGAATGAAGAACGTGCTCGGAAACGTCCCGGCACTATTCGGCAGCAGCGTCAGAATGCATATGCTCAGCAGCACCCATCCGAAGAACGTGCGTCCCTGCCCCAGGGGGGTAATCTCATCTTCCGCGGGGAGCTCCTCCCCCCGCCGAAAAAGCAGGATAATGAACCCCCACGCGAGGCAAAGGATGCTCCCGGAAAACCCCCCCACTCCGAGGAGGGCCGCCGTGAAGATGGACACGCGGTTTGCGGGCGCGCGCCCGAAGAGCGCCTGGGCGATGCGGCCCCCCTCGAGGCGGCCGGTGGGCAGCAGGTTGAGGCTCGTGATGACCATGCCTGGGTGGAAGAACTTAAGAGATCGATGCGAATTTCTAACAAGGGGGGATTTGCAAAGTCCATGAAAAGTGTGGGGTTCCAATAGTAGGTCGGTGCTAATGATGACCATGCCTAATGATAAACAGCACAAAAAGAAGTTGTGACGATAGTTGATGCAAACAAACGATAGGCGGAAACGATTTACGGAAGAAGTGAGTTCTTGAGTTCTGGGGATCCAAGAAAGGATTGAAGAGAGGTCAGGCCCGTGATGACCATGGCTGCTGGCATATACAGCGAGAGTTGAAAGTAAGAGGCTTTTGATAGGCTTTTGCTAGGCTTCTGATAGGACTACTAAATGTTTCATCTGACCCATTGACGTCCCAGGTGGTGCCCAAGTTGACGTGCCTGCGCAAGCGATCAGGGACTCTAAAAACTGAAAGGAAACAAGTGCCCCACATAGCAGGCCTGCGAGAAAAACCGGGTTGAAAAGGAAACGGAAAAACTAGTTCAGCTCACTCATTACACCCTGAGAGGCAATCGAAAAAAATGAACCGGGCAACAGAGAGGAAACAAAAGCTCACCTAGCAGGCCTGCGAAGACGAAAAAGTAGACCTTGGGATCAGGTTGCCAAGAACATCCTCAACGGCGATCGGGAAGTTTGAACCGGGCAACAGAGAGGACAGAAAAGCCCACCTAGCAGGCCTGTGAAGGCGACCGGGTTGACCGGAGCAAGAAATATATTCAACTCTCTTAGCACACCTATATTTGCAACCAGAAAGTCTTGAAGATATTCAAAGCAAAGAAAGGCGTAGTGTCGCCCTCTCTGCGAACCATCCACTTCTTTTCAATCTTGTCCCAAACCCTTTTCAAAAAGACGATTCGGATTAGCCCACCCAGCAGGCCTGCGAAGGCGACCAGAGAATTCCAAACCGGGGCGGTAAAACGGAAAAAACAGCCCACCTAGCAGGCCTGCGATGGCGACCAGGAGAGTAGAAGCCGGGCTATCGAAACCGGGCTTCCAAAACGGCGGCAGAAAGAAGGTTCCAGCCCACCGAGCAGGCCTGCCAAGGCGAGCAAGGAGCCCTGACCGGCCAAAAGAAGAGGAAGAAGAGAGCCTACCTGGCGGGCCTGCGAAGGGGACCGGAATTAACTGGAAAACAAAGGTCCGCTCACTTAGCACACCTGTAATTGTAATCGGAACCTCTGAACCGGGCGGTCACAGGAAAGGCATAGCGTTGCCTTCTCTACGATCTAACGAGCCTTTGTCTAAGATTTCCGAGCCTCGAAAAAGAGAAAGCAAACAACCTAAATCAGCCCACCTAGCAGGCCTGCAAAGGCGACCGGGTTGACCGGGACCCCGAGCTCGGGGACTGCGTGCGGGAGCACGTTGCCCAGTTCGTCGGCATACGGGCCGATGACGTACTGGATGAAGCTGAGCAGAAAGTTGGGCTGGAAGAAGTTGGGCTGTACATATCTGCAGGAAGAACAATCTGGGCTCAGGAAGAAGACGCAGTGTTTCTGCAGGCTAACCTCGTTCGGCGCCTTCTGTTCTCAACCACTGACGTACGGATCTCAGAATTACAGAAGAGGGACCAGATCGAGCAACAAAACAATCCGTCGGGCGCTCTCGCCTGAGGTGACGTCTCAGTGCCGCATCAAACGCTTTAGCTCACAACAGGGAAGGATGCGAATGTGAGCCACTCACGATCAAAATTGCTGGCGCCTCGAGAGAGACCAGCTCCTTGGTCGGCGAATAGCCGGTCTCATCCTTCCGTCCCTTCCCAAAACTTACACTTTCCCCGATCTACTCAACAGGAAGCGAGTAAAAAGTAAGCTCTCTTAGTGTATCTAAAACCCTAGTCCGAAAGTTCACGCCCTTTGGACCCATACCCAGATAAAGTTCCGTACGACTTCACCTTCACGGCGCTGAAGTCTACTAAGCCAATCGGAATGAAACTTACAGGGGATGCGCGCCTCCGTTGACACCTCCATCTTGCAAGAAGGCGGCAATCGCGAGGGAGAGCGAAGAGAACCACCCGGCCGCGGCGCGAGACGCGGCCACGTCAAACAGCGCCTTGCGTGACGGCAGCACAGATTCGATCTCGGTGGCCACTCCGAGGAAGCCCAGCCAACCGGAGGGGATCAGGTAAGGTGGGCTGAGTTTGATGCCGTATTTTCTAGCGGTCAGTCGTTGGCAGATCTGCAAAAGAGGAAAATGAGATCTGTTTGCTAACCTAACTGCATCTGACACATGGCGAAATAAAGGCTTATGAGATTGGGCGGGCTCAATTTTACGCTGTAGTAAGTAGCGGTCAGGCGTTGGCAGGTCTGCGGAACTGAAGTGAAGACTGTGTGCTTTCTGGCAGCGGACGGCGAATAAAGCCTTCTTTGTTACAATTCTAAGAGTTATACATCCGAGGGTTATGTCAAACGGCAGGACGACTTGCGCGGAACAGTTTTGCAAGGAAAAATGGATTCGTGACTGTCTTGGCTGCGTCCATAATCATGAGTGGCAGGTTGCGAGCGGAAACGTTGCAACGTAGAGCGTACTCGAAAGACCATATGATTCTGCCGGTGGCAAACTCGCTACGATCAAAGAGGTTAAGACATGAGCGGCCGAAATACGCAATTTCGAGTGAGGCACTGGCGGCGGGTGAATTTTTGTCAGTATGGAGGTAGCATCTTCGAGGCGTTCAGACCCGGCGCTTCCCTAATCTTCCTTATCAATCTGCTGAAATACTCATAACCATAAACTCTCATAACCATCAACTCTAATAGTAATAAGGATCTCATAGTATACGAGAATAAATCTCCTGGTTAACCGACACTAAGATCCTAAACACAGATTAAACTCATGTTAACATAAATCTTGCTCATGTGAATACTCGATGATAGAGAGAGTGACTCGGAGACTTTGTTTCCTTGCGCACCAGTCACGCGATTGATGCTCTAGCGTCGGCAAAACGGGGGTCGCGATCAGAAAAGGGATTAAACTCAATCGGAGGCACAATCAACAGCAAAGATCAGAAAAAGGATTAAACAAGATCAGGTCCAAGGAGCGGGGGAACGAACAGCTATCCTTACACGAAAAACAACCTCCAACAGTTGGGTTTAAGAGAATCCAACAATCCTGGCCCAAAGGGAATGAGATGGACGGAAAATCAGGTGCGAATTTCCCGGAAACAGTTTGCAAGAACCAGAAAAACAACGAAGACTCCTCACTTCTGACGCTCCCAGGAAGACGGTCAGGCCCCCGAGCAACGGAACCGCGTGTTCGAACCCCGCGTCCACTTCGCTGGGCCCCAGACTGACCCGGGAAAGGAAGACGGTGGTGAACATGGTCGCCGCAAGCAAGGCCAGCGAAAGGGGCCATCGGGCGACCCCCCCGAGGCGCCGCTGCTCGAGCCGCTCGTCAATTTCAGCCTTGGGCTGAACCACGCAAGCCTGCGTTCAACGAGAGTAACGGACCAATTCGTTTAATTCTTCTGGGGGGGATTCAGATTGTTTCGAATGATTGTTATGACTGTCAATGCTTAGGCTGGACCACGCACGCCTGCGTTCGACGGAGTGTTTTGTGTCTTTATTTTCTTATTGAATTAAAATTATACCCTGTTTTCTTCCTGAGGTTTGCTTGGAGCGTAGTTTTGAGTATTGAGAGACTCCTGGATTTACAGATGCTGAGGCTCTAACGGTTCAAGATAGAACTTTGAAGAGTCATTCGTCGATCTCGGCCTTGGGCTGGACCACGCATGCCTGCGTGTGACGCGAGTTTTTCAGTGTTTCAGTGTGTTTATCTGCGATTTTTCCAGGGGGACGTTGAAGTGTTAGGGACTTTCTTAAGTCCGCATCGGACCTCATAAATCGTAAGGAAAGTGGAACAGACGTTTTTGATCTACCAAGACGGACGAGAGGGCTTGCTCAATTCCCATCTTTCCTTGACTTTCAAGCAGGCAAAAATCTTGCTACGCCTCCCGCTGGTAGCACTGACTAACCGCCTTTGACAAACAATTTACACATTCCAGGTGCTTCTCGTAGGTAAAACACTCTGCTTAAGCCGCCCTTCTCGAAGCGATCCGGATCGTTGGAACTTCCGACAGATTTTTACCTGTTGTTTGAAAACCATGAAAACGAGGCACAAGCCTAACTGATCTGAGCCAACGAAGTCATCTTACATGAAGATAGGAACTGTCATTTGCCTGCCTTATCAGCCACTAAAGAAATTAGAGCTCTTCGAACTCCGATTGCAGTTGATAACCTGACTGTTTCTTTCTGCTCGTGAAACACAATCGATGACCCTGTTTAGACGCGACCAGAGTCCGAGGGCGGAGGAAATTGAAAGCTCAAATTCGTAATCCCATCCGACACACTGCACCCCGCTTTTCTCTCGCGACAAATCAGAAGCGGATGTCCTTACACCCGCCTCAATGAAAGGATCGACGTTGAGAAGATAGTCGTACCTGCTTGTCTGTGTACTCGTCAATGAGGAAGAAGAGCACAACCTCTACGCCCAGCTCTTCCGAGATCTTCGCTTTGAGCTTGGGCGCAATATCCTCGATTGGCCCCCGCAGATTGCCAGGGAAGATCGCCCCCCTGCCATAGCGCTGCGAGTCTGTCGGGAAGTAGGTAGTGTAACTGAAGCACTTTCGAATCTGCATAGAGTTTGAAGAAACAGTCGTCAATGGGGCTGTGCGAGTGTCCCCAACAACATCCTAATCTGGGGCGTCTATCTGGAGGACTTCTCTTCTGCAGATGTGAGAGGGGGTCTTGTAATGCAATTGCGTCTATGGACAAACTGTGCTTCAAAAACGATTCACCCTTGAAAATGTTTTATGCACACGCTGCAAAACTCCAGTGACTTCCTCCAGAGCCTGAATTTATCACTTGCAAATCCGAACAATCAGGTATCAGGAGCTGTCCTGAAATATACTTGCAGCCCGGGACTGTGTTCATTAGAATGAGATGCAGTTACATTGGTCAGCGCAGATGCCTCTCTACTTTGCAGTGATGGTGTCAGTCCGGTTTCAGCCTACAAACAAATGACTCCTTGTTGCTTCATACAACTCTCCTGATCTACTGCCCTTACAACCGGAGGTAGAGCTCTTGAAAAATCAAAATCAGAGCCTACACTTACCTCAGGTGATATTGGATCAGCCACCAGTCTCATCAGAGTAAGCCAGCTTTATGGCGCTCTTTTGATAAGTCAGTCTCCACGACAGACACGCCTCAGGTCACATCCAAACTTCTGTTTCTTGGGAGTCTTGTCCAATCGTCTACGTTTCTACAACGCACAGCCTTCTTTGACAAACAAGCTTGGTTCGCTCACCTTAGCTATATCCAGGTTCTCCGCTGGCGGCCCCTTCTCCTTCCGCCCAAGCAAGACCGACGACGCCGCCAACGCTGCCTGGCCTAAGTCCTCTACTAGCTCAGCAAGCGTCCCTCCCACTGAATCCCTCTTTCCAGCAATAACTCGCTTCTGGCGCCACGTCAGGTTCTCGTACGACTGCTTCTCCTCGCTCGCTTTCTGCTTGACCTCCTCCAGCTCCTGAGCAAGCTGCTCCGTCTTGGCTGCCAGCTTGTCCGCTCTCTGCTTCTCCTGCCGCAATTGGCGGAAGACGGCCTCTGACGGCGCACCGGTGTCGCCCTTCACCTGAGCTTCAAGGTTTTTCTCAGTCTGCTTTGAGGTTGGCTGTTGATCCGGTGGGAGAGTTGGTCCTTTATTTTGCGAGTTTTCCGGCTTCTGCAAAAGTTCTGCCTCAGCTTTCCCATTTGTCTCTTCTTTCTCCTTCAATGCACTGCAGAGGACTCTGCGTGAGGCTCCTTTCTGACTCTGGCTTGTAATGCGACGCTCATAATCGCGAGAGCTTAGAAGAATTTGAGCTGGACGAGTGAATGAGCAGCTCTGCGCGCCATTCTTGCGCAATTTTCCTTGAAAGCTGCAGGGGAATGACGGACAGCCGAAAGCAGGGCATCTTTTTGCTGGCAAGGAGCCGCCCAGGAAAGAAGTCGAAGGGTGCAGGAGACTTCTTGCGGCCACTTTCCCGACAGACGCCATGCTTCTCCCGGCCCCTTCCTCGCTCAATCCCAGTGTGGAATCAGATCTGACGACTCTACACAGTAATTTCAGCCGTCAATGCAACAACCACCTTCATCATCATGGAATGCATATGGCAGGGAAGCTGGGGAAGGCTGAAACCATGGTGATCGCCCCTGGAGGTGGCTTCCACTTCAACGGCTGCGCCAGCTCAGCTAGCGGCCCTGGATGCGTGTACCTGTCATCATCATTTAGGTATCCCCTCGTACTGGACCTTCATCGAACGGTTAGAGCTCCTCAAAGCGTTAGTGTTAAAAGTTCCAATCAGATCGACGGCCGGCAGCGATTGTAACCGTTAGAGTGCCACGTGGAAGGACCGCAGCCAATCGCTTGCAATTTCAAGAGCGTCTTTTGCGCTGACAGCCTCTCAGACTGCTTTGAGAGAGCGACGCGTGGCGCCAGAGATGTGTCTTGGCGCCACAAACAAGTAGAGCGCGCACACTCAGCAAAACCGTGACTGCAGCACTTCGGAGATCCTCTGATGCTGAAGAACCTTCCCTCCCAACACCTTGGGAGGATATTCCATTCTTTGAAAATGTTCCTGATGGTGGCACCGTTGCAGGCGCAAGAAAGATGAAAGGAGGCCCTGCTATACTCTTCTGAGCTGTTCAGGTGATATTGCGTAGGTTTGAATCACCTAAACATCGCAACCGGCTAGCTACTTGGTGTTACCCTCGTGTTACCTATCACAAAAGAGCTTGGGAGGAATACGAGGTAATCTGCGCGTTCATTTCCTTCCTTGGGGTTGCTTGGCTAGCCTCAAGGCATTTTGACGCGAGCGGTGATTGTGAGAGCAAGAGGGCTCAAGCCTCGCCGGTACTATTAGTTCAGGTGTTTGGAGGCAAGATGCACCAGTCCTTGGAGGCTTCTCCCACCAACATGAGTATTCGGGAGAGTGACAACACACGGTGGATTGAACAGGGTGCTGAGGACAGCAAGTGGGAAGAGGTGAAGCAGAGGAGGCGGCCAGGGAGAGCCACAGAGCCTTGGCAAGCTGTGAACACCACAAGTTACCTTGGGGATATTCACAATCTGTGGCTAGGGGAGAACAAGGAGACAAGTTTCAGGCCCTGGAGGGATCCACGTAATACTTCAGCCCTTGTTTGCTTTTCCGTCTGGCCTCCTTCAGCTGTTGATTCACCGCATTGATCAGTTGCATGCAAGATTCACTATTTGCGCAGGGGCATAATTATGATCTGCTTTTGAAGTGGAGGTGATGAATGAGCAGTACTATCTTGTAACTCCCAGAAACCTCCGGTGACATATCGCGTTGGCATTTCAGTCTGGTGGCATTGAGCTTCTTTTATGCTTCGGGCTATATCTAGATTGCCTCCCACAAAGGGTGTTGTCAGGCTCGGATTCGGCTCAGATCAGGGTCGGAATTCGCGGAGCATCCTTGAAATGTTTCAATCTGCTTGTATTCAGGGAGGGCAGTCTGGCCGGAGGATCTGCAGACTCTTCAGAAGCTGCTAGTGCATAGGCGAAGGCAGGCCTTTAGGGAGTGCATCAGGAAGCAGTTTCAAGACCCGTTGCCTCCCGCTGGAGTCCCCAACAACTGGCAAGCTTTGGTCGCAAACGCAGCCTCAGAGAGATGCGGGAGAGAAGGGGGCGACGGACTGGCCTACTTGGATCAGAATGTAGTCACAGAGGGAGCAGTGGCTGGTTTGGAAGCTGCTGAGAAAGATGGTTCCAGTGTGACGGTTGTCTGCCCTAACCAGGAAGCAGATGAGCCAGAAGCTAGTGCAGCCTCCTGTAGTGCGGAGCTGGTGCCAGGGAGAGCCGCAGGATCAGAGCACGATGTCAGCAGCGCTGATGTGAGCGGGAGCGCTGATGCGAGCGTCCTGTATGGCAAGTACATCCCGCAGGCAGCGGCCACAGAGCCTTATCTGCTGCCCGAGGTGTGTCCCTCGCTGCCGCTGCAAATGGCACTGGGGAACAGGGTTGTAACCATTGTGACCACAGCCGCATTGCCGTGGTTTACCGGGACCGCCATCAACCCCCTGCTGCGAGCAGCGTACCTGGCGCTGAATCACAGGGTGCTGGTCACTTTGATGGTGAGTGTCAAATGAGCACTCTTACAGGGCTTCAAATATGAAGATCATCCGTTTTTTAGGGGGGCAATCCGTGCTTGCTGTTTTGCAGTTACGAGTGAAGCATGCACTTTTTGAAGGCGTTATTTTGCAGGAAACGAAGAGTCTACAGGGAAAGATTGCGCGCCTGCGGTTTTGCTTCTGGAATTAAATCGCTTTCAGTTTGGCCCTTTGGAAGAGCCATATTGGGGTGCCCCATTTGGTTACAGGAGGGGGATTCAGCAATGCAGACATCTTATTTGCCACAGTGCCGTCAACAATATCCTTGATTAGACACCGAAGCTTGCTTGCTTGAAATTTTGCAAGCAGACATGGGGCAGGGCCCTTGCGGTGTGGGGCCTCTGAGGATGGATATATGGCAGTATCTGATTAGTAGCCTTCTTACAGACCCTTCACAGAATGCTTAGACTGATTGCACTTCACAGTTCGGGGCCATCTTATGTGCTAGGGCTCATCTTCTTTTCTAAAAAGCATGGCCTGCAGAGAGGTTCTTGTGTACCCTCTGGTAAATCCGAAGGTTTGTGAGAGTCTGGAATTGATCTGTAGGAAGACACTATGGCCCTGCCCATACAGGTGCCGTGGCTGGAGGTGGAGGACCAGAAGCAGGTGTACCCCAAAGGAGTGGTTTTTACACAGAGGCAGGAGCAAGAGGAGCATATGCGCAAATGGCTCTGGGACCGCGTCAAGCTGCCTGTAAGCACTTGCTGACTCGGTGACCTTCTAAACGGGCATGCAGAATCCAGGCTGTTAGGTAGTTATGTCTGCACATGCCAAGGAGCAATTCCTTTCGAGTTTTTGGGGCCAACTGCATGCACAAAAGGCACTTCCATATTTCATTGCTAGTGGGGATGAGTGGTTGTTGAGGCATGCCACTCAGGCCCCTGGCCTTTGCACTCTTTGGAGCTTTAGTCTAGACATTTACTGACTGAAGAGCACCGCTTGTTTCAGCATCAGGTGTGACTTTTAACTTGTAAGGTCGGGGCTTTTGACGCATTGTTGATCTGTCATGTAACAAGGAAATAAAGGGGATTTTATTGAATAGGGTCTGGATTCTTCATCAACTGCCCCATTCCTACTTATTTCAGATTTTTTTTCTTATCTGGTTTACTGTTGAAAGGAGGCGTTGAATACACCCTTAAGAAAAACAAGGACCTTTATCTTCTGAGATGCATGCAAAGGGACTGTTGATATAGAACTGGTGTGCAGTCCGACGGCAAGGTTAAAGATTGTGACTGCAAAATAGGATTTATAATTCTTTCATCTCTTGGGATTTCTACTTACTGGCAGACACTTCAGATAATAGACAATACTTCCAAGAAAAGCAAGAGAAAACATTCAAGAGAGGTACAGGAACAGAAGTGTGGGGCCAGAAGAGAAAAGGACAAAAGGACGGCAACTGGAAAAGGAACCTTCCCTTGAGCATTTCCTGAACATTCTCAAACATTCTTCCCTCACTCCAGGTCCACTTCCGCATCGCCTTCTACCCCGCCGTCTTCGACCTGCTCAAGTTCGGCATCTTCCCCACCCAAAAGATCGACGTCACTGAGCTCATCCCCCTACGCGAGCGTGATGTCGTCATTCTAGAAGAACCCGAGCACCTCAGCTGGTTCAACTACCAGGGGAAATGGCGCTCCAAGTTCCGCTTGAGCATTGGGGTGGGGCACACAAACTACATGGACTATTTGCGGCGCCAGGCGGGGGAGGCGTTCCCGCCGTTGATCCCGCTGATGTGGACGTTGAACGTGCTGCTGGTGCGGGCAAACTGTCACAAGGTCATCCGGCTGTCTCGAGGAGTTCAGGTAAGTCACAAGCGATGAGACGTTTTGAAGTGTCTAGACTTTCTCTAAGCCTGAACCCTTTTCTTATTCCTTTCTCTTTGTAATTCGTTCTCTTTGTAACTCTGCGAGAAAGTCTATTCTCAGAGAAAGACAGCCCTGGTTGCTGGAAGGAATGTGGGCGGAGTGAGTGTGCTTGAAAAGTTGGGGTGGTGTGCAGTTGGAGGCTTGTTGCTGCACTGTTATCCATCAACGTCATTTACTGCTGATCATCAAAGAGGGCGTATTTAGACGCATCTGAATGACATGTCACAGGGCGACTGCTCAACAGGTCCCTCTGCTCTGAAGTCGCCGGAAGGCACATGTCTCGGTTTGTGTCTCTTAGCGAGAAAAACTGTGAAGCGGTGACCGATGTTGACGTTCACATCCGATCCGGTGACATGCCTAGTTTAAGCGTGCCCAAAAACCTGTTACCAAGTTTCGTTGATGGTCTGCATTTGTCTTGTATCCACGTCGAAAAAATGTTTTCGTCCCCTGCAGTGGTTTTTCGACTCCGTGGTCTGCAACGTGCACGGCGTCAGCCCCAACTTCTTAGACATCGGCGATCGCGTGCGCGAGCGTGCGCTTTCTCTCCTGGAGGACGGGTTCAGCAGCGAGGATGAGGTCAGCAGTGCGCGAATCCAGCCGCAGGCGGTGGAGGGATCCCTCTCGATCGCGCCGGAGGAACGTGCACAAGAGGGAAGGCAGCATGAAAGGTCCGAGGGGAATAACTTGCGGGAGCGGCGTGGGGTTATATGGAGCAAGGGGAATGAGCTACAATTGAACGGCAGGCCGGCGGTCGAACTGGTGAAGGATGTCAGCTTGTCGAGGTGGTTGAACTCTTCGGCTGAGAGTAGAGAGGAGCAATTTGACGAGGTAGCGGAGGCGGGTAAGAGTGGACAAGATTTGCAGTTGACACCAAGCGGCAAAAGTGAGGCGGAGCGGACGCCAACGTCGGTTCTGCATGGCCGAGTGTTTGAGGAGCGGGGAAGGAGGGGGGAAGTGGGGACTGCCAGTCCGAGCATCAGCGGTCGATCAGCGGGAGTTCCAGTGTCGGGAGAGCGACGGAGCAGGTCGCAGTTCTCCGGGGGCTGCTACTTTATTGGGCGAGCGATTTGGGGAAAGGGCTACCACGAGTTGTGTCAGCTTCTCAAGAAACAGAAAGAGGAGCTTGAGCTTCGTGCAGGAGAGTCAGAAGCGGGGTTTTCGGCGACCAAGGAAGGGGGACAGGGCGCTTTCAGGTCGCCGAAACACAAGGTGGTGCAGCTAGAAGACTTGGACGGTCAGGCACTGCGCCCCGGGGGGGAGAAAGTCGACCCTGAGGGGGGGGCGGTTCCGCTGGTGCAGGAACGGGGGGGCGGCAGCACGTTCCGCCTCCTGAACCTGTGCATGCGAAGCAAGTTTCTGTGGCACCTGCAGACGATGTGGCTGAGGCGTCGGTACGGTGATCGTCTGAAATGGTTGGAACACGGGCGGCGCGCATTTTGCGCGGTGCAGGGCGGGGGCGAGAGGGCCCAGCCAGGGAACCCCCCTGAAAGGGGGATGGGCCAGCGGGCCCCCCTGGAACGGGTGCATTCGGAGACTGGGGAGGTGAACAGCATAGTGGGATTGGACCGAGCGCCATGTGGGGGGGGCTGTGAACGATCAGAAGAAGCAAGGGGGGAAGCATCTGAGGAGGAGACTGGCGGCCCGTGTGGCGGGAAGAGTTTTGCAAATGGGGGTGTGTCTGAGAGAGGCGCTGCAGGGGGGGGTTTGGCAGACTTGGTGCACGTTGACTGCTATGGGACGGGGCCGCATGAGGGGGAGATTGAGGCGTTTGCGAAGGAGCACGCGCTTCCGCTGACGTTTCACGGGAGGATCGACCACAAGGAGCTCGTTCAGTACAAGGTAAGGGAAACGCGTGTCTCTGTTTTCTGTGGGTAGAGCAGGTTCAAATACTGTGTTACATGGCCTATCGTCTTGATGATGGGCCACAACGCTTACACGGAACGCCATAATTCCTGCTCCTGGGTTACATCTTCCTCCGAGCGATTGGTGGCTGCCTTGATTAGAGGTGCCTTTTGTGTTGCGCTTTGTCCGAGCTTGCAAAAAGACCCGCAGCTTCTCGTTCTGCTCATACTGTCGCCTTGGGAGCTTGCAGACCCGTGCTTCAATCTTCCAGGTTGTTGTTCTTAGAAACGGTAGAAGATCACCGTGTTCCATAGTCGTTGCTCACGTACTGAAGCGACCTCTCGTTGTAGCAGCTCCCATGAGGGTGCAGAGCTTTTTCCACATCCCAAAAGCTAGTATACAGTATACAGATTTACTTGAACGCTGCTATCAGTGACGTGGTGTAGCTCGCATTAGGGGGCGGAGCTTTCTTGGCTTCCCGAAAGCTAAGTATACAAGTTGACACCTCCAGGTATACGTCAACCCTGCCATCAGTGACGTGGTGTGCACGGCGACCGCGGAGGCGCTGGCGATGGGCAAGTTTGCTGTGATTGCGGATCACAAGTCGAACGAGTTCTTCAAAGATAACTTCTCGGGCAACTGCATCACCTTCCCCTCGGACGACCCCGGTAAGGACTCCAACCAAAGCGCACGGATTATTGTCTGAATTCCTCTCAAATGACCGGACATTTCAAAGATTTGATTTTGCACTGTTTACGCTGGTTAACCCTATCAGCAACGCACTCGCCTATAAATGAAACTTTCTGCTGCTGGCGCTTGTTTTTATTTCCGAACACTATGTGCTCATCTGCGCTGGTGTCCGACTTTCGAGCAGTGGCTGGATTAACCGTCTTCGAAGTGTTACCATTACAATGAAGAGTCTGACATGCTCGTTGTATGTCTCCACAGACGAGTTCCTGCGCTGCCTCCACTTCGCGCTGGCGCACGAGCCCGCACCGCTGACGGCAGAGCAGAGAAGGCTTCTGACTTGGGAAGCAGCGACCGAGCGTTTCATGCAAGCGGCTGGGTTGTAGGCAGTCGAGTCCACAGGTGATTCAAAGTTACGGGTGGGTAAAAGGGCAAAGGTATATTCTTTGGTATGTATCAAGGGGCGGTGGTATAGCTGCATCAAAATGCCATTGTAGAAAGGTTTTATGGCCCTTTTCGTTATGATCAAGCCGCGCTGAGCAGAATCCTGTACAGATTCACGAAGATACATAGGTCGAACTTACGAATGTACTTGGTACCGGAGAAACCACAGTAGGTACGTTATAAAGGCATTCAATAATAACAAGCTCGCACATGGTTTAAGGTGGTAAGACGGTATTCTACAGTGGGAGCGCATTCAAAACCCTAAAACTTGATGTACACATCATGGATTCACATTCCGTTTTTTCGAGGTGGTTAGTGCTATTGAGAAGCATGTTTGGAAGCCCCTCGAACCATGATACAACATGCCAAAGCAGAACGAAGCACATGAGAAGTTGGCAAAATGTGCAAAACCCCCTCGGCAAACATTTTCGTAGGAATAAATCTGAAAGATAGAATCCGTCCGAAAGGGACGAAATGTTCATGGGGGCAAGCTGGGATGTCAAAATCAATTTTTGTAGCCCATTCCTCCAGAGGGTGTACCAAATACCACCATGCTTTTCCAGAAAACCCTGAAAACTGCGCAAAACTGTTGTTTTCCGGAAAAGCATGGTGGTATTTGGTACACCCTCTGGAGGAATGGGCTACAAAAATTGTTTTTGACATCCCAGCTTGCCCCCATGAACATTTCGTCCCTTTCGGACGGATTCTATCTCTCAGATTTATTCCTACGAAAATGTTTGCCGAGGGGGTTCTGCACATTTTGCCAACTTCTCATGTGCTTCGTTCTGCTTTGGCATGTTGTATCATGGTTCGAGGGGCTTTCAAACATGCTACTCAATAGCACTAACCACCTCGAAAAAACGGAATGTGAATCCATGATGTGTACATCAAGTTTTAGGGTTTTGAATGTACTCCCACTTTAGAATACCGTCTTACCACCTTAAGATTCGTTTTGATCTGCATTGACCCTCTGCATGGCCGGCTGGGTGCGAAATCTGCATGCCATTTTGTATCGATCAGAAAAAGCTCAAACTGATGATTCTCGAAGGAAGTGTATCATGCATTGCGTCATGTTCGCACATATGGCTAAGGGCCGGCTGTAGTGACTACTTTCAAGTCGTGACAACAACCAGAGTGCATGAGTAGATCATGTACCAACACATATGCATACGCGCGAAAGTACAGTAACATGTGAAAACAAATACTACACGGACAGTTGGATCAAGTTCCAAATTATACGACATTTATTGAAACACGACATATGGCCCGACGTTGCTGGTGCTGCCATGGGCGGGTCAATTTGTGCTGCCAATGGTCAATATTTTGAGCACAAAACGCAATGACCGCTGTTACTGGCACTAACCTCTACAAAAATCGCATCAAAATCAGCAATGACATCCATCACTCCTTCAATGCGCCGCATAGAATCGATGTCCGAATCTGGATAAGGGCTGCATGGAGCACTCTTATGATGTGCAATTGCACCATATCCGCTTTGCGCACAATTGACATACCACAAAACCCTTAAAATGTTTTCAAAAGTATCTTATACCGAGCAGTAAGCCCACCTATGACTCTCCAATTTCCTCAGTGCAAGTCCTGAGCCATGACTCTTCTGAAAATTGCTTCACGAACCTGACCTTTCAATACTGACTGCCCCTGCAGCATTATTTAGAATCTCAATTACCCTTAGCTACAGCACTCCTAAGACGTTGCGCCCCACAGACTGCTCTCCTTGAGCGACTTCTCATTGATGCCGATGAGTGACTCGAAGAAGCCCATGAACGCAAAGGCGGCCAGCGGAGACAGGTCCAAGTTTCCGACGACTGGGATGATGGACTTGAAGCTGTACGGCAAGAGGGCAAATGGATCAGCAGAGCTGAGAGCAACAAAGCAGTTGTGTCTATCGGGCAGAGAAAAATGACGCCTAGACTTGTTGGTCGCTGTGAAGCATGCTCGATTGTCACGTTTGGGGTAGGCTATCACGAAGTGGGAATAGGCTATGGCGAAGGGAGTAGCAAGCAAGCGCCTATGGTTGCCCATTGCCCTTCTCTCATTTTCAGTTTCATGAATGGCTCGTTGGCATCACCGAAGGAGATGGAAGCTTTTTTATTGAGCGCCAAATTCTCAAGCAAAAGGGAGAGCAAAAAAGAAAAAAAGGGGCAAGAGTGAAACGAAGAACGCCGATCTCATCTTTGAAAAATACCGCTTTCGAAATATGTGTTGACTCTCAAATCGTGGTCGGGGAGCTTAGAGACACACTACCCTTTCCGGCAAAAACTTCTGCAAGGGGATCAGTAGTAGAGACGGACAGCTACCAACAGCAGGGTACCAACGGCAGACGGCAAGAGATGGTGTCCACTCGTAAGGAATCTTTCTTTACACAACTCCTCCAATCAATCCCTTGAAGCCTCACTACTCTGAAGATTTATCTAGCAGATCTGTAGGAAAGGCGCAAGAAAACATCCGTTGGACTTGGTTTCGGACTGTAGCTCAGACACCCGGACGACAAGCCATTGTCAAGTTTTTTTCCCAGTAGGGTCCACCAACTTGCTCCGTATTAGGGTTATCCCTCTAAATTTCCCAGTCTTCCAAAAGCGCCAACGAACCGTGAATAAACTGGTGTTCTCTCAAGTTGCGCGCTTGTCGACCAATCCGGTCTGCAGTTATCCCTATGTTACAAACCATGCCGAATTCGATATCATGCGCGCTCGGAAGCTTTTCCGTGGTTTCGGACAGGTTGAAAGGAAACCGCTCCGCCCAGTCAACCACGGTTACGCTCAGAATTGCTGAATGCTAAGAGAAAGAAGTCAGAAGCCTTTGTGAAGCTCACAGATTGAGGTAAGGGTCCGTCAGTTCCCGGGACGCCTTGAGCGGGTGCTTGTCCCAGGGCAGGTTAGGGAACCAGGTTAGCACGATCCGGAGGAGAAGCAGCCCACGGAAGATGAAGAGCACCTGCGGTTAAGAGATAACCCTGGTCTGTTTCTTGGTTGAAGAAGCCATAAAAACACGGAGCATGGCAAGATTCTTGGAGCGAATGGAGTTGAAAAGCAACTTGACCGCAAAGGTGGGAGGATTTGTCACTGAATCTCGGGGCTAGATTTGAGGGCATGCTTCAGAAGCTCCGGAGGCAGGCAGGTGAGTATCTTCGACAAAAGCAGCGCCCATTGTATAACATTCATTTCCTAAAGGACAAAAGACTAACACTGAGGACCATGTCTTTGTTAGGCTGGATTATGACCGGACCCTGAATACCCGAAAAGGATTAACCAGACAAGCCTAGCAGTGCTCGGAAAAGTGACAGCCTATCTCTTCGCTCATGCAAAAATTGAACTCTATGCCTTGATACAATGAGAAACAGACTGCTTTCAAAACCGAGATAAGCAGCTGACACGTGATCAAGCATCCGCTCATGGCAGGAACCCAAAGCTGATGGCGTCTCTTGCAGCAGTGGATTCAAAGAAACTCCTAACATTCCAACACGGCACAGCATTGAAAGTGAAAAAGAGAACTTCATAGCAGCAGACCGGGCTGAAATCGTGAAAGCTGACAAGAGGCGAAGTTTTTGGCTATGAGTTATCCAATGAGCCTCCTGATTGATTATTACGTCCAGGGGGGAAAAAGAGGGTCGGTGCTTTCAACTACGGTCCATCAAGTCATTGTTCACTTGCTGACAAAGAATCGGGGCAGCTATCCTCACAAGCGGGGGTCAATGTGACGCTCACAGAAAGAAAAGACTGACGTGTTCATTTGAGCAGCATAGATTCCTTCGGAAGCTGGTGCTTCAAACAGAAGTCCCCGCAGAGCGCAACTCAGGAGTTCCTGTAAAAAGTCAAGCACTCCAACAGTGCATCACAATAGAACAAATAGAGGACCAATTGGGGCCACAACCTATTTGCCACTTTATTACCCGCCACACTTCAAGCTGCAACAAGCGCGATGAACAAGTCTATCACGAGGACTTTGTCGGAATTACCAATGATATGAAACATAGGTAAACCGCACGACTAACCTGCTCAGCATACACGAGACTGCAGGAAACTGCGTGTAGATCGCTCCCAGCCAAAAAAAAGAACTCCGTATGCACTCTGTTATTGTCCCTTTGAAAAGAATGCGAAAGTTTCTGGCGGAACCTCTAGTGTTTCAGCTACTTGATAACCCTTGTCATCAATGAGCTGCAGACACCTCCGCTAGACCAAAAAGAAGAACGTTCTGGTGCCTTTCTACTCGTTAGGCAAGCTAAAAAAGAAACAATCGCTTGGGTAAGACTGGCTATATCCCATGTCAATTGCTTCAGGACTGCAGTCACAAGCTCTGTGCCAACCATGCATACACACGAGGCCAAAGTCCGCAGCATTACCTTTCTCGGAAAAGTACCGGGACACAGAGAAGCCATCTCATAACAACAAGGTGGTGCGCAATGCTGTCAAATTAAGGAGCTGCGCACCTGTTCTACCTTAACTATCTAGGCTCGCATAGAAAAGCTCTGTTGATCTCTGGGGAAACCACACAACACACCAGTCTTCTGGAAAGAAGACAAACAAACAGACGCGACACTCTAAATGTCACAAAGGACACAGCAGTTGACAATTCCATCAGAGAAACGGGGCACGCACCTGCTTCACTGACACCAGGAGCGTCATGGCAAAGTACATGATACCCCGGGACGTCTGGTTCCTCTGGTACCTACCACCGGAAGCCGCAAGCGCCGACGGCACCCCCACGACACCGCTAAGCACAATTGGGAGAGCCGCGAACGCGAAAGCGACCGCCATCCTCTTGGCGGCCGCGCCATTCTCCCCCCACCATTGCTGCTTCATTGTCTGTCCGAGCGCAACCGCAGCGCCCGCGACAGTCGCCGCCAGCTTTGAAAGTGGAGCAGAGGGTTCGACAACTGGCTCAGCTTCTATAGGGGTTTGCGATGAAGTTTCTGAAGCTTCCACAGACTCTGCGCGAACCCCAGCACTCCGATGTGACGCCAAAGGGAGCGTTTTCTGTGCGCGGCGCGCCTGTTCTACGTGAGCTGCGAATTGGGAAGAAGGAGTCCTGAAGGGGAGGCGAAGTGGTGTTGCTTTTCTGCAGGGGAAGACTGGTAAAGCGAGCGCCCTGCACGGGCGTGTCTGCGGAGCGATGTGCGTCGATGCTCCAAACACCGAGGCAGCCCCTCTCTGCGCAAGGACAGTGGATGCCATGGTGAACGGCAGACGGAGCTCTCGCGAGGAGCTCTTGAGCGCACGTCTTTGGAAGCCCTGGTGCGCACCTCTTCCCTGCCACTTGTCGAAGATTCGAGATTGATTTTGCAGGTCTGTTCTCAGGCACCAGCGATGCAAAACGGACAAAACTTGTGAACTCCTTTCGATTTTTCGGACGGCGGACGCTTACTTTCCGCTGAATCGGAAGGTACCGCGTAGAAGGGATAAGCGTACAGTGTGTACCCCGTAAGGCACCTGGCCAGGCAACCGGGCACTCGCTGTGACATTAGGGCTAAGTCACAACGTTAGTGATGTTGTGTTAGGGTTACGCCACTCCCTCTGACAGTTTGTTAGGGTTACACCCCTTCCCTTCAGATCAGGGTTCCACTAACGGCTAAGCCATTGTTCTTAGGGTTTTGTTGTGTTTAGGGCTACCCGACTGTTGGGACAGAGGTACCACAGTCTGAAAGCCCCACCGTCCGGCGTCCGGAAAAACGAAAGGAGTTCACAAGTTTTGTACCTCTTGCACCAGCGATGGCAGGCCGACAGCCATTTTGCTAACTAGAAGAGAGCTTCCTTTATGGTGTTAACACCGGTAAGACTTATAAGGTCCGGTAATGGTGAAAGGGGCCGGGCCGCCCGCGAACGGAGGACAAGTGCGGCCGCGGTTTTTTTTTCTTTTTTTTGACACTCATATTCAAGCGCTATATCCTTTCACTCTTTCTGCTGCCGAAGCGTCATACTCTAGCGTCAGAATATAGATGCGGTGGTCCGCTCAGACGGCATGGCAGAAAGCTTAAACTTAAAGTTTAAAAGCTTTGCAAATTGCAGGCAGAATTGATGCATTTTGTCACCAGGCGCTTTCTCATGGCATGCACCGCCACAACCCATCTCAAGTGAAGCGCTTTCCAAGCGACAAAGTGGCTGACTGATTGATCTTCCAAGAAGGTGAGGGCCCGATTTTGCCCTCATTGACTTGCTTTTAGCAGGACTTCTTGGGCCCATCAGAACGATTCGGATTCATACATCGTGGAACTTGTGATCAGGCACACATGGTGTGTGTATGGTGCTTCATACTACAGAACTTGAGTGAAGACGTTTCGACTGCCTTTCTCTGACCCCAAACAACGCTGAAGAGTTCCCAGCACTGTCCAATGGCAAGGTCCAGCTGTCTGGTTTTGAGCTGATCTCAATCAGTTCGGGTGATTGGATGTTTTCGTGACGCTTCGTCCAGGCTTAACAAACTCTCGGCTGCAGTGGTTGTAAGCAGCCATTTCTCCCAGTTCAATGCTGCTCTTGACAACTCATGGACTTGAATGAATGAACATTTCCATTCCATGATGTTCTGCCTATCTTCGTGCCGGCCTGATGTTTCTGGTGGCATTGATTGATTGTCAAAACTTACTGTTTTCTTACTGTTGGTACTGTCAACATGATCTACTTTGCTTTTATTCGCAGGCCCTCCAGCATTTGACCATCACAAATGCCAAGCTGGTCCTCACATTGATGTCCCAAGATGGTTTCGGTATCCACTGATCAATTAACATGTCAGGGGGGGATGATTCTAAGATGGCGCACCCTGCACCTGCTTGGTGGATCGCTATTGGTAGTGGGCTTGCACTAGTCGGTCTTTGTGGATTTTACGAGGGGTCATTAGGCTACTTAGAGTTCGTTCGCTCAATGATGCTATTGATATACCAAACGAAAGCAAATATTAGAATTCTTTTCATTGTTGCTATTTTGGCCCATGCTGCTGAGGCGTTGGTAGCTTGGAACATCGCCCGTAAGAAGCAACCTAGATTTGCCTTTGCATGGTTCTTACAAACGTTTGCTCTTGGATACCCGTCCCTAAGGCTTCTACTTGAGAGACATAAGGAGAAAAGCACGTAAGGGCTTGTTACTAAGTAAATTGGTTTGAAGCTCAGCTTTCAATCAAGCAACTACAGATCACACGACGATAACTTACAAGAGTTGGCGCATTGAATGAGACCAGACTTCAATATGGTGATGGAACCGGGCCTGTTGTTCCATGACGCCCCATGATCAGCTCAAGAAGGTATCTGGCTTTGAATCGGTTATCCTTAAGCATGAAATCGATGTTCAACTGCAAATACTATCATGCAACCATACTCTAACTTAGTTGATTAGAGACGTCATTGACCGTCACTCTCGCCAGAGTTGCCGTTACTTGCATACGGTTACTTGCATACGAGTGATCATGCAGATAGCGTAGCGTGCTCGCCATGTACAGGACAGTGATCGATATTGAGCTCAGTGAGTGCCTCCGCGACTCGAACAAAACGAGTTGGGCCCCCAGGCCCTCGATGCTTCCGACAACGTAATTGTACAACTGTGATTCGCGCAAACTGCATTCTCTGGACAGCCATATTGACAAGCCCTGCAAACATAAGATTATAGCCGGATACATCTGTCTTACCAAAACCTTATGGATAATGGCTGAGTATAAAGACACTTGCATGAGAAGTCAGACTTCTTATAGCCTGTGGACGAAAGAGACAGGCCAAGTGTTGCCGATTTGTCCGCAGTGTGCTTTAGATCTATAAATCTATTCTATACATGCCATAGGTCGTCAATAACGGGGCACGTTCAAGCATTCTAACGGCTAGCTTAAGAACGCAATGAGCTCGATCTGATAAAATTGAGCTAGAGAACTCCGCCAAAGGATTAGCAATCCAGGAACGACTGGACGATGGAGACAGTAGTTACATCGATTCCGGGTTTTTGGGTTACAGCCATGCAGGTTGAGATAGTAGGTCGGTGCCCGCAGAACGGATGGGGTTAGTTCGGGGGTTAGGGTGGGTAAGGGTGCAAAGGGCGCCGTATAGTAGTGGGAATTTTGGATTACTTTGTGCTCCCGGGTTCTTATACTTGTGTATCTCAACCTGACTTAACTGACCCATAATCAAGAACTTATGATGGAGGTGTGATGGAGACGCTAGTAGACAACAAAATCCAGTTCGTCAAGCTTGGCTCGACGGGTCTTGCCGATCGCACGGAGGGGATGAGCCCCATGCATGAACGCTCGACTCTCAATCTGAAGAGACGGTGTCTCTCGCGCAAAACCAGGGGGCCGGCTGCTTCAACTGTAGAAATTCAGACTGTGGAGCTCGTCTGCGGACAATCCTTTGCAGATGGTGACAGCAAGAGACCGGAGAAGATAAGCGCAGGGGCAGATGTGAGGTGGACGCGACGTTTTACTTTTCCATCTTTGCATGCTTGGTTAGGTATTCAGCCAAACTTCGAGACGTGGGAGCTGAAGATTTTTGCAGGAAGAAGCAGCGCCAGATTGCTTCTCGGAGCGAAAGATGCCGGTTGTGAGCACGCACGTCTTCGTGAATCACAAGGGTGGTGTCGGCAAGTCCACCCTGTGCTATCATTTGGCGACAGCATACGCAAAGAACCATCCCGACGAGAAAGTGCTCGTTCTGGACTTTACCGAGGTGAGTATTCATGGCGAAATTTTCTTTTTGCTCATTTCGAAAGAATCTTCTCGCAGCTTGTACTTTCTGCGTGGTAATATCGAGTACAAACAAAACGTGCGCAGGTTCATCAGTATGATATCGAAGGGAGAGTTTCCAGGTGTCACTTTCGAATCCTTCGTGCATGAAGGTGGATTACCTTTCTTTTTGAAAGGATCTTGATAGGAGGTGACTCCGTTCCACCGACAACGTAAGAGTAAATACCAAGCAGATATTGATTTTGCTTCTCACATTGCTCCGTTTGACGTTGCTTCCGTATGGGTGGCAGCACGCTGCGATCACAGTCTGTTGCTCACTCTGCTTGAGTAGGCTCACCTAGGCCGCGTGGTAACTTTAGCGGGGAACCGAGAAAAGTGATTCGAAGTTTTACCAAAACGCGAAATCTTACCTAGCCAGCACAATAGATTAAGCAGGATTGCCAGAGACTTCTTTGAACTTTATTTTACCAGCACACTATCTGCCAATGTAGGTGGGAGATGTGTCCGAGTTCTTTCTGGGAGGCGCTCACAACCAGCGTGGCAAGCGCCGCCAGAGAGCCATAGCTCCTGTCGTCAGCGCGACGAGCTACCTCCTGAAGGCGCTAGCGCAAGCCATTCCAAAGTAGGTCTCCCGGTTGTGGCCCATGGTTCTGCTTTTCTGTGCAAGCTAGGACGGAAGCAGAATCCCTCAGTTTGTGAGAGTAGTCTTTGTCTTGATTAAGGCCCTGGTAAACGGATAAGACCATACAAAGTAATCAACTTTAGAATCTGCCAGTCTTGTTAATTGCAACTTCACGATTGCATTCGCTTAGCGCCAGATCCTCTCTTGGTTTAGAACGTCAGCTTTGGAAGTTTGAGCTAGCTAAGGCGTGTTCGAGTTTACCTGGTGAATCACATGGCTCAGTATACCTACTCCTCACCCTTTCGGCCTTAGCGTAGAGTCCAAACGAAGAAAGACGTGTCCAAGAATTCGCGAGAGTCCAGTTTCGGAAAGGCTGGGTCCAGGCAGGATTAGGGCGGTAAAACATTTATTATGTTCTTTGTTCCCTGCTCTCTGTAGGTTGCAACGTGCAGACTTTCATACCGTTCAGCAAAGCTCGTCTTCGAAGGCTGACCGGAGCGAATAGAAAGTAAGACAGTCCACAATGTGAAAGCTCTCATTTCCGACCCTTTGCAGGTTCCAGCTCACGGACGACGTGCAGGAGGATGAGAAGGTCCTGGCCGCGCTCCTAGGGGCGCTGCCGCAGCCCAAGAAGGCGAGCAGCGGTGACCCCCCCCCGGGGCCCTTCTCGCAGGAAATCGCCTTCTCGCAAGAGATTACTGACAGGTACGGTGGGTAAGTTACTACTTTGCAGGAATTGGTAACTGCATTATTCGCTTTTGACTGTCTTTGCATCTTCCCCCGCTTTCATCGTACAGCCTTCTCCTTGTAGAAACATCAGGCAATGCTTCCGCGGGTTTCTCTCACTGACCTTGATGATGGATAGTCAAAGCACCGACTGCTGTATTGATCGTCGACAGGATTGAGCAGCTTCCTCTGCTAATGGCACACAATTACTTGAAATGGGAAGACGAATGAGCCGCCTTGAGAAGCAGAAGCACACTATTACAGCAACTAGAGACTTAGTAAAGGTGTCAACTCGCAGCGGGGACTGACTACGCCTTTTCGTTCCGCAGCCAAAAGGACTCTGAGGAAGGTGGCGAGGAAAGCGGCACGTCGACTCATCACGAAGTGTAGGTTTTCCACGCCTCACTTTCCACTCCCAAGCTCAGCCTGCTGGTCGCGTAATTTGAGCTTTACTGAGACAGCAGATCGCCAATTCTCCTCGAGTGTCACTGCTCTCATTAGATGATCATTATCTTTCGAAGACGGAAGCTGAACCATCGAGCCGTATTTTCACCTCTATGTAGTCAGCTGCCAAGCAGTTTGTCTGAGTTTCAATAATGATTCAGTAAGTCCCCGATCGCTTCGCCGGTCTTCCTGACCAGCTCAAGTGTCGACCTTCCGGAAGATCCTTTCCGGACCTTCCGGAAGATTCTTTCCGGACGCATAGAAGGCGCGGGGGGGCTGATCTACCTCCACGTCACGTCTGTGTCATATTAGCAGTCGTTGTTAGTCCAGTCCCCAGACGCCTCACGCTCACCCTGTATCACAAGATGCGTCGAGATCTGTTAGATGCGCGCTTTCTCGAAACTCTATGAACAAGCAGATCCTCAGCAGCCTCCAAGGATTTCCCCGTCGACCATCGTTCCGTTCCGTTTCCGCTGCAGAGGCCGCATGGTGAGCATCGAGCGGTACGCGATTCCGCTGTGCAAGGCGAACGCCCGGCTCCCGGAGAACCTGTTCCTGTGCCCCAGCGGAGGCGATGCGGTGAAGAGCATTCGCTTCTCGGAGACGCAGAGACGGGACATCTGCGAAGTCCTTAACAAGTGAGCTCTTACCTGCGTAAATCTCCCTCCGGCTTCTGCATAAAGTCACTTCCGCGAGTCTGGGCGAGAACGTTTCCACATCGACAGACCAACGTACCGGCATGAAGACGAACTGACAATGCTCTCAGGATCCGCCCTTTCTTGCTCACGTACGAATTCACGCGGTTTTGTTTTGGCCGAGCGTAACGCTCGTCCTAAAGCTTAAGCCGTCGGATATTTGAACACGCCGCCGATACTGCGAGCCGTCTTGGATAACTTCGTGTAGATCTGAATGCCAGGGTCCCTGAGGTCCAGATACAACGACCCGGCTTTCGTTTCTATACATTTGTTAAGATTTGCCTGAGTGCATTTAGCCTCGCTCTCTAGGGACAGCGTCATTCGACGCCAGAACCCTCTTCCAAAGACTGCCCACGCCAATCGCATATTTCTCCGCGAACATCTGATGACCACCCTGTTCCTGGAAGGTGGATAGAGACGCGTGTCCGAAACTGCTTTCTATCGACAATACGTTTACGTTACTCAGGGATTCATGAGCACCTGGCATCGCACGTCGTGCCAATCTTTCCCGCGCTTCCGTACAGCTTCATGTTAAGCCATAAGCTGATTGTGATGCTAATGCACTTCATACAGCAGGATTTTCGAGGATCGTTTTTGCCCTTCCAGATCTTACGAGCAACTAGAGGGCAGCTGGAAGCTGTTCATCGACACGGACTCGGAAAAACTCCAGCTGCTTACTTTTCACTGTAACCTGGCGCTTCCATGGGAATCCATAATGCGCTTCGAACCATACCCACTCATGATCCAACGAAATTCACAAGCCGGAACCAGGAACGTCGTTTTTCCTCCTCAGGTCGTATGAACAACTGGAGGGCAGCTGGAAGCTGTTCATCGACACGGACTCGGACAAGTCAAGCTACGCGTACGCGGAGATCGCGCTGGGCGTGGCGGACTACGCGGTCGTGCCGCTCCACGCTGACGTCACCGACTTCTACCGCGTGCGCGCGCTCATGATGCACATGTGCGACCTCATGAAGGTCAACGCGTGCAAGGCGCGGGTGCAGCAGGTGGGGAAGTCGAACTACCTCTGTTTATTAAATCCTGAGGTCCTGAAGATTCGCGCTTCAGGCTGATTGCTGTGTCGTTTTTCTCGTGCTAGGTGTCTTGTTCATCGGTCTGAGGTTCGCATGCGCGAATTAACCTCACTTTCTCCTTTCGCTCCGATCTATAATTGATTGAGAGGCTCAGCTCTGTACTTGGTGAAATTGTCTGAGTTTTAGGAGAGGGGGCTTAGATCTTTACATGTCCAGTCCCGACAAAACGCTGCGCTCGAGATGCCACAGCTTCGGTATAGGTAAAGGAGGATCCCTTCCAGTCACTCAGGGTAACCAGGTAGGATACTTCAAAACAGGGGAACGCCGGAGGATAAAACCCGGAGCTCGTTTCTGCGCGCTTTCGACAGAAGGCTTCACACACGATTCTTTCTCCTTTTGGCGGGCGCTTGAAGGGGGAAATCCATCGTTCGGTTGCCAGGGAAAAATCAAACCAGAGGACGATCTAAGAGACGACTTTGAGAAAAGCGTTCCTCTCCGGCCGGGCTCCTTGCAGGTCCTGGGGAACCTGTTGACCGGGCGTTTCAACCGAGAGCCTTTTCTGCCTTTGACGGCACTAACTCTAAAGGAGGACGATTTGACGAACAAAGATTTCGCTCTGGCCGCTTCAGAGCCTTTAGGAGCGGCTGACTGGGCGCTTCTGTGTTTCTGCAGAGCACATCGAAGCTATTATTACCAACTCTCGAGAAAAGTCTGACCGCCCCGGGCACTCGCAGAGTTCTCTGGAACCAGCTGACCGGGCGGTTCCACTTCGACCGAAGTGCAGATTTTGCAGCACTCATAATCCCAACGTTTATCGAACTCAACAAGATAGACCTTTACTTTCGACACAGTGCCTTCTTTGACGTACTAATCACGACAAAGAGTGACTCAAAAAGGCAATATTATATTGAAAAGAAGCAAGACGTAAACCCGTTTTGCCCGGGCACCTTCCAGATCCTGTGGAACCAATTGACCGGGCGGTTCAACCGGGAGCTGGACCCTGAGGAGGGCCTGGCGAAGGGCCCCTTCATCCCGCTCAAGGCGGAGCAAGACATGATTGCCACTCTAGATGCGCTCTTCTACAAGCTGGGCCGAGACTACCCCGAGCTGTTCGTGCTGCCGCCTGGAGGAGATATCGACCAAAAGAAGTTTGCAAGTGAGCGCTTCTGGTTGAGGTTTGTCGAACAAGGTCGGAGCCTCGATGTGAGGTAAATCTGCATTGAGCAAAAGTCTTGACCCCTGGATGAACGATAGCCGCAAGCGACCCACTTGCAAAGTCGTCCAGGATCAAGAACTGTTGTACGAGCATTTCGGATGGAAGGGGCCCTGTGATCAGTGAGTCAGTTTGATGGCATAGGTAGTCTGCCACACGGCCTAAACGAAGCTTGCCGTCTTTGGCTGACACAACTTCTGTTTTTGTTGCTTTCCAGCCCTGACTTCGGTGTGTGTTCGCAACTTTGGAACGGTCAACGTGGCGTCCAAAGACACGGGCGTCCCGATCCCGGTCATCCAGCCAGGTGGGCACGTTGCGAAGATCTGCAATTGTCTGCAATTGTCTTATCAATCGTCGCAATTGTTCTAGTCCGAGGATTGACAAGATTGTTCGCAGGTTTCTGCTTCAGAGAAACGAGGCTGGTAGGAGGGCTTAGTCAAAGAACGTGAACAAAGTTTTCCTTTCCGCGCGTTTCAAGCAACTTCCACGGGAGTGCCAGCTCAGTATCGTTTCTTGACAGCAGTTTTCTCGGGGACTATATGAGCAGCAGCAAATCACTGGGAGTTTGCTTTCTGAACCTCACAATGGTACAACATATTGGCACATCGAGCGAGGAGCGATCGGCTGTTCGCACAATCCAGGCAACTCCCGCGGCAGAACCCATCAATTTATCCCTATCTTTCTTCGATTACTCATCTTACAGCATCAGAAGTCACTGCAAATCTTTTCAACTGAAACAAAGCCAGGTATATCGTGAGTGAGGAACACCTCATTGCTAGCATTAGATTACGTTCTGATTCCGTAAGATTACTGTCCGCCTATTCCAGGCATCTTCCACGGCAGTTACCAGCAGTACGTCCTGGGCGTGAACACGGTCCACAACCAGAAGGTCAACATCGACGAAGTCGTGGAAGGCCTCAGCATGACGCCACGTGGCGACGAGCGGCAACAGGCCGAGAACGCCGCACACACGCGCACGCGCGCGGAAGAACCGGCCGAAGAAGAACCGACCGGGGTCCAAACCAGGAGCGCAGCGGCGGAGGGGGGGTCCAAGCGGCAGGCGGAAAGACCCCCCGAAACGGAGAATGACGTGGCGCAGAAGCGCGGCCGTGAGAACGAACCGACTGAGGAAGAAACAGTTGGTGTTCAAACCAGGAACGGGGGATCCAAGCAGCAACCGGAGGGATCCCCCGGGATGGGGAACGGCGTGGCGCGCAAGCGCGGTCGCGAGGAAGAGTCGACCGAGGAAGAGCGGATCGGGGTCCAAACTAGGAGCGCGTCGGCCGAGGCGGGGGCGGAGGGATCCCCCGGGACAGACGAGGATGCGGTGCATAAGCGCGGACGTGAGGAAGAGTCGACCGGGGAGGAGCAAACCGGGGTCCAAACTAGGAGCGCGGGGTCCCAGCGGCAGGCGGAGGGATACCCAGAAACGGACGAGGATGCGGCCCGCAAAGGAGCGGACGTGAGGAAGAGACGACGGTAGAGAAGCACACCGAAGTGGAAACCGGGGGGCAAACCGGGGAACAAACCGGGGTGCAAACTAGGAGTGCGGCGGCGGAAGCGGGGTCCAAGCGACAGGCGGAGGGATCCCCGGGGGAAGCGGATGAGGGGCAAAACAAGAAGCAGGCGGTGGCTCTGCGCTCGGAGGGAGTCGTTGCCGTAGTGTGAGGGTCATGGATGGCCGAACGTGGTGTAATAAGGTTGCGACGCGTGGTAAGCAGACACGCGTAGAGAGGTAGCTTGGAGTTCTGGAGTGGGCGCCGTCTCATAATAAACAAAGATAAGCCGGCGCCGATGAAATGTTCACCCTCAGGCGCCTTCGCCTGGTTTCAGTCGGCGCCCGCTGAAGTGTGTGGATAGTCCTGGAATGAACGTTTGTAGAAAGGGGTGGTCATGTCATTCAGAAAGACCGATATCTGATCATGCGACCAATGGTTTCGTGTTCATGCGTCCAATAATCACGCAATGCCATGAAAAGGTAAGGCCCCGGTAAGGCTCTAAATGACAATAAGCCATTATCCTGTTTGGAAACGTTGTCAGAAGAAGCACACGTTGCTTCGACCAGACGTTCACTTTGAGTTGTTGTAAAGCCTATATTGCATGGCTAGAGTTATTGTTGTGTAAAGCTGTTTTGCATATTACGGGGGAACGTGGCCCCATCATGACCTGCGATGGCGAATTGTGCTGGGCTGACCCGCATAATAGCTGAAATCAAGATACAAATGTACCATGCAAGTATATACGCCTGATTGATATCAGGCACCGGCCCTTTCTCATGTGTGCGGACGTTGGATTTGCGCGAAATAAATCCAGAGGGTCGGGCCTGGCATTATATTTGACGCAACCATCCGCAGCTTGGTATACGCGCAGGCCATGCAGCGATCGTACACATGCGTTAGGAGCAACCGCATATCCGATCCGGACGGTCATCAACGTTGTCTCTAGCTAGTTGAGGACGGTGGCATGTTAATTGAGGTCATCAACTTTACGCCCGTATAGCTAACTCACAATGAAACCTGTGATATGCATGATGCCAGTAGCATGGTGCTCTCCTGTTTGTTGAATTTGAACAAACATTCGGAATTGACGAAGATGTGGATCACACACATCACACCATAGCTATGTATCAGCCGCACAGCAATTTCTTTATAGTGGATACAGAACTTGGTTGATCCGGCATACAGGCGCTGAACGTTACAAGATTTAACAAGCCGGTGCGCTGACAATCCTCATGATAATTTCGCGGTCGGATGCGGAAAGAAAGCTGGCAGAGGCGCATGTGCTCACGTGAGCAACTCTATGCCTTGAAAGAATGAGTCCTACGAATCTTGGTTTTATGATGAATCCTGCCGAGGCTGCCAGCAACTATCTGTGCAAATGATGGACGGTACTCGTCTGTTTGCCTAGCTCGATCAGATTGAGTGCCGTTTAGGTTATCGATCTGGCTTCTCAAGATCCTCAAACGTGATAGCATGTTCCCGAGCTGTGATGCGCTGGACGTATCCTGTGGTTACAAGCACCAAAAGGAATCAAGTCAGCCTTCAAGCCACACTCCTCATTTGTTTAACTGGAAGTGACACATACGTTGTCATCCAAATGCAACGACGGGGACCTACTTGAACAACTAAAATGGATTCGAAAAGCAGACACCAAGCAGGTTGGCTGGAAGGTCGCACGTTAGGACACATGTTGCCGCGCCACTTGCCCACTTGGGCTTTCTGTCCACGCAACTATGGAAGTAGTCCTGACTGAACCGAAACCGCTATATGAATCTTACAGTTTGCCAACAGTTGAGGTCTAATGCCACTTTTTGCTTGTAAAAAGTTGCAGCAACTAGATACAGAGCTTGGCTTTTACAGGCAACTGTAAATTCTGTGGAGAAAGACAGTACCGAGACCAGGAGATGCCACTTGGAAAGAATGGACAGCCTCCTATAACTGAGGCACATAGAAAGTCCCGTGAGTTCAGCATCTCTTCGAACAGATGAAGGACGCGGATCTTACCTACACCTTGGCAAGTGATGCAGCTGCTAATGACCTCCTTTCCGTTCTTCCGGTAGAAGCTCACGACCCCCGTACCTTGACACCGCTTACATTCACCAGTATATGAGAACAACGGCTTTTTGCAAGCCTGCACACACAATGGGGTCATTGGATTCAATCCTGGGACGGTGATGGTTGTAAACCAGCGAATCTAGATCATATCAGCCATCCAAACTTTGTACTTGAGACTGAAGCAGAGAGCTCTTCAAGGATTTCTGTACAAGCCAGTCTGATAAACCGCATCGACAAGCAGTTGTCGCTGAAGGTCTGACTCAGGCGCAACTATTCAAGACAGTTCTACCACCACTGAATATCCGAGCGCAAAGCCGGTAGTAGGAGGTTCCTATCTTGATGCAAGCAGTTTTACGACGTTCGCCAACCTGACCCAGCACACCGTCAACAGCTGCGTTTACTCAACCGCTCTGCTTCGTACAAAAACCGAGGCAAGAAGATGCAGAACACAAGCTTGCAGGGAAAGAATCCCCTTTGTACGTTACATGGATGCTAACAATAAATGAAGATTCGACGAAAGGACTGGAAAGTGCGGACTTTGCGATGAGACCTTGTTTCGCAACGACGCTCATGTCAGCAGAAGAGTAGGCAGACCAGACCTTTCAATCTAGCAACGAAACGCGCTGCTTGGGTGCATATATACTACCACCACAATTACAACTGTCACAAGTTCTCACGCCCCAGTATCTGCAAATACTGTGCTGCTGGAAAAGCGCAGTACATGACTTCGAGGGAGGCCTTACCTGCATCTCCACGTCGCAGTTCAATCGCGCCTCCAACTCCTCTGGCGGCAGCGGCTCTATGTCTTTCATGGTCAGCGGAAGCCCGGGCGGCCGATCCTTGTGCAGATCGCTGTCTTGTCTTCGGGACCACTTCTTCCACCATTTCGCTGCTGTAACCACAGATAACCGCCGGCGCTTCTGGTAGCCAAGCTTACATTGCCGAGAACCAAAAAGGGGTCTACTTTCTGCAGCGCGAGCTAGTGTCAGCCGGGGAGCAGGCAACTGTGCGCACTGTAAGAGGTGTTTTGACGGGGTTTTGACGGTCTGTTTCAAGCATCCTGCACTTGCACCGATTTGTGATGCGGAGGATAGGTTTCTGGATGATGCAAGCGTACGGTGCCTAGTAGTCGGATTCAGAGGCAATTGAGTGCCTTTCATCCTTGCCGGGCTAGTTTGATGAGATAAACTTTGACATCTTAAGCTGGCGCTCGCAGGTTGAGGGATCCTGGGCCTCCGCATGCATAGATCTGGGGGTATCAATCGGCGCAGGTTGACAAATCGGCACGGGGAGCTCTGCAGAGTCGGTTTCTGCATAGCCTGACTTCCTCGGCCGAGAATCTGTGACATTATTGGGCAACTCGAGCACGCCTGGTGTACAGCAAAAAGTGCCATTTCGAAGGCTACTGTACACTTCTAGCGCCAACGTCTCCTTTCCTTGCCTGTAAAGAATCCAATTGAATTCTGCGTGCAACTCTGACTTAACAAGATAATATTCCTGGAATGCTAGCGATGGATCGCAATTGACCAGCGACGCGAGCGGTGCCCGTGCGGTGCCACCACCGTCTACAGCTCAGATTGACGAAATGCTGCTAAACAAGGGGCTTTCGCACCCTCTCAAAAATTGATCCAACCCTCATAGTAATACTAGGTAATAGGTACTGCAAAACGTCAGAGGTCATGTCCTGCTCTGACATGCTGATTTCGAAAGGGAAGGAAGATGGGCGGCAGCTTTGGTGACTCAGCAGCGTGCAAGCGTGGGCCTTGCACTGGGCCTGAAACGCTGCCTACGAATTTGTGCACTTTTTTGGCGCGCATATGAATTGCACATATTCCTTGTCGAGAGGGTGTTAGAAATAACCACCTCAGTAGGACCGAAACCGGCGAAGCCTCATCATTGCCTGCAAACAGTGGGTTTTGAACTATTGACGTTCTCAACCAGAATTTCGACATGCCTAGGAAAGCGTGGGTCGGGCCCTTATAATCCGCCACTTTGTTGGAACATGTCACGTGCTCGGTCGCGTATCCGCTAGGATGCTGCCCAGCCGTCGATCACCGGAGGTCGACTTGGCTCGACGGATCAGACGCATCCCAAGGGATCAACTGCCGTCTGTTTTACCGTGCGCTATGGATTTCATGTGGCAAGGCATTGCCATAGGCCCTACAGTAGACACGAAACACGCCTATCACACAGTACTAGCGGCGCCTCAGTGTCGTCCCTGCATGGTCCCACCTTATCCAGTTGTACTGCCCACCATGTATGATGTACTATGATGTACCAGCAATGTTGCAATGTACATAGGTATTGTTGGTGTGCAGCTAAGCTGTCTTTGTGTCTTTGTACGAATACTCATGTGCCTACTCGTCTACTCGGAATTTTTGAGATCTTGAAGTAGGTACAGAAGTACTATATCTAGGTAGGAACGTACTACAATGCGAGGACCTACCCATCATCGTTCGAAGTTCGAGTTCAGCCTGTCCTGCATGCTATTTATGCTATTGCTTGAAAGTTCGGGCGGTCGTGTCGTCATATCAGCAATACCTAGCATGATGTGCGTGTCGGCTCTAGTCTCCAGAGTCAAAGATATTAGTTTGTCAGACTGCAAATCACGTTTTCGCCCCGTGGCGGACCCCGTGGGCTGGTGGTATAAGCAGCTTTTGGATTCCCTAGGCTTCGGACCGCAGACTGCACTCAAAAGCACAGGAATCAATCCAATGATCCTCGCCTCAAAAGCGCAGCCTCTTGCGATACTGAGAGCTTTGATTGATCCTTCAACGTCCTGGGAAAAATAATGCAATCGCTTGAAGACGTTGCGCCGCCTTGCCACAACAAGAACAGCTTCTCGAACGTTCGTCAAATGGGTATACCAGACCTCGAGAACTTTGCAGAAGTCCAAAGGACATTGATCGGCTGCAAGCAGGGCAAGGTGGGCATAATGCTCTGATCAAAAGTCAGAAATGCAGATCGGCTGGGGAAGGGGGCCCAGATTTTAATCTGTGACTAGGCTCATGCACAGCCTAGAATCACCTGCAAGTTGGAAGGCCAGAATCCATAACACGGACCTTCAATCACGCACCTGATAACGCGTTGGTCTTGGGCCACTCTTCTTCATGACGCCAAAAGGGCTGTAGGGGTGGTTAGGTAACGACAAGTATCTCTGAGAACAACCGGGCCTTGGATCAGGGTTGCGCAAACTAGACAATGCCATAGAATCAAGCTTTGCAGGTCAAGCAAGGCGAAAAACCCTCCTGTAGGCAGCGGCGCCGGCACCTAGGAGGTCTGAAAAGGCCAGGGGATATTCTTGTCGTGTCATCAATTATGTGTGCTGATGATGTTGGTCTGTCCAAGCGCAATGGTCAGCAGGACGGAGTGATGACTCCGCATGACCGCCATGGGGTGCAGTGCGAGCACAGCGGCGGCATCGCAGCCGGCACCTCGGTCTCCCAAGAGGAAGCTAGAAAAGCTTCCAAAATCGTTTCATGCCCTCAAAGTTCCTGACATCCGTGGGAATGTCATTGACTTTGCAACTTTCAAGGGGAAGGTAAGTCGGGTCGCTAGAAACGACATCCCGTGCTTGAGTTGATGATGCCACTATGGTGGATGAATGTGCAAGCTAGTGTGAGTTACCTGCGCTTCGGTATATGTTCTGAATTTGGCTACGTTCTTGGCATCCATAGGAATGCGACTTTCCGCACTGCGGGATTGGATCATGTCAGAGACGACAACGTTACAACGTAAAACCACACTGTATGTGGTCAGATTTGAGGGTACCACTCCAGTTGTTTCAGCGGCTGCTCTGAATGACAGCATCTGCTTGATTGTGGAGGATAAAGGCTGTCTGTGACCTGGCTTGATGCAACTGCAGGTCGTCCTGGTCATCAATGTGGCAAGTCGATGTGGCCACGCGATGAAGAATTACAGGTAAGTCAACAGCACCTCAATAGACGTACGAAGCCTAGCTGACGCTTGTAAAGTGTTTGCAGTTCGTTACTCTCGTAACAGCTTTGGAAGAACAACTGAAACAATGGCTTTAATCTCAATAGTGATCTCATTCAAACTTACTAGTGCTTCATTTGTCAATCCTCGTATGTGCAGTGGCTTGCATTGTTGCTCTCATTATCTAAGTACACTCTCCATTTGTTGTGAATTCTGATTAGTTCTGGTAAGAGTTGCTCTTCCTCAATCTCGTTCCCTAGCTTGAGTCCACGAAGCAGTAAAGGTTGTGTCAGGTTAGCTATGGATAGGATTTAGCTCAAAAAAGAAAGAACATTCTGATATGGCAACTCCCAAAACCTGCCACGTTGCAACCTTCTGATCGACCGCTGGGACCCGATTCAAACGCACATGATTTTCAAGAAAGATCATAGGTAGCCACGATAATAATAAACTCCGACTAATACTAAAACCCTAACTCAAAAAGTTACCTGCTCCGCACCCATACCCACCATAACCACCAAACTAACCTACCCGTCCCAGTGCGGTTACCTTACTATTACCTCGGCTTATTTATAATCTATTTTGAGAATTATCAAACGCAGGGAGATGGTCGGGCTGTACAAGCGGTATGGCGGGCCCGAGTTCGAGATCATTGCAGTGCCGTGCAACCAGTTTTTCAACCAAGAGCCGGGCTCAAACGAAGGTCGGTCACCTTGACAGCTTCTAACGCTTACTCACATGCTCAATCATGATCGATTGAAAGTCGCACCGTAAGAGATCTACGATTTCAGTTTATCTGGATCTGCTGGTCCGAGGACTCCGTTTCGTTACCAATTCCTCATTGTTCCAAGAGTAAGTCAAGTGGCCAATACTTTTGAATAGCGCGGTCTCCACTCTGAGCAGCAAAAAGACGAAACGGAAGCCGGCTTTGACAAAATTCAGCTAAAGAACGAAACGCTTGTGAAAGGGTCAGTTGTTTGATTGCTGACCATGAGCCTTAGTGAACGGCGGCTTTCTCCTGTGGAAGTCCCTCGCAACCTACGATGCTTTGTCCACTGGAAAACCGACAGCTTATGTTTTGGTCTGTTCATTAAGCACTTCCTTCCTCTGAAATGCAGATATTGAGGATTTTGTACGAAAGCAAGGGGGAGAGTTCATGGTCGCAGGGAAGTGCAACGTCAATGGTCAGAACATGAGCCCCCTGTACCGGTACTTGAAGGTACGTACCAGGAAGAGGGACCCCGCTGCATCAGTTTATTGCTTGGCTTTCGACTCCCATCTTTAGCTTTGGAATAAGATTAGTGGCTCGAAGAAATCTTACTGGATGAATTACGGAGGCTGGCAGCAAAGCTGGACTTTGCTCGATCAGCCTCTGCGCTCTAGGTTTGACTTACGAAGTTGGGCGCCTCGCTCGACAACCCGTTGTGAGCCCCCAGGAAGCATCTTCTTTACCTCGGAAGCTCGTAGCCTACGCCAAATTGTAGATTGAGGATTCAGTGGGACCCTTCGAAGCATTATCTGTGATTGCATTGTTTCAAGGGCACAAAAGACAACCACAAGCATTGGAAGCTCCGCTTCATTTTGAGCATCATTCTTGACGGGCCTTCAGCGCATCTCATGTGCTTCCAAGAACCGCGATCTGAGCATCGTCCGCCGGGCTCAACTGTCAATTTGAAAGGACAGTCCTCATCTCTAGTCCTTACACATTGGCTGCTGGCTAATAAGTCTTCCAAAAAGGACCAACGGAGCTGTCTCGAAAGGGATTGACGTTTCTTCTGGTCCTTCCGCTGTGCAGAAATACTGCAAAGACCATGGGGCGGTCGGCTGGAACTTCACCAAGGTGAGACTGGCAACTTGTGGCTCCCAGTTTCTTTGTTCCGGCCATGCTTGAATGAATGCCTGCTCAACCAGACTGGAGTCGCTTTCTCACAAGGCTCCCAGCCAAGGGCCACGGGAGTTTCGTTGGTGGCAACTACGAGCAGGGGCTAGGAGTTGCCTCCGTTGAATGCCGCTTCGTCTGCTCCGCCCTCCTCAGCCAGCTCCAGGGCCATAGTTTCTGAGTTTATCTGATCGAAGATGGAAATTTAGCACGTGCTTATTGAAGGGCCTAGGAGGATTGGTTCCTCCAAGTCAGGGAGCGAGGATCTGCGCACGAAGTGTTCATAAGCCCTCTGCCAGACGCGATCGGCAAGCCTAACAGGCCCGCGGGACAGCTCCCCCCCTTAGTCCGACTGTGATACAGGATTCCCTGAAGCCTTCAACAAAAGTTTCTTCCGATCCTTGATAACTCCAATCCGCCTGTCTGGGGTCGAAGCCATAAGAAAATGATTTTGCCTGTTCGTGACCTCCAAAACCAAGCGGCTCAGAGCATCCCGAGCAAACCTCTTCTTAACCATGAATTTGCCTCATTCTCTTCCAGTACCTCATCTCCAAATCCGGCGAGATCGTTGAACGCTACGGGTACAAAATCTACCCGTACTCGTTCGAGCGCGACATCGTGCGGCTGCTCGACGGGGACTACTCGAACCGACCCCCACTCCCCAGATACGACGACGAGCCGCTGTGCGTCAACAATATTCTCTTCAACAGGCCCACCATGCAGCAGATCCTGACGGCAGGCCCCTCCAACTTCTGAGAGTAATAGTGGGCGCATGATGATGGGCCAGCATGAGGGGATTCAATTTTGAAGATCGTAGATATTCGGGCTGTGTTCCGGATCCGTTGCTCTGGTTGCAGCTCCAGGCTTGGGGCTGAGAAGGGAACGGATGGCAGTTTATCCTTGGCGCCAAGGGTATACTTAGATACATGCAGTCACACCGGTGTGGCGCATACAAGAGCATATCTACCAGCAAGCTTCCAGCGCAAAACACTCCTCCATTCTTCAGCAAGCTTCCAGGGCAAACCGGCTCCTCTAGCATTGATAGGCAAGCTTCCAGAGCATACCGGCTCCTTCATCGTTAGGCAGCTATCGGCGTCATTAAACAATCAGCATATTTGACTGAGTAGAGCAGCGCGCCATTGCAAGCAGTGATAGGGTCTGCAGTGTGTAACTAGCGAGCACGGCGGATTAGCACGGCGGATTAGCACGACAGAATCAAGTCATTGTTCACGTCACATTCAGAAGGATGTCCATCGAATTTCAATCATAAGACGCTTCACTCTAAGCTAGATCCAGGACAGGCGGCAGTCGCGAATATTGGACAATGATCGAATCAAATTCATCCATCCGGGACCCCTTCAATTGCATGATCATGCATGTCACCTCGACCATCTTCAGTCCCTCTTCCGCCAAAACATCGTCGATGACTCGTTCAAGGCGCAAATCGGAATATGCGGCAACATGTTGAGGAATTAGAGTTTCTGCTTATGGTAGACGGGAGGCCCCGGGCCCGCTCCCGGAACTTCCTGAGTCATGGTCTGACCCAGCCGGGGTGGTTCGCGCTCCAGGCTCAAAGGCAAAACCTGACCTTACGCACCCAAAGAGGACAATTTCATGCGCCTCGGTCATTGCGTGCGCACCGTCTTGATTGTCTCTACTGTAGTGGTACAGGTTGACTTAAGGTACGTTGGTGTGCTTTGAATGTGCGCGGCAACTGCAGAACTGTGCATATACGACTCGCTCATACGATTCGCGATCACTTGTGCCGGCAACAGTCACACTGCAGATGCACATGTGCTCAAGGTTGATCAGATTGCGCACGGTCATGTGCAGGCGGACCGCAGAACTTCGCGATGGACGAAATCGCAGCGCTACCGTCCGATCTGAAAATAAGGACTCCAGTCTGCAAAGTTTAGCTACTGGGTCGCAAACTTTGGCAGGACAGGTTCCGATACTAGGGTTTGGACAAACCGGGCCTAACTGAGAATAAACGAAAGATCTTGAGCGTTCATTTTTCGACGTCAAAATCTGGACGGCAGCGCTGCGATTCTTGGTCGTCCCCCAGCTATTCTGCGGTTCTGCGGTCCGCCTGTGTGATAGCCATACATACACGCTTGATATTGTACTGCTTCCGAACTTTCACCTTCATTGGATGCTGAATGTATCATGCGCGTCAGTGATTTCAAACGCGGTGCATAGTCTGATGCTGCAAGGCCTTGATGCTCGCGCACAGGAATCCGTGACTCTTGGTCACCGGCCCGACTCAACCATTGGAAAAGCCAAGTCTCGATTCGCTGAGGCAAAATGGCTCGATCGCCCGGGCCTAAAGGAGGTTGGGCCTCCTTCGGCTACCCAAAATAGAGCTTTTTGGCATTCCGCGTGCAGGCGGATCTTATAGGCAAAGTGACTAGGCTTCGAAGGGCAGTTTGAGAACGCAAATGTATGCATGACTTCGGCTGGTTACGCGGGCACCCAATAATCCTTCATGACCAGACCTATCTCTTTCACTCTGATAGTGAGGTCCACAAGGTAAGATTTGCTGTGTCGTTGAGATTACCACACCTAACTAGAATGCAGATTTGAGAATGTAGACGCCTAAAGTCGCGACCGCTGGCTTATTATGCTGCTCACGTGAGTTGCTTCCAATGCGTCCGTCACTGGCTTGTCCCCCTGGCTGCGCTCAGACCAGGACAACGATTCCGTTTGACGATGACGAATTTTCTTGTCCAATGCTATCACCCTGCCTATCTCGTGCTGCGACACCTGAGAAACTCCTACGCTTTTTCCTGTACCTGCTGTCGCCTGTTGCGATGAAGATTGCTCTACCAGTTCACGTCTACATTCCACACTTTTAAATGTAGATTCTACGTGCGTTGAGAGAGTCGAGGACGCAATGATTTGTTGGCCGGCTGGAGGTTGGCCAGTATCCGCACCATGCGCTGCGGCGTTGACGCAGATTGACACGAGCCCATTCTCATCAAGCTTTTCCCCTCGAAAAGTGACATCGGAAGAGTTTACCCCAATTTCGCCTCTCGTAATGCGAGACCCGTCAATGCCCAGGCCGCGCTTACTTCCCGAAGCTTGTAGCTTATTCACACCGAAGCCGCCCTCAGAAAGTGGGACCGCGAGCCCGTCTGCATCAAAGCCCCCCTTTCGAATGGTTGGATCGCGCCCACTCAAGCCGAACTCCTTTTGAGGGTCTGAGGCCGTGGCCCCATTCACACCAAAGTCAACTCCACGGACGAGGAACTCGGGCTCGTTCACACCTATTTCGCCACTGCCAAGAGGCATCGCGGGGCCAGTACCGTCGTAACGAACCCCAGAAGGAGACGCCGGGGACCGGCCCTTTTTCAGGAGGGGAGAAAGGGCGTCGACGAGCGCCGCCACGTCATCGAATGTATGCGCCGCGGAAAGAGCGATGCGCAACCTGCAGCACAGAGGTCCTTGCCTGGTGTGAAAAGTCGCCACGCGTGCAACACGCTTGAAATCCACTTGGTGCACGCGCTCACAGATCGTACGGCTTTACGAGTCCCACCCACAAGCGGCGTGCGTGTTGCAGCCGACTCAATCAAGAAACAGGACTGTGTTATTCAGAACTGCCGGTGCGAAGTCTCTGCAGTACGGACCAGGTCCGTTCAAATTTCGTCGAAGACCTTCCGAAATGGTGTGCAGTTGGATCGCCGATAGACAGCCCACGACACAGCACCTGGTGATCAACCCTGGTCAGGACTCTGTTACATCCATAACCCAAACCTGAGTCTAACAATCCCTATCACCCACCTGGAAGATCCTTCCGGAACGGTCGGCGGGCGAATCGCCGGCACGTGGAAGCCCCTCCGCAGCAATTCGTTGCTCGCGTCCAGCGCCTCCTTTGCTCCGCCGATGACAACGGAAATGATCGGGGACGTGAACGGAACGCCCAGAGCGGCGGAAAGTGCATCGACGAGGGCCCACACGTGGCGCTGCCGCCAGGGCTCTCGTCGGGCAACCACCAATGCGGCTGAGGAACATCCAGGTGATCGTGTCTTGATCGGAACGTTGGGAGTATGATCGGAATAGAGCCATTCCCGTGGCACCAGCCTTGACTCATCTCCTTTAATTTAAGCACCCAACGAATGACGGCTCTGTGTTCGTGGCGCTTTGCAAATTCAAAAACCTGACAAAGGGTCGCTGCGAAGGCTGACGGGCGACACTAAAGTGCTCACAGAGCTGATGAGAAGGGCAACGGGCTTATCAGGAGCCAGGCATCTCAGGCACCTAAGTGTAGACAAGTTTGAAAACCAAGTTAGAGCAGAACTGTCGGATCCTCGGAAGAAGGCCCGGAGTTGCAGCGACATAGAAGCCTCGAGCACAAGCATCGTGGATTCGAGGAATCAACAACTTGCTCCATTGAGTCGAGAGCTTCTGATTTTCAATGCAGCCGCCCAATTGGGGCCAGCCAACGGTGGCTACGAGTGTGTCATTCGAGACAGACAGCAACGAAAGATAGCCCCTGACTTTGGAAGAAGGTATAGAGTCATGTGTCACATTGACCTCACATGGACGGAATTTATCGCTTAACGGGGCTGGTCGTTTGAGGAGGTCGCCGCCAGCGAGATTCTTTTCACCATGGAAGAGTCCAGCATGAAGTTCCTCGTCAGCCGCCTTCAAGACTCGGACGGAGACGTGGAAAAACTTTGTAGGCTTATTCTACAGCTTTCAGTGGCTCACCTAACGCAGCTGCAACGGTGGGGATGGGTTGTGCGGTCGAGTAGACGAAAGAGCGGCCGCGAGAGAGGATCCACTGCTTCCATTTTCGACTGCAACAAGGAGAGGCGGACGGTGATTTGCACGAGAGAAAGGGGAGGTCAGAAGGTACGATTCAGCTGTTTGGTCCCTACCTTCTTCGAGCTCCCCCCAAGAATCTGCTCTGGTCAAACTGGTCTTACTTCCCCGTTCCGTGTCCACTCGCAAACTGTCCTTAGTAAGGGCCACATGATCATGCAAACAACAAAAACGACCGCCCTTGATGATCTTGGTCGGAAGCACATCTAACAACGGCTTACGCATGTTAGTACGTATAGATAACGATCTGCACTAGTCAAGCTGGTCTGAAGTTGTCGCTCCGCCGGATTCCGATTGACGAGGATTCTGACGCACCTGGTCGCCACGAATCCTCCGTGGCACCCCACTGCTTTGCTCAGAGTGCCCACGTGAAGATCGACCTCGTCGGCGACCCCGAAAGCCTCGGCGGCGCCGCCCCCTCGATGGCCGCACACCAACGTGGCATGCGCCTAAATCAGCCAAAATGAGGGTGACGTAAGCATTCTCTGCGTTTGTGAACCGGGGCCAGACGAGATTGTTCGCAGTCAAGGAAGCAAAGGCCGGATGCCCGGTCCAGTAAGTGCATGGTTTCGCCGTTGCGGGAAGCGAGCGTGCGCGAGGGTCATGTTGGCGCGACGCAAAGGGTGGGCGCACTTTCGCAAGTCTACTTTTGGAGAGGGATAGGTGCTCCGAAGACTCGTGTACTCCTTGCGGCCGAAGCTTTATCTCCATACTACTCTCATTCCATGACGGACGGAAAAGAGGAAAGTAAGGGAGGAGAATATCACCTCGTCGACGACCAGCAGGAAGCCGTGCTTGCGGCGGAGGACGGCGAGCTCTGCCAAAGGTGCAAAGTCCCCGTCCATGCTGAACAGGCTGTCCGTCACAACGACCTTTCTCGGTGCTGAGCTGGCGCTTCTGAAAGAGCACCAGATTGCAGTCAGATTTGGCAACCGACTGCGCTCGATTGGGGCCTAACCAGGATTGAGTTTCGGATTCTGCCAAGGGGCGACTTCCCGACGCGCAAGCTGTCCAACACGGCGACCCTCTGTAGCACTGAGCTGGCACTGTTCGAAAACCACGGCAGAACGGCAGTCAATCGTACGTGATAATCGTTCTATCAAGGGTGCTTTAAGGTCGAAGTAGAAATTCTCAAGAAAGTGATAGATTGCTACAGAATGTCGTGGCGACGATTCTCCCACTCATCAGGGCTGATCTCTTGGAGAGCTAAAATGGTGAACCACTTTCGAGATTGGGGTCTCGAAGAAAGCACTCTACATGCTGAAGAGACTGGCTGGAAGAGGTTGCAAATGAAGTCGACCTTTTTGACAAAATTGCTGGAGCTTCTGCGTCCCCAAGGCTCTCCAAAGCGAGAGTTTTCGTAGATTCAAGAATCCTTACAAAAGTTGTTCGAGATGTGTCATGTCGCAATGCCGATAGACGTGCGCCGTCACCGCCTGGCGGCCCGTGCGCTGCGCAAGCCGCACCCCGTCAATGATCGAGGCGTGATTAAGCTCGTCCGAAAAGATGGCGACCATGGAGGGGGGGTTTGGCTGGGCCTGGTCGCCGAGACTCGGGCTGCATATGGCAGTCACCACGCCCATGTTGGCAGCGAAGCCGCTCGGAAAGAGGAGGCAGTCCTGGCCAAAAAACAGGGTTAGAGAGGATTAGCGCTTGGTTAGGGGGGAGCGACTTGCTGATATTAATCTGAGGTTGAGGGCAGAAAATAGGAGATGTTTTGATAATGAAGTACAGTCATTCTGGAGGCCAAGTCAAGTGCGGAGAAAGGTCATGCACAGGTCATACATGCGCGTCTCATGAGCTTTGCTATGAGCTGTTATGAGAAAGAAAGCAAGCCCCTGAACATTTGATGGTTGCGAGAGACGGGCGAGGCGAAAGGTATCCGGAAGGTCCAGCTTGAAAGCCCCCCGGTTGTGAAAATTACCCGAACTCAATCCCAGAAGGTCGCCTAGAAATTGCCAGGTCGATGTTGCACAAAATGGTGGTTGCTTGCTTCAATGGCATGATTGGTATAGCAGACATATCAGTGATCGAAAATTGAATGTCCTGATCTCACCTCAGTTCCCTTGAGCTCCGCAAGCGCCCTTTCCAGCTCCCGATGATGCTCTGTATAACCGCAGACCAACGGTGACGCACGGGGGCCCATCCCATACTCCATGGCTGCCTGGTGGAAAAGACTCGCTGTAAGCCCGCCAGTGATGTCATCATGAACGTCATGCTTCTGCCGCAACTGTTTCAGTAGCCTTTAGGTGCATCTCAATGACTAGAGCGGGACTTCCGTAAGTCCCCGCCAGCTAAATCAGGACAGCGTCAAAAGCTCCCCATCCTGTTTATGATTTCAAGTGACACAGGACATGCTTCCCCAGATCCTCAAGCCTACCTGTGCGGCGGCTGCACGAACTGCTGGGTGAGACGAGAGGCCAAGGTAGTCGTTTCCAGAGAACAGGCGCAGCCTCGTCAGGCAACCGCTTGCTGTACTTTGATCCTCCTCAGTGCCTGATGCAGTCAAAAAAGATTGAGGTCAGGACTCTTCATTAGAAGACGGTGCATCTGTGTGAGAAATCTTCATGACGAATCTAAAGTGGTCACGTGATTTCCATGATGTCACTCGCCGCTCAAGAGGCCCCCATCTTGTGCACTGCACTCATCGCCTGGGGGCATGGAGTAGGCTCGATTGTCTTACAGAGGACAAGAAGATGAATCCTGAAAGAAGGGGGCCAACAAATGTACTGCGAAACTGCCTGATGGGACTTAGGGTGAGTGTTCGCTAAAAGGGTAAGAGAAGCCTACTCTGCAGATTCTGTGTTCATGCCAGCTCCTGTGTACAGCCTTGCTAACCACCATGTCTTCCTTGTGCCTACAGATGCTTTGACATTCCTGGCTGAGGTTACTATGCAAAGAATCCTGGAATAGAACTGTCCAATGTCTCTCCAAACAGATACTGCTGTGCCCTCGTCAGTCCTGTGTTCAAAGCCATTAAGGATCATCGCATAGCAGACCTTTCAGACGCCAAACACATATGTGAGACTGAACTGTTGCAAGTCCTGCACCATACTAAGTCTCCCTTGGAAAGAGGCAGTAATGTAAAGTAATTGTCTAAGGGGGAAAGAGTGAGGAGCATGGTACCTGATGTTGCTGTACCACTCAGCCACGATTGAATGGTGCCATCCGAGACGGACACCTCCACTGCACTGCGGTTGCACGCCTTGATCTGCTCATCACTCCAGTCATCGGCAAAAGAGACCAACTTTCCGCCTGCTGAATGCAACTCCTGGACACAACAGCCACCTCCTGCCGTGTGATCCATACTCCGATTGCCGCAGCGGCAAGCACACCGAGCCATAGATTCTGCGGAACAACCTTTATCTTCCTTTCCACATTCTGGACACCGTCCAATAGCATCACATTGCACTGGTCTCAGTGACCGAAGCAAGTTTGTTTTTCCAAGGCCGCTGATCGCCGTATCAAGCCAGTCGCTCCACACGGTTGGCGCCATCAGCGGGAGGAGTGCTGATTGCCTTACCCCTTTTAAAAGTTAAATTCATGCCCCTGCTCCTACTGCTAAGGAGCTTATTAAGCAATCACTCGTAATCTGACAGCTCCATTGTCTGTGCATTGCCTGTGCAATGCAGGTGTGACGGCACCAATGCCGCCATTGCGCACCTCAGATTCCAGCTCAGCGTTGCAACTCACTCTGCAGCTTATGCTTCGGAGGAGTTTTTCACAAGCAGATCTAGGATTTGAAACCCGTGCGTTTGTTCGCTGGTTTCCAATGACCGCCGTCCTTCTTCTAAACGGCTGCCTCAGGCTCTAGTCTTAATCTCCGATAGATTACATATTACCTAAATGTGGTTGAAAGCTGATGTAGAATCGAGCTTCTTTTCCCGCACAGTTCTCCTGCAGCGCTTCCCAGTTCGAAGTTCGGACTCGGAATCAGAGGCGCAGTCTGATCAGCTGAATTCTGGAAGGTCTCTCGTGATGGGGGCGCATACGCACTGAAACAGGTAGCTGCAGTTTGCTGTCATTGTCAGGGGAGTGGCGGTATCCAGGACCTGCAAGGGGATACCTGTACAAGCAGCGGCATCGGGTGGCGCAAAATCAAGAGTTCAAACAACGATGTCAGTGGAAAACTTTATCAGGTCGCTTCAGACAGGCATAAGTCAGGTCGTACGCTGGACAAGAGAGAGTATTTGAGGCACGCCGATGTGCAAGACATTGGAACTGAATACTTGCTGGAAAGGGAGGTGAGAAACATTCATTGCATCAAATTGGGGGCAGAACTTAAAGAAGTCAAATGCACCTAAGTTGCACGATGTGAAAGTGACTTTGATGGAAGGAAGCCTTCTCCTCTGAAGATGAGCTTCTTTTTGGCATCGACGGGCCAAAGTCTGATTGGTTCAGCTAGAGTACAGTCTTGCGCCAGGAATGGTGGTTCTTATTGCAATTACTAGCTGCCGCCAATTTGGAATGAACCTCAATGAGTCAATACAATCAACCAGTCAACCTTGAACCTGAGTATTTGAAGAAACAGAGTGTCCTATATCATCCGTTTGAAGTGTGCAAGATGAGCAGAAGCAGGTTATGTGCCTTTTGATTGCTCTTGAACGATGGTCTGTCGGGTGCGCAATAGAGATTGAAGCCTGTTAACAGACAGGAAGTTCTTGGTGATGCCACTGATCAGGTCAATGATTTATTAAAGTCAAAGGTACCACAGCAATGCTGAGGAGTTATGAAGGCATCAACAGGCTGTGCTGCCCCTTTAATCAGCTCAACTTCATCACGAGCGGTCCAGATCAGAGGAGTGTCTCTATTACGGAACTCTGCTGGCATCCTGTTGATCTTGAGAGTCCTCCATGTAGGATACGGCCATTCTCGGCTTGAAAGAATCATTCTCGTATGCAGATTGGAGTGATCTGTCTACTTTTACATATCTTGAAGGTTGGCTAGGAATTTGAGGTGGCTGGAGTGTGCATTGCATTGTTGCTGAGGTATGTTCAAACCAGCCTTTCATGAGGGGGAATGCCTTTAGAAGTCCTTTTCATAGGTCTGCTCTTCCATATCCCTTTCCCGACTTCTTTGTTCTCCATCGATGCTTTCAACAAAGTGAAGAGAAAAGCGGTGTTGTTTGCAGATGAGCCACCTCTGTGCACGTCACCACTCCCTAGCCTACTTTCTGTCACGACGGCTCCTCCTCCCACCGATTGGGTCAGCGCTCCTCTCCTGCCAATCCATCTGTCCTCGGAAGAGCCGCTAACCCCTCTCCACGCAAACTTGCTGTAGGCAAGTGTAGTCACCTTTGGATCAGATGGAGGGATAGCAAACAAGAACTTTGCATAGCACGGACCACTCAATGTTTGCACGGACCGCCGCCAACCGGCGATGCTGACCGGGTCCGGCAAGAAAGTCGAGCGGCGCTCCGCAAACGGCGACGTCGGCGCCGGGAGCGTGCGCAGGAAGCGAGCGTTCCTGTGGCGCAACGAGAAGGGCCAAGTGCGACTCGGGCTCGGAAACCTGCTCAGCCTGTTGGCGGGGGTCGTGTTTGCGTGGCTCTGGGTGGCGCTGAGCAGTCAGCACTGCGGGCCGGGGGGTTTGAATGTGCTGCTCGGTCCAGCGGAGGAGATCGAGGACGCGCTCTGGGCGGAGGGGGAGCGGGCGGCGCTCGAGATCCATGCGAAGCTGGCGGCCGGGGGTTCGTTCGAGCTCCGGTTGACAGGTTGGGACGTTGTCACGTTGCAGGAGTAGACTGATAGGCTTTCATTCGCGTTGTTTGCGTACTGTCAGAGTCAGCATCTGAGACGGCCCGACATGCACTTTCTGACGCACATCTTTGCCTCTAAAGATGAGCCACATCAGGTTGCGTTGGATAACATGATAGGATCGAAATGCTTCCAGTCTCCCGAACATTGTTGGCCCTCATCAAGGCGTGCATACAGATAGTTTGACAGTTGCCCTTTTCGGTGTGTGATCATACCTTATCATGATCATTTTGAGGCTTCATTGGCCAATTTACTTTCTCATGACTCTCGTGTCAGAATCAACACGAATCACCTTTTGCAGTGAACGTTCCTCGGCTTGGGTCAGCGAATGCCTTGTCCTCGGCCTCGGGCCAATTGTTGGCTGTTCCTTTCAGTCAAAGCTCCCCGCACCTAGAAGCTTTCAGTGGCGACAGACCTTACTGTAGTTGCCAATATCATGAGTGCTGTCTAAGCCGCCAATGCTCTTCCCCCCTTTCCCATGCAGGATCCAATGCCACCGCTAGCGACGGCTCCTCCGACCCTCCCGACCTCTCGGCCTGGCCGGACCCCGACGAATGGCCCCCGGAGCCCGACACCGAAGCCGAGCTCATCTACCCCCCCCCACACCCAAAGACTGACGTCCCGAATCTCTCCTTCGAGATGTCGGTCAGCTGGGATAGCTGGGAAGACGCGTTCGACTTGCTGCGCCTATGGTGGCGTCCGAACGAGCTAGTCGGACACGTGTGGATGCCGCCGCCGTCCGATTTGGACTTGCGTCCGGGTGAGAAGCACCGGATGCCGGATGGCGACCCGGAGCTGCCCGAGGTCCGGCTGTCGGAGCGGGTCAAGGGGCAATTCGAGTACACGCACCCGATGGGGGGCCGCGCGATGGTGGGCATTGCGCGGATCGTGAAGGTGAGACGCGTGCTCCATAAACTCCTAGGTTCCGCATCGTTTGATCTTTCTCTGAAACTGATGAGAATCTGATAGGCTGCAAGGCGGGTAGATCCCAATCAAGAAAAACGCCACCCAATGGGGGATCCGATGTCCGGCTGTGCAAGGTTCTGGAAGGCTGGACCAGTTGACCATTCTTTGCAGCGGGTTGAGGAATGGGTCAGTCTCGAGCGTGTGGATGGTTGTCAAAGCCAAGGTCTAATTCGGTCTTTTTGAGAGCCGCTTGTAGGACGTCCTCTCTTCTAAGGATGGTCCGCTTGAAACCTTGTCTTTAAAAAACTCGTCAAGCGGAAGTCCAATCGCTGCTGCCTCCCATCCGACATTCGATGCGTATGGCTGCGACTTTGAAGGCGCTATAACGGGGCAATACCGGACAAACGATCTCTTAGAACTGCCTTCTCCGGTATTCTCCGGTGAAACGGACGATAATATCTTGTAGGAGCCTTCTGACAACCGGTCTTCCGCATCCTACCTGTGCAGGAAGCGTACATGTTGAGTGGGGACGAAGTGCACTGGTTCGTGCTGGGGAATGAGGACACGCTGTTTGCGCCGGACAACCTTGCGAGAGTATTGTCCAAGTACGATCACAGGTGAGGCCGGCTTCGGCCGCTGGCCGGAGTGTCTGACGGCAATCCGGGCTGCGTTGTAGCGAGACTGTTCATGCACTGTCCGAGGAACGCGCATCTGGCGAACGTTTACCAATTGCGCCACACAAAAGTTTGTCAAAAGCAACCCTTCGAGACGAGAAGACGGTTGATCATGCCCTGTGCGCTTTCAGTCCTTGGGCATATCACGTCAGCAACTGGCAAAGTCACGTCAACTCATTCTGTAAATCTAGGTCGTAACACCCCGCCCGATTGCTGTTCCCACGAACTCAAAAATAATTGGCGCGCCACACAACACGGCTCACCAGAGTCTTGGCCAAGTCTAACCTAGCAAGCTGATTGGCAGCGACTGATGCTGTGACCTCCTGAAACCTTTTAAGTCTCCGAATGTGAAAAGTGAAACGTAATTTCTGCCTGATCTTTCTTAGGGAAATTTGGTATATCGGCGCTCCGTCCGAGACGCACCACTAGGAGTTTGGTACATTCCCAGATTCCGTCAGTTCCGGAACCTCAATGATCCCTAAGTTCGACCAAACCCCAAAAGTCCACTCATTATTTCCTCCAGGGAGCTCTGGTACATTGGCGCGCCGTCCGAGGCGCACCACCAGAACGTGGTGCACTCGTTTAGTCTCACCACCAGAGCTCCCGGTACTTCTCCATCTAGCAAGCTCAACCAGACCTTGATGACAGGCACCAAATGTCGGAAATTTCTAGACCTCTCGAACGCTAAAACTTCGCTCGCTCGTTCTTCCAGGGAGCTCTGGTACATTGGCGCGCCGTCCCTGACGCACCAGCAAACTCATTGGCCACAATCTCTTCAGAAAGCGCCCTCAAAACTTGCTACTTTCCGAACCTCTGGAACTCCGAAGTATCTTAACCTGTCCGAACCCTGAGACCCCGCTCATTATCTCCTTCAGGGAGCTCTGGTACATTGGCGCGCCGTCCGAGACGCACCACCAGAACGTGGTGCACTCGTTTGGGCTCGCGTACACGGGGGGGGGCTTTGCCGTCAGCTGGGGGCTGGCCCGGGCTTTGGCGCACACGTTGGACGACTGCTTGCAGCGGTACCCGGAGCTGTACGGGAGCGGCTCGCGAGTGCAGGCGTGCATCTCGGAACTGGGGGTGCAGGTAAGCCATCCCCCGCGGCTTTGTGTCACGTATTCTATTTTACGGGTTGCAGTTCTTTGAATCCGTGTACAATATGAGGCTTTCTTTGCGCATGTGGCGCAGCTTTGGTTGAGTACGTTTCTCGCTGGGCGTCTGAGGCTTTTCGTTCTGCTCAATTTCTAAGAAGCCACAAGGAGAACGAGAGACGGTGGTCCGCAGTGCCCAAACTGGTCGGAAGTCTGGTATGGCCAGACCATTATCAAGTGACCGGCTTTTTTGCCACTGCCTGTTTTAGGATTGCAATTGTGTCCGTTGAACCAGCGCTTCAAGCTCTTTTTCCATCGCGTTCTTAGGTCGGAACGTAGTCACGTTATGTGACTTCCGTCACGTTGCCTGGTCACGTTGAAATACGAACTTTTGAAGTGCCTGCAAGAACGATCTATCTTTTCGTAGTTGAATGAGCTACCTTTCCTTCATACCTATCGCCTCTTTCCGCTTAGAGCTTTTATCTCATACTGGCTCAGTCGAACCCAATCACCGTCCATTCATTCTCTCCTCAGGTCACCCAGGAATCGGGCTTCCACCAGTTTGACCTCATCGGGAGCCTCGCGGGCGCGCTCGAGTCCCACCCCCTCACGCCCTTCCTGGGCATGCGCTACGTGGCGGCCTCCCATTCGCTTGCGGCCAAAGAGAGCACGCCCAAAATGCTCCGCCGGATCGCACAGTTTGCCCTGGCGCAACCGCTCGAGTTTCTGCAGCAGTCCATCTGCGTCGACTCATCCCGCAACTGGTCGATCTCCATTGCGTGGGGGTTTTCCGTCCGGTGGTATCCGGTTCCGGTCCGGCCGGTGGAACTAGAGGCGGCGAGGCGGACGTTCGTGTCGTGGACGCGGCAGCGGGACCCGGAGGTGTTCGACTTCGACACGCGGGCGACGACGCTGCTCTGGTCGCGCGCGCCGGCGGTTTTTCAGGTGCTGTGATTGTCTTCTTCTTCTGCTCCCTCCAACGATGTATGAAAGGTCTCCCTTAGTTACTGTCAGGACTCATGCTTCTCGTGCTTTGTCAGGAGTTTGCACAATAATCGCGGTTGATATCAATGACAGATTCTGCCCTATCAATGCAAATCTGCCGCGATCCTTTTCTGCACTATTTCTGCTTCAAGGTCCGCTTATCTCACGACTTGGCAGGTTTGTTACGCGACCAGCATTGAGCGATCCGAAGGGTCGAAGCTGGGGTCTTGCCATCTGACGGTTTCTGGCCGATCCTGAGCGCTTGCCTGTCAATCAATTGACACTCGTATGTGTGCATTTCGACTCAGGACGTATCCTTTGGATCGTTGTACAGGCGGTCAGTGTGTTTCAACGGATCGAGGACGGGGAGGTGTGGCTGGAGAGCCTGTACCGGCGGGTACCAACCGGGAGGGCCTTGAGCGTTTCCAAGCTGAAACGCATGGCGGCCAAAAAGCACAACGTTACGGCGGAGTGGTTCGGGCGGAGACGGAAACGGAGGAAACGGGCGGCCGGCGATCCGTTGGGGGCGGACTCGAGCGAAAACGACGAGGCGGGGGAAAGCTTAGGCCTTACGAAGTTGACGGGCGTGCTGCGGGATCGGAAAGGTGGCGTAGGGAGGAGTTTGCAGGCGCAGGCGACGCAAGGGCTTGCGTATGGGCGAGAGCCGAAGCAGTCTGTAGATGTGATTAGGGTGTTGAAGCCGCCGTTCGACGAGGACTGGGTGTGGTATCCGCGGCGGTCTTGTTGCAAGTCGCTGACGTTCCTCGAAGACGATACGGTTGCGGAGATTCGGCTAGGTCCATGTACGATAGACGAGACGATATGGAAAGATAGCATCGTGGCTGAAGGCGCTAGCTTCAGCTGATCTGATTGAGTGCACTCGTCGAGAGCCTTGCGCAATGATCTTTCAAGCTTTTCGAGCTTAGGTATTCTGAACACGGAGTCATGATATCAAGTGGGTCTTGACCGATGAGTACTTTTACCTCACGGTGACAGTCAAAGTTCTGCAGTCGCAATTTCGACCGTTATGTCTGCCGGATGTCCTATCAAAACCGCGGAAGCCTAGGTACCTTCTGTCGAACTTCGTTTGTTGCAAAGCCGAGCTCACAAGTACGACCTACCTAATTCCATTGCCAAGTCGAGAAAATTGAGGGACCCATGCTCATTCTGACCTAGCTGCCCTTGCGGTATGTATTCAATACTTGGGACCTAGAATTTCTTAAGATTCAGCGGTTTCACACGCACTTTCATGGACAAAGACGACTGATCAGTGTACAAGGATCATGAAGGCTTGGCGGCATGGAAGCTGCCACCTTCGGAGTCCAAGCATGTGTGCTTTTAGGTAACAGATCAGCCAAGTCAGGCCATGTGCACACGAAAATGGGACAAAAAAACACACAATGTTGTTGAGCAACTGATCATGCTCCGATCTATTGTTCTGAGCAACAATCTTCTAAGGCCTCTTGGCCGGGTCTTGGCCATTCATTTGTCGGCGCCAGATGATTGCTTATGCCAGCCATGACACCGTGACTGCCGGGCCTAGGTATTGGCTAATGCTCAGGGAGTCGCCATTCATTGGGCTTAGTAGTTGAGTTCTAGCTATTTTTTAAGATAACGTATGGAAGCAGATAGCTCGAGGCCACAGGCATGGCGAAGTCACCTCACTGAAGGTGCTGTTTGACTGTCATATGCGGCACGTCTCAAAAGTGGAACAGGGAAACAGGGCCAGGATCAGACCACATCATTCCATACCGGATCTAGGGTGGATCTATAGGTACAGTATCCTAGGTATGCTGCCAGCATGCACTCCATGATGACTTCAATGAGGCACCGGGCCTGATCGACCACCATGGATGGTGCACCCTCAAATGAGCCTGCTTATCGAACGGTCGAATTTTGCTGGCCATAGTGTCGAAACCAGTGTCTCGAATCGTCGATTTGCAAAATGTGCAGATGGACGGCTGCAGCGATTTGGTTTCACAACGATGCAGGGCTGTGGGATTTCTCGTGCACAGCTTTTCAGGGCTGCACGATCTGTTCCGAAGTTCCTTTCTAGCGAAGCCTGAAGGGCTCGAGCTTGCGCTTTGGTTCTTTTTCAGAGCATACCGATCTGATGGGGGGCAAGAACAAGAAGAAGGCGCGGAATGGGGGCCCATCAGCCAGCGAGGGCGCCAACCATGACGTGACCAGCCCTCCCCAATCACCGGAATCCGCTGAAACTCTGGCAAGCTCAAAAACGGTGGAAAGTCCAGAAGGTGCTACTGCAGCAAAGAAACCCGATCCTGCAACAGGGATTGAGGGCGCGGTGATCGAGAAACCCTTAGGGCAAAGCGGGAATGCTAAGGAGGGCAATGGCAAAAGCAAAAAGGTCCAGGACGATCTTCGGAATCTGAAATCAAATGGGGCCGTGGACATGAGTGAGGAAGATGCTGCGGATGGTGATCCATCAATAGAGCAAGTAAGATCCCAAAATCGCTTTAGGTTCTTTGGTCTGCTTGCTGTATACGGAAGCACTTGTGTGGATCTTTGTTGCCTTTTCCAGACACGCGTCATTGGACTTGTTGGAACCAAGCTAGAACAGTCCTAATGCTGCTACAATGGATCAGGGATCTAGACATAAGTTGCTCTTCCGAGATTAGTTCTTTCAGGCGACCATCACATGCTTGCCTTTCGTCAGGCTGCAGTGAAGTGTACATACAGAAACCTCGCTGCCTAGATCAACTTGTCTCTGATAATCTGGCCTTGCCTGCATGTTTGTCATCATGCAATGTACTTTACTGGCGCAGGTGGATAGTAGCATCTCGCAAGTGGTCATGACAAGCATCTGTCCTTTATTTGCAACAGTCTGGCTCGAGGGTTACGTTTGGTAGATCATTAACTTGGTGAATCTTGTCTGATGATGGGTTTCTTTTTCATGAAGGTGGGATCTTTCTTATGGGTGGAATGTTTTATGGTGGTGGCTTACTCTTTTCTAACAGTGATGTACTCTCTTATGACGGTGGTGGTAGATTGCTCTTTTCTGACAGTGGTATACTGTCTTATGATGGTGGAGTATTTTCTAATGATGGTGACTTCTCAACAATGGTGGTATACGCTCTCATGTTGTCTTTTCTGGTCTTCAGGTCCTTTCTGCTGTCCAGTCAGAGAAGAAGAGTCTGGCAGACAAGCTGGCAATCCTAGAAAAGGAGCTCCAGGGCAGCAGGGATGGGGCTAATGCAGCTGCCGAAAAGTCTCGAGCGGCAGCAACGAAGGAAGTTGCTTCTTTGAAGTCGCTTCAAGGAGAGCTTCAGCGCCAGATAGAAGAGCTGCAAGCGAGGTAAGTGTCCTTAGATTGGACGGCAGCATGTTTGTGACAGATGATCGTTAGATGCACACGTTTTTAGAGCATCATTTCGTCAATCCTCAGGGGTTTAGCGTCGTTCGCCTACATCACTTGTTGTCCTTTTCCGCCGTTGCTTTTCCTCGCTTCCCTTGTCCTGACAAATGTGGCAGAGGCATGGTTTTTCTATGATGGGAGTATCTGGAGGCTGCCGAGCTGATGTCAAGCCCAAGGCTACGTCATGTAAAGTAGCTCATGCTGAGAATGCACGAAAGATGGTGGTTTGCTCTGACAATCCTTCAATACTGTACACCTGGCTTTGATTGAGGTGGAGATACAGCTCTGCTGCGACACACAGAACTCTCCCCCTGTACTGACTGCGAAACGAGTCAGATCTGAGCTTCAGGTATCTCAGGAAGGACAGCGCTGACAAAGCATTGGTGGTATGCATAAGAGCAATTCTGCTGATACTTAGTCCCCAATGTGTTGTTTCTCCAGTACAAAGTTCCTGCAAGCGGAAAAGGCTGCCGCAGAGAAGGCTCGGCAGGGCCTGGAGGGGGGCAAGAAGGCGGCGGATGAGAAAGTGAAGGATCTGGAGAAACGAGTGGAGGTAAGCGATCATTCGCTCGAGACTCTGCTCAATCTTTTCTGTCAGCTGCAAGTGGTGGCGTTGAATTCCAAGGTCTCTCAATGTTGGGCAATGCAAGGTTGAGACTTTCAGATGTTGGGGGTTATGCCTGGAAAGCGACCTCATCTAGTCAGACCTTTCAAGGACTCCTAAGGTTTCTCTTCAAAGCTTTTGACGGGCACTCTCTTTAGTCAGAAGGTCTTGATCGAGAGTCACGAAATCCAACAAGCCACCGTAGGCAAATAACTGTCGACTTTGGGACGCAAGATCCCATGTATTTCGTTCCTCCAAGAGGGAAGGTCGTTGCTTTCTGAGCTCCAACATCTGCAGGCGAGGAGAAAGATGACTCCCTCTCTTGCAGGACGCTCAGAAGTCCAAAGAGGCCGCGGAAAAGAAGGCCAAAACGCAAGCAGAGGAGAAGGTCAAGCTGGACAAGAAGATCGAGGAAGCCAACGGCAAGTTGAAATCTTTGGAGGAGTCACTCGCCAAGACCAAGTCGAGCCTCACAGCTGCAGAGGCCTCGAAAGCCAAAGCAGAAGAGAAGCTGACTACTGAGAAGAAGGCCCTGGAAGGCAAGTTGGCCGGGCTGCAGAAGGCCCGGGAGGAGGCCGATTCTAAAACGGCGCAGGCGAAGAAGAAGAACGATGACCTCGCGGCAAAGGTAGCGGCGCTCGAGGAGGAGAAAGCCGCGACCGACGCTGACGTCAGCAAGCTCGCGAGGGAGAAGGGCGACCTGGACCTGTGGTGCGCGTCGCTGCAGCGGCGCTCAGAGGAGCTCCAGAAGCGGTCGGAACAGCTGGAGGCCAGTCTGCGGACGACGGAGGAGAGGCTTGGCAAAGCGGAGGAGCAGATCAAGACGTATGCGGAGACGCTGGCCGAATTCGAGAGGCGCGTGGGGGATCTGGATGGCAGGATCGACGTGCTGAGGAAGGAGAAGGAGGAACTAGAGGCGAGAGGGAAGGCGCAGAAAGGGGAGGCGGAAGCACTGGCGGAGGCGAAAGGAGAGCTTGAAAAGAAGGTGAGAGCGTTGGAAGGGGAGAAAGCGGCGCTTGAGAAGGAGAAAGCGGCGCTTGGAAAAGAAAAAGGGGCGGCTGAGACGAAGGCCAAGGGGTTGGAATCCGAGAAGCAGAAGGTGGAGACACTTTCCAAGCAGAAAGAGGGGTTGGAAAAGAAAGCGGGCGCTTTGGAAGGAGAAAAGGCGGCGCTCGCGAAAGAGAAGGGCGCGCTCGAGGCCGCAAAGCAGAAGCTAGAGAGGGAGGCGCAGGCGGCGGCCAAGCAGAAGGAAGCGCTGGAGGGGCGGGCAATTGTGCTGGAGAGAGAGAAAAGTGCGCTCGAAGCTGCGAAGCAGAAACTAGAAAGGGAAGCGCAGGCGGACACCAAGCAGAAGGAGGCGCTTGATGGGCGAGTAAATGCGCTGGAAAACGAG